AAAATCTGATATATAGTGAATCGGGAAAAATCCACTTGCCACTCAGAGGAAAATTCACACCTATTCACGAAAGACATTTCCCATGCGTCGAGAAGAGGCCCCTGAGAATCGAAATAAATGGGAGACGCGACTAAAAGGGTAAATTGCAATTAGATTATATTAATTTGATAATCGATGAAACTTCAGAGAAAAAATCAGTTGTCGACTGAGTTTGACCGATTGAATTCGAGAGATCCACCGATAGCGAGGTTTGGAGAAATTGAAGTTGTAATTGAATTTGTGAGACTCGTGGCGGAAAAAAGAGATGATAAGAAAAATAATCTGTTTAACGAATTTGGTAGATATAATTTAATCACAAATCTTTCGATAGGTGATCAAATTATCGTTTATTAGCATTGATATCAATGATTGAATAAAATCAATTCCGCCAGCAGGAAAATGATTTTTGAAGAAAATGTAAAAATTCTGGAGAATTTGAGTTAATCATTTTTTTATCAAGAGAGATATGAAAAACTACTTCATAATAAAATTCACGAAAAATTCTCTGATGATATTGAAAGAAAATATCAATGATTCTTCTAATGAGTACAGTCTCTTCGGTGCCTCAGAGTAAATTAGAAAAAGCGTTAAATTAATCAAATGAAAAAATAATGTTTAATTAACGTCGGGGTGAAATCAGAGCGGATTGACGAGTGGTAGTTAACACAAGCAAAGACAGAAACGAGAAAGTCCCGAGTTGGATAAAAAAGTATCAAAAGGGCGAATGAAAAAAGGACAGAAGGGGCTGCCAAGGAACGGAGGAGGGTTGAGGATTTTATCGAGCAGACGCCATGACACACAGAGGGTGGTTGGCAACCAACGAATCACGAATGAAGATGCTTTGCTCCGCCATCGTGCTCCTTCAAAGTACACAAAGCATTGAGTGAGCGAACACTGTTCTTTCAGCTCCACACCAGGATATATTGACTCCATTCCTCCATTTGCAATCATCAACCAATTGAAATGCAGTCAAAAATTCCCAACATTTCCAGTCGCAATCCCGAAATTTCAATCTGAGTTTGAACTCACTAAAAAATTTAAGACAATTAATTAATTTAATGCACCCCCCTCCCCTTCCCACCCTCCATACAAAATCTATACAATATTCACTTTATAATACTAATATAAAAAATAAAATCCATCATAAAAAAAATTTATAATGTAATTTATTTTATATTTTTTTATATGAATGAGATGAATTAAAAAGTTATTTTTCATATTTGGGGAAAAGTAAATTTTTTGCGGGGACTATAGCGGGTGATACCGGGTGACATGAAATCCTGATTCAATTGTAATCTGTAGTGTGTTGATGGGTATTAATATTTTTAATGAAGATTTGCTGGAGATAATTTGATGAAAATAGATTAAACTGTTGGAAATGATCAGGCAAATGACAAACAGGGGCTTGTAAAGCCGAATGGCCGTACCCTTGGCGGATGCCTTATTATAGGACGGTCATATTCCAGCCGCAAACTACTAGAAAATTGATAGCAACTTCGAGTTTAATAATCCATAGTGGTCTTGCGCTTACGTTGTACCACTCCAACGTCATTGAAACCCATCCAATAATAATGAGCCCACCAGGATTTCCACAAACAATCAATTAACAAATTGTTGCTACAACACAAATGCAATAATATATAATATTTAAGAACAGGAACACAAAGTTTTGTGGAATTCAATGGAATTTTAAAACTTGGAAATTGACAGGCCCTGAGTATTGTGTGGTAGACTCATGACACTTACACTTTTGGCAAATCAAACTGTCTCAATAACTCGATATTTATTATTTCATTATCGTCGGGTATGTGGGAAAATTCATTACTCCGTACTCACGATTTTCCATGATTTAATACAGTAAACTGTATTACGCGTGTGAAATTGTGTTTTCCAATTGTTCCCAAGAGTCAGGATGAATTCTGATTCACGAGCATCGAGTTTGGAGTATAAAATCCAATAGATGACTTTGTGCTGTTGATTGGGTAATGGTTTATAGAGTCGTAAAATTGTTTTCCCGTTAAAAGTTCAATCACTAAGGGAGAATTTCATTCACTATTTTTGGGGGAAACGATAAAAACGGAATTTTTGACTATTTCTATCGGAATCAATAATAAATTATCCAATGCGAGCCGATCGGGCAGTAAAATTTGTAAATTCTTGAGAGATTTTATCAATATTACAGTAAAATCCCTAGCCGCACCTCTCCTCAATTTATTTTTTGTTGAACTATACGCACTATAACGACAGTCTACACTGAGAGAAATATTCAATAAAAATTACGGGTATTTTCCGTAATTCTGGAGCGAAATGTGGTTGTCGGAAATTTTACGGAACTGTCACGTAATTTTTATCTAAAGTCACGGAATTATTCCGCGGTGTTCCGTAATTTTTATCGGAATTGTCAGTGAAAAATAACAATACCGTCACTTAAATTTGTCGAATCAACTCCGTAATCGGTAAGTGAACTGAAAGTTCCGTAATTTTTACTAAATATTTCTCTCCGTGTACTGTATATAAGAACAATTTAATGATAAATAAAGAGACGGAAGGAATAATTTTTATTGAAAACGTAGGATTATTCTCCGTGAACTTGGAGGATTGACCTTTGCGTCGGGAAATAATGACGAAAAGCCCGTGAAAACCCTCACCATGAATGCATGAACTTGGAAAGGTGTGGGTGTGATGGAATCGCCGTCAGGATTGTTCACGAACAAGACAGACTGCACATAAATCAATTACTGAAACATGTCGCGTGGAAGAGACAAGAAGATGAAAATGGTGCGTTGTGATGCAGCGACGGACGAGGAGAGAATAATTACGTCATTTTATCCATGCATCGATAAGCAGATGACTCTGAGACCCCCAGTTGGAGCCCATCACTGGGTATTGTCGTAATACAATTAACTGAACACCAGACGGAAATTTCCAAAGTTAGATCCTCGGTGAAGTATATATCATTAAGCAGAACGAGCAAGAGATGATAGCTCCAAACTTTTCATTCAAATGCTTATCTCAATTTAAAAATTCAATTGGAAGGACAAAACCGGTCACTTCTTATCTCTCAGATGATGAAGATAGATAATTATTCATTCAACAATTCATTCAATGAGCGGAAACGCCAAGGCGTCGTTGAAAATCATTTTCCAATTTTCTCCGTCCCCAATTTAATTGAGATTGAAAATTTTTGTTACTGAAATAATTAATGAAAAAAAAATTAAACTTTCCATCCTGTAAACCATTTTTTTCTCCGGTGAACGTGGAGAATAATACGATCTCTCATATTTTTATGAAAAAAATTGCATCGAGAAATGGTAAATTCTTCTTCATCATTTCCCTCTGCATTTTTCAGGCAAATTCTATTTGTGACTCATCACAGAATAGTAGGATGAGATTTGTCACTAAGAAGTGCTACAAAGTGTCGAGTGGAATGAGTGAAAATCCCAGGAATATTCAACGAAATTCAGGGACTATGAATTTTTTATTTCACCGAAAACATCTGATTTATTTACTATTTCACGGGACTTCAGATTTCTATTAACGAGAAATGTAATCATACTCATTAATATTTACACTGCAACGATAATTACAGTGTAAAATCATTTCGTAAAGTATATGAGATTGAATTCATTTTCAATTCAAATAATCACCATTCCTCCTTAATAAAAAAAAAATCATCATTCCTCCCGAGAAATAATAAAATTATTTTTTCATGTGCAATTATATTTGATTTTTCAATTAAAACTCAAATTTCCAGACTGAAGCTTGAATTATAGAAGTTGAAATTCCAAATATAATTCTCTTGTAAATCGATTAAAAAATCATAGGTCTGCCCTGAATTTCCAAAATTCAATGCTAAGTGAGTCTCCTATCAACCTGAAATTTGGAAATCACCTGCATATCTAATAAATCATTTGATCAATGAAGATTTCCACTAAAATTTCATTCACCTTGGCGTTGTTAAAAATTCAAAATATTATTTTCAAATTCAAAGTGTTCATTGTGACTTCAAGAGGAAATGATTATGATTTAATAAAAATATACTATTTTCTCAATGTAAGAGGAAAACAATTTATCGGGACAATTGAATCGATTGATGTCACCCTGAACCCCACCCAGCATTGATGCCAACATGAGGAGTACCCTGAAGCGAGCTTCCGACGATAATCCGTCAAGTACGTTGGGCACTGTAATCCATCAGGTCACGACTGCAGGTGCCCATGAGAGTGAACAAGACGTAGATAATTTAATTGTCTTAGGTACCTAAGATACCCAGCTTCTTCGAGGGTCCAAGGGTCTTCTTACGAAGGGTCCTGACCCTCCACATCGTCTTATCATGCCAGTCCATTTGCCATTCTGTCAGAAATCACTGACACCAAACCAAATTCACCTCGACATGTTGATTTTTTTCCCTCTTCCGCGTAGAAACTACTGACGGACCGAGAGAATGGATGGAAATTCCGCTATTTTCGGCACGACGTAAACAACTGAATAAAGTTTCAACTTGGGGAAAGTTCTTCTATTACTCTTACTCCACTTGCTTCAGAGCACTTACGCAGAGAATGAGTGGAATCTATGGCCTGAATTTGTTATTCAATTGGTTTGATAGCAAGTACCTTCAAACGATATGCCTTTTAAAATATCCTTGTTTATTATTTTTGGCTCCATTTATATTTATATTTTCCCCCAATTTTTTTCAATCTAAAATGAATAAGGAATTCAGTGAAAATCTTCTATTGAAATTATACTCTAATTCACACCATTGAAAATTCGGAGGAAATTTTTTTCATTGCGTATCAATCACTTTCGCGTAATTCCAGGGCAAACTACCAGAGCAAAATGGCGTTGATTTTTATAGAGCTCTTACGAAATTATTTCAGGGCGTTGCGCAGTTTTTATTGAATATTTTTGTAATTTTTGTAAAAATTGAAGATGCGACTTTGAAGATGAGAAAAGCAACTCACTTGCACCCTGGCTTCTGTGAGATCGATCTTCATTGCTATCTCCTCTCTTGTGTAAATGTCAGGATAATGCGTCTCCTGGAAGGCCCTTTCGAGCTCCTTCAGCTGTGCTGACGTAAAGGTCGTACGTATCCGTCGCTGTTTCCTCTTTTCGGCGAGACCGTCGTGTGCTGAGTACGGCTTGTAACCCAGGCCACCTGCCAAATAAATTTTCATCAGACCATTCCATTGAAAAACTGACAACAAATCTTCCACTCCTCTCTCCAATACCACAATCAACCCCAAACATTACGCCAGTAAATTACGAATGAATATATAAAATTACACAAAATTTCTGTAAAAAATGTTTGATTGACATTTCAATGAATTCAATATTCTAGTTAATGGATTATCATTCAGTTAATGGATATAAACATTTGACTTTGATTGAATTTTCTTGTTGTAATGAATGCTAGGTAAAAGTATTTTTTACTCGCGGTGCGATAAAATGGGCTTTGAGATCTGATCCTCTGATCGACGCAATGAGAACGCCAGTACGTAACCATAGTGATGAGCATCAAGAGGATGAGGAGAGAGGAGGGAATCCATTGATTTTCAGTGCCATCTTGTCGCTGCTAAAACTAAAACTCTCTGCCAGACCCGTCCGCCGGCTGACTATAAACTTATCCATCCACTTGACAGCATTTATCGGGAAGTAAGTGCACAGTCAGACCACTTCATGAGGGAATTGTAAAAGTACTTATCGATATTTCGAATTATGCATGTATTTTTTAAATCATTCATAAAATGCCGTATTGGATTATCGACAATCTATGACGGACTATGCATTAGTTCAATTTCAATTAATTTTCATGAAAAGTTTATGATTCTATAATTCTCCATATCGAATGATACAAGATAGAATTCTAGCTATTAAAAGCAGTATTTGGCAATAAATTCCATCTCTCAATAAATAAAATAAAAATAAATATTATAATAATTAAGAATGAGAAATTTCTAATGTAGATCAAAAAATTCATCCAATTATTGATTAATCCCTTTTTTTAACGAGTGTTCCATCCCAAGGGAATTCAATTTTTATAAATTGAATGACAACTAATGTTTTTAAATATTTCATTAATTTCAAAAATATCAACAATAAGCTCTGACTGATTCGGCCGGCGGCTGGCCTCCGACTGAACGGCTAGTTCTGAGTTGGTCATCCAAGTCGATAATGTAGTCCTATTGCCATCTCGCGGTATTTCTACGTCCACCCCATCCTATTATTAATTTCTTATAATTTACCCCAAAAATAAATTAGCTCGATTCAAAAGAGTTAATTAATGTCGATTGGAATATTTGATTCTCTCAACTCAAAAGAACGTCAAAAGAGACGCCATTATGTGGCTGAGTGTCGGCAAAAAATCGAATTTTCCATTCCTTTTTTAAATTTCATTATGCCCCATTGCCACTCGATTTTCGATTGTGCAACAAATCAAGGCAGTGGAATGCATTCACTAATAAACTAAACGATTCCTACTGACAAGAGAGGCCATCAAATAAAAATGCTCATCCCAACATAGAAATTTGAAGTGAATAATGGAGAAAATATCAACTGAAGAGCTAGATGATGGCTCTGTGTTCGTCCTGATGAAGAAGTAAACGAAACTGGAGTGAAATATTTAGTCAATCCTCGATTCACATGCGGCACTTAAGTACTTGAAAGTCTTTCGTTTTCGGTGGTTTTAGGTGAAAAATTGACATAGCTGTGACACATGACGTTAAAAAATTGAGGGAAAAATTATTTTCGACTCGTGGAATATAATCAAGGGAAATTATCCGGGCAAATCATTGGGGATAAATTTTTTTGAGTGCCTTGAGATAGAGTGGGAGATGAAATTGGAGTTCATTTTTGGAGCAAAAAAATAGAACCATGTCATCGATTATTGACAATGCGCCAGCATCGATAATTGACATTGTTTGATGGGTAATTTTTTTGCTTGGATGATAATTCGACAATGCACCGGATATGAATCTATATTCTCCGGAGGAAATTCGATCAGATTACAAGGCGACTCCGATTAAATTATTAATGCAGTTTAAGCGTCTGATCCATTCCTCGTCACAACCACTATCTCAGTGCTTGTCGGTTTACCAACAAAGGTGACACGTTTTTCATTTTAAAAAATCGCCCCGTGTATTTCAAAATCCCCCATTTTCTCTTAACAAAAAATTAATTTGATGAAGCATTTATTTTCGGGAAAGGGACACCAAAAACGATTCGCGAAGAAAAATCGTGAAATCGCTGGTTTTGCCGCTACTGTCAAAAATATATTAAAAATACTCTATTCTCTCAATTTATTCATCATTTAAACATTAATCACGCTAATTTACGTTTTCATATTTTTTGAGTAAATCTAATTGTTATCAATATAAATTTGACAATTTTGAATTAAAAATTTTCTGAAATCGAATTTCCAATTAAAAATTCTCTGAAATGGAATTTCCAATTAAAAATTTTGAAAAATTTGAATGAAAAAACTATGTTCACCGGAATTGTCCAGTTCTCTATGAATTTCCAGAAAATAATGACCAATAGAATATAGCGAAAGAATGCCCGACAGAGTGAACATTGCGATTGAACAACCATGCAATACAGTCCAGTAATATAACGGTATTATTATCGTCGATTTGTTACCTTGAAGATTAATAGACTGATTGAAAATGGAAGCAGCATGCCGATGAACGTCCTGAGTCCTTGCCGCCATAACAGAGCACGGGGTGGTATGTGCAGCATGATGCGCGTGGGCATGATGCCCAGCATGATGAGCGCCGAGTGCGGGCCCACTGGCAGTGCCAGTGGTACCGGCATTTGCCGGATATCCTGCGGCCCTTGCCGCCGTATACCGATAAGCTGCCTGACTCATCTGCGAGCACGAGCTCAAATCCCCATATCCACACTGCATATCTCCGGCGGCAAGAGCACAGCTAGATGCCTCAAACCCGGCGGCCGCCGCTGCCGCCGCTTGATTTAAATACGAGTAATCCATTCCCTCAACACCGCAAATCTCACAAAATCACTAATTCCAACGCGTCTCCAACAAGCTCACCCGATCACCCAGACAATCCCCAATCCCCAATCTCAGTCCTCACCACTGGGTGGCATCCCGGCCGCGGGGCCGTCGGAGAGCCTCGTCAACACACGATCAGTCCCCGAAATCGTATTACATCAAATAACTCCCCGAAAAAGCCCCAATTTTCCCCAGAGAGCGATAGCGCGCGTTTTCCCGTCGCGGCGGATTGCGTCGGCGCACGCGCACTCACTCGACAAACGGTTTAAGGCCCAAAACAGGCGATTTTCCGCACCACCACCGCACCTCAGGTACGCAGCGACTTGAAGATGAAGAAAAAAAAAAGAATATAAAATGATAAAATGAGGATGAATGGAGGAAGGTAAGAACCACGGGGACGATGAGGATCTCCAACTCCTTTGTTTTCTCTCCTGCACCTCCTTGAGCTCTCACCACGCGTTATAGCTCTTGAAAGGCCGCGGGGTGCTTACGATGTAATCGTATCAAGGAGCGATATCAAATTATTGCGATTATCCCGGGGGTCGGCGATAGAAAAGTTTTTCGGTGGCGTTTAAGAGCACCCGAGACAACCGACTGGTGGCTCTCCTCAAAATCAAATGATAAGCTTAATTCAATAACGCTCCTCACATACCGAACCGTTTTACCCCCATTCGTATCGTAGCTCGGGTAAATGGAGGCGTGGCCAAGCCGCCCCGGGGGTTTGTGCCGATATGGCAGACGGGATGGGAGAGAATATCCACCGCTCATTGGTCCATTGTAAACAGCCACCCCTAACTATTTCATCCCTCTGTACGATTGTACCGTTTTCACTCTTGGCGGCAAGATCAACGCCCCTTGGTGATGAGCCTCTGTCGGTGAGGGACAGCGGGGATGGGGGGCGGCCCACGCAACCCTGGGATCTTTCAAAAATGGGTATGAGGGGTTAAAACGAAACGCTATCGCCTGTGATGATGCCTAATGTTTCGACTAGGGGGAAAATTCACGATTTTACGAGCCACGGAGCGCACCGAGCATTTCTACCATTTCTCTACTTTCCATTTGCCCACTTGAATCGACATTTGCGGCTTGTTGAATCCACTCCATGGATTTTAATATGCGGCTGAGGAATTTTTCATTTTCTCTCCACTCTATGTACAAATTAATTCGCCTAGAACAATATCTCAAAATAATTCTCCAGAAAAAAATGACTTTTTCTTCGATTTCAATATTATTTTCCAAGTCGTTAAATCTCTCTTTTTTTCTAATTAAATAATAACGTAATTCAGTGGTGGTTAATCAGATAAATCGGGTTAATGTGTATTCGAGAATTATTGAGTAGTTTGATTTCTGATTTGTCTCATCTCATAAATTTCGTGTCAATAAAAATGGAGGATCTGTGCGAAGGAAAAAAAAGGGAGATGAAAAAATGGTGCGACACTTGCCCGGCACTTGTTCTCACGAGTGCAAACAACATGGAAACGTCGACCCTCACTCTTTGGGGTTTTTTTTTTGTCTCCAAATCCAGCGGTCCCGGGGGATTCACGGCAGCAATGGGCTACAGCGTGCGGTATGTTGGCTCCACGCTCCAACAAGGGTAACCGCCCCATCCGTGAGCACTCATCCATCCACACCGATGCCTCGGTGTGTTGAGCTTTCAGGGTGTGTGGATCCAGGAAGAATTGGAGGGAGTGCGTGGATACACGCGGGACTCAGCTACATATGTCCTTGATTTGTCCGGAGAATAATATTCTCCTGCAAAGTTGATTAAATATTGGTCGGTGCAGGGCCCCATGGGACGCCCGACAATTCGCTAGGAATACAATTTAATATCTCAACGCCTGGGATACCCTAGTTCACCGTGTCTCTACCATCTTTACCATTATTTGCCACTGCACTCGCTTCGTCAACTCCATAATTACCCTTTTCTTCCCTTTTTGCATAATTTTTTGCTAAATATCCTCATAAATTCTCATGAGATTTTATGAAAAAATCAAATTCAATTGATGGATAGAGAAATTTAATTTTTAGTTTTTTTTTAATGATTATTTTCATCAGGACTTTTTAAAGCTGGTTAGATCGCACGATTCTACCCGGCCAGGAATCGAACCTGGAACCCATGCGTTGTGAGGCAACGACCTTAACCACTACGCCAGGCCACCGGGAGAGAAATTTACTTATTGATCATATTTTTGTTTTTCATATTTAATTCATGTTTTTTCAAGCTTTTAAATTTATTAGATTTTCGGGCAACTGTATTCATAATTTCACAAATCAATATGGAGAGTTGAAGATTCAATGGAATTTTTAGTTCCAATGGAATCGAATTCAAATATTAAGTGTTCAACGTTTAACGAAAATTGAAAATTGAACGCAATCTATCCCCACGTGGTACCATATTTTCATTCAAAACATGTACAATTGACAATTCTTTGTTAATATGTAATGAAAAGAAAATGGAATGGAAGTTGGTTAAAGATTATCGAGAAGTTCGACGTGATTAATGAGAATATCTATAGAATGATAAAAGATTCAATCTTCCTGAGGTCACGACGGAAATGAATGATAGTGCTGACATTATTAATTCAAACCCATGTCATTCCATTATGAAATGCCTTCATCCAAAATCACAGGAACCTGAATACTAGAGTTGGGAGCGTAAAAAAAAATATAAAATTTTTCTTTCAGAATTTACTTTGAAGCTTTGAGAAAAGCTTCAAAAATTTTTTCGACGCTATTCTATCGCTCGTTGAAAAAGTTCACCGTGAATCATATTTTTGCGCTATCTCGCTAATATTCTTATTCACTTTTCACCACAAATTTATGAGAGAAAATAGTAAAGCCAGATGAGGTGAATTTAACGTGATTGCTGATAATCAATTATTTGAATATCAATTGATTGAAAGAATTATTGATTTTAGTACAATTTGGGCAGAAATTGTTGCGCCGAAAATATAATGAATGAGTCGTCAGACGACATGAGTTTTCCCTTCACTTCCTATCCAATGAGAAACCTAAATCAATAATCCCTAATCACCATTCACATCTTCCAAACCAACCATTGATAATTATCATCTGCTAAATAATTATCGAATAACTCGATTAAACAACCGAGAATTTAATTATTGATACAACTGGAAATAGAACCATTGGGGCAGGTCATTCACTGATTCATCTCGATTTGACGTAGAGAATTTCCCCAGAAATGATTGATGTTGCCGTTCAAATGAGAATAAACCCAATAAACAGAAATTGTAATGAGTTTTGAACTGCAATTCAGGGATTTTGAGGGAATTAAAAAACAATTGACGAGCCAATATTATTTATTAATGAAAAAATTATTCTTGACTTGCGTCAACATTTTCTGTCTGCAGACTCTTGAAGCTCACGACGGGGATGTATGTGACGAGAGTGTACAGCTTGTTGGCAGAGTCTTCATCGTCGTTCCTTCTTCGGCTCAATCGAACACGAACTCTGAATGGAACGTTTCTATACAAAAAAAAATACATCATTGACGATGAATTTCAATATCCTGATTGACATAATTGAATTACTGAATAATTGCGGAAATTCCGGAAACCATCACTCTGCCTACATCCGTTCTCTAAATGAAATTCTCTTAGCTGTAATTCCATAATGGAATGGTCTTACACTCTCAATCAAATTAATTGTCAGTTAAGTCCTCGTTGAACAAGATCAGAGACATTCACCCACAATTGATCCCATAATCAAATGAATTTTAGCTGTTTGGTGACTTCATTACTGAATCAATTAGTCGAATTTATTTCTCAGTAGTTTTCTCATTTTTTTCATCTCAAAAAGAACAGAACAATTTTTTAATGGGATTTCAAACAATTACAGATTAATTGTTGTTCCAAGTTTAAGACAAGTGTAGAAATTGGATTTTGGAACAATCATCGGGTAATGATCTCTCACCTGATACCCTTGGACCAGAGTTGCTTGTTAAGACGAGTGTCAATCCTGACATCAGGTGTTCCCATCTGTTTCTCTGCGAATTTACGGATCTCCTTGATGGCCCTTGGGGCACGTTTCTTGAATCCCACTCCATGGAGACGTTTGTGAAGGTTTACGGTGTACTCCCTGGTCACCACTTCATTGATGGCACTCTTGCCCTTTTTCTCATTCGTCTTGGCCATCGTCACCTGCAAAAAATATCACCAACAGAGTACACTGAGTCCAATATTCTCCGTTTTTCACCCTCCACACCTGCATTGAATTTGAGGTTAACCCTGACAGCTATAAACAACAGTAACATAACCCCCAAATGTTGCAAGCAGTAACAATTATCATTAACAAATAAATTGAACAAAATCCATCATATCTCTAATCCACCCTTCAACAATTTAATCTTCGGTTAAATGTCATTGGGTTCTGATGTAAACAAACGTCTCAAACATGTGACTCGAAAAATGATCCTTAATCGACACACAATCCAAAAAATATTGAACTAATTCTACACAAGAATTAATGAAGATTATTATTTCACTGAATAATGTCAGAATTCATTGCAATTGAGGTGGATGTTGTTAGATTTTCAGTCCAACAAAAATCCTTCATTACCTTTCCGACAAATGGATCTACTGAAAAGAACTTCAAGGCGCGTTTACAGAATCTAACAAGTGGAGCAGCCAAAGAGGATTGAGTAAAGTAGAGGCTCACTTCTGGGGGTTTGAGTAACCCCAGCGGCATCGTAGCACTTGCACCCCAAGAGAGGGAGGGCGCCACAGTCAATCTAGCAAAGCAACCACAAATCGAGGAGAATAAAAAAGCATTACATAAACTGTCTGAGAAAGGCTGTGAGCTGCTGCGGAAATTGAAGAAGAATCGGAAGTAATTATTTAAGCAATTATATAAACAATTATCAAATGATAATTGTGATTTTTATTTGTATTCTCCTTTGTGTCCAGAAAATAGCTGAGAAATTCCTATCGGGAGATACAGAAGTCGATGAATTCCTGGATCAATTCTTGACCCGAAGAAGGATAATGCATTTACGAAAGGTGAAGGTAGACAAAATGCGAGAGCTGAAGAGGAAACCGAAATCGTCAACAGAGGTTATCCAGCAGTGAACACCTTTCGCCGCCCAAGTTTTCTTAAAGCTATTTCCATAATGTGCCTTCGTCATGGTCATGGACATCGACTCAGATACGTGCATTTTTTGAAGGAACTAATTATCTGGTTCCAGAGCGTTTGAGGATGAAAATAATTCCCACGATAGCCCTCATCTCAGATAGCAAGACAAAAGACTACATCGTAGGCTTCACGGACCTCGGAAATTGCGACGATTTTTCCACAGAGATGATGGAGTGGAGAATAGTCCAGTCTGGTACAATATCATACACTGGTGACCTGTTGAATCCACCAGAAAAGGGAAAGAAGCCGTCTAATCTACTCTTTGGAAACAAGAAATCAAAAACAAATCGAGGCAAAACTAATTCTGACGACAGTGGTTCTGATAACGAATGATTTATTCTCATTCGATCGAATTTTCCTAGTTATTCGCATACCTTTTTGTATTATTATTATTTTACTTACGTCACGCACCCTGATAAATGATAAAGTATTTTTGAATGAACCTTTTTGTTTGGACTCATCTCAGCTCCGTTTTTCCTGTCTCGTCGATGACTCCCTGTACCTTCTCCTTCAATCCCTCCAGCTTCCCTTTTAATAACTCTGAGCTCTTCAATGCCTCAGATTCCACTGACTGGAATTTTTGACGAGCTGATTTCAAAGCCTCCGACTGCTGATTATTTGTATTTCAACGAATTAACAGTTATTAAAAATATCTTCACAAATTTGTCAGTGATGTTTAAGGCCCGGATGGACTGTCTGGAAAAGATAATTTACTCCAAAATTGGAACTTCTAATTACTCCGTCAATTAATCGTTTTTTTCGATAATTGTTAGCTAGTGGCCTAGTTGTTGACAACCGCTAGAACGCTAGCTAACAATTATTTTAAAAAACGATTAATTGCCGAAGTAATTAGGAATCCGAATTTCGGAGTAAATTATCTTTTCTAGATAATCCACCGGAGCCTTAATTGATTTACTTCAATAATTTAATATCGTACTTACCATTTTGGGCGTAGATATAAAATACGACATAAATTTAAGGCCCGGATGGATTATTTGGGAGAGATTATTTACTCCGAAATTTGGACTCCTAGTTACTCCGGAAATTAATCGTTTTTTTCAATAATTGTTAGCTAGCGCCGTAGCGGTTGTCAACAACTAGAGCGCTAGCTAACAATTATCGGAAAAATCGATTAATTGGTGGAGTAATTAGGAGTGGCAATTTTGGAGTAAATCATCTTTTCCAGACAATCCAACCGGGCTTTAATTCCAATTTCAAAATGCGGCACTCCAGCGTAGTCAATCACTTGTTTATACACGCACTCGCGATTTATCTGATGGAGCCATATCTGCTGGCATCTCGACATCATCTGATCGAGAGATAAAATCATCTCGAAAATTCAAACCCCCGAACCGACCACGAAAAAATCCACGGAACGGATACGATATATCCGGCGGCGCTAGTTAATAAATAAATTTCACTCACCGGCGTTGGATGAAAATAAGTCCGCTTTCAATTTTCACCTTTCGAACGACCTACCTTAACTGTAAACATAAAAAAAAAACAAATTGTTAATGAAATTTCGACAAAATAATTTTTTTACTGCAAAGGCGATTTTGAATTTTCATTTGAGAGTTTTTATTCAAAATTATTATTTAAAATTGTTTATTATTTTTTATTTAAAATTTTTTTATTTTATTGGAGAGTTAATTGACTAATTGAAAATTGTTTGTAATGTAAGCATTGAATATATCGAGAATCAGGAATAAAAAAAATGACATGAAAATAAAATGAAAATGATGCTTCAAGGTCATAAAAAAATGCATACGAAACTCACCTTGCAGTCGGTTGCAAGATGCCCTCCAATCCTGAAGATCTCTATGTGATTCTGACGCCAAAGGTTGAAGCTCACGGCTTGGAAGCACCAGCACTCGAGACAGTTCACAAATTCACTAATCACTCACCACACAACCAAGAATGTTTTATCAACTCAAAATCCACAAAGATCAATAAAATAATATCAAACATCAAATAATATTTTAAATCATTCAAAATAATATGAATGAGAAACGTAATCCTTCGAATCTAATTCGCACTCTCACTTCAGTCCGAATGTAAACACACTACACAATTCCGAGAAAAGGACAAAGGAATTTATGAAAACACAATGACGCCGGGCGGCCGTTCGTCAATACCCAAGTTCAGTGTAACAAAGGAAAAATTTCAATCACTCAAAATGCTTTGATAAACTGTTTAAAAAATTATTTCACATCACAAAATCACTTGCACTGAGTCCTGCACTTTGTATTCTCAATGTTCACAGCCGGCGCCGGTTTTCTACACTCACTATAACCCCGATGTTAACAAATTTTAACTACGCGACACGGGAGCGTCCGTTCCACGCGCTGCGGCCGAACGACTGACTCCCCACTCAAAATGGCGGGGCATTGGAGACGGCGCTCGAGTGGGGGGTCGCCAGGCGATACTCCGCGCATGCGCATAGAACACCAACTTTAGTCAATCCTCCTTGGGAAAAATATCGATTGTTGGACAGTCGATACTCAAGATTGATCAGAGAAAGGCCGATTATGAAAACAATTTTTAACTTATAGTAACTATAGTATACGGTAAACTCCATTTTTAATGAGTCATGAGGCTAACGAGGTAAAAGATTGATCAGATTTTTTTTTCAAATTTTTTAAGTTTTTCCAAATTTGCACACGAACGTAAATGTCATAAATCGACTAATCGAGGGTGGAAAAACATCAGTTGTTCGATTAATCGACGAACACTAAATTCTACCCAGCGTGGCGCATGGCACAGAGCGGGGGAACTTTCCTATTATTTTACGGTTAGGTTTTATGTTTACGTTAAAAAAATCCTCGCATATGCTGATAAACGCTTCCAGAAGTGGTGCAGAAGGTAAGAAATCGCTTTCCTCGTTGATGATCCTGTGGTTCTAATGGTTTTTATCGTTTCCAGATTAGAGCATTCGAGGAAAACATTGATGAATGTTCACTTCCACTTGATGAGTGGCGGAGACTCAGGGATTTTTTCAACAAATTGGTATTTTTTATACAAATATTAAACTTATCAGTACAAATAGAGGATTGAGACTGACAAAGAGTTTAAGGATGTCCGACTCCGAGGATAGTAATTTTTCGGGAAGTGAGAGGGGTGGAAGGAGTGGAAGTGAGGAACGCTCGGTGAAATCAGGGGGAAGTAGATCGGTGTCGAGGAGTCGCTCGAGATCGAGGAGTCGTTCAAGAAGTCGCTCGAGGAGTCGCTCGGGCTCGGGTTCAGAGAGGGGTAGGGATGACGAGGCTGAGGAAGCTCGATCTGACGAGGAGGTAGAACCCGAAGAGGAGCCAGAGGGTGAGGACCTGGACAGCGAGGAGGAGGAGGAGGAGGACGAGCGACCCAAGAAGAAGAAGAAGAAGGACAGATTCTGCGGATTCATTGATGATGAGGCTGAGGTTGACGACGATGTGGAGGATGATGATGAGTGGGAGGAGGGGGCCCAGGAGATGGGAATCGTTGGGAATGAGGTGGACGAGGTGGGACCAACTGCCAGGGATATTGAGGGCCGCAGACGTGGGACAAATCTCTGGGATTCACACAGGGAGGATGAGATCGAGGAGTACTTGAAGAAGAAGTATGCGGGCGAGTGTGGAGCTGCTAGACATTTTGGTGATGGAGGTGAGGATATGGGGGATGAGATAACACAGCAGACACTATTACCAGGGGTTAAGGATCCGAATTTGTGGATGGTTAAGTGTAGAATTGGCGAGGAGAAGGCGACGGTACTTCTCCTTATGCGTAAATTCTTGACTTACCAATTTGCAAATGAACCACTTCAGATTAAGTCTGTGGTTGCACCTGAGGGGGTCAAGGGTTACATATACATTGAGGCGTACAAGCAGCCACACGTCAAAGCTGCTATTGACAACGTTGGTAATCTGAGGATGGGAGTTTGGAAGCAGCAGATGGTGCCCATCAAGGAGATGACTGATGTGCTGAGAGTCGTTAAGGAACAAACTGGTTTGCGGGTTAAACAGTGGGTCAGACTAAAGAGAGGATTGTACAAGGATGATATTGCTCAGGTAGATAGTGTTGACGACTTGAAGCACAATCAGGTTACCCTCAAGCTTCTACCGAGAATTGATTATACGAAACCGCGAGGTGCCTTAAGAACAGCTCAGTCTGAGAGTGAGGCGGTGAAACGCAAGAAGGGACGACGACCACCTGCTAAACTCTTTGATCCTGGAGCGATTCGAGCTATTGGTGGGGATATCACTAGTGATGGAGACTTCCTCATGTTCGAGGGTAATCCGTACAGTCCCAAAGGTTTTTTGTACAAGAAGTTTTTGATTAACGCCATTATTACTGAGGGAGTCAAGCCAAGTTTAACAGAACTGGAGAAGTTCGAGGAGGCACCCGAGGGGGTTGATCTCGATCTTGACTCAACTGAGGGATCCAAGAAAAAGGATACGGCTCCTACTCATTCGTTCAGCACTGGAGACAATGTGGAGGTGTGCGAGGGCGAGTTGATGAATCTTCAGGGTAAAATCGTGTCGATCGATGGCAACATGATTATGGTACTGCCGAAGCACGAGGAGCTCAATGATCCCCTGGAATTCCAGGCGAACGAGCTGAGGAAGTACTTCAAGATGGGTGATCACGTAAAAATCGTCGCTGGAAGGTACGAGGGTGATACTGGGCTCGTCGTCAGAGTTGAGCAGAATCGTGTGGTTCTATTCTCAGATCTATCGATGCACGAACTCGAAGTACTACCCAGGGATCTCCAGCTGTGCTCAGACGTGGCCACTGGTGTCGACAGGCTTGGACAATTTCAATGGGGAGATCTGGTGGATGTTGATAAGCAAACTGTTGGTATGATAGTGCGTCTTGAGCGTGAGAACTTTCATGTACTTCAAAATGACGGCAAAGTTGTGCAGAAGAGGCCCCAGGAGTTATCAAAAAGACGTGAGAATCGCAATACATTTGCCCTGGATCATCAGCAGAATGAAATACGTAAAAGGGATATCGTTAAAATCATAGATGGACCACACACAGGTAGAGATGGTGAGATTAAACATCTCTACCGTAGTTTTGCATTTGTGTATTCACGTCTGTACGTAGACAACGGTGGAATCTACGTGTGCAAAACAAGATATCTTCAGTTAGCTGGTGGAGCTAAGAACAACTCGTCGTCGGTGGGTGGTTTGGGTGGTATGTCTCCACGTATTAGTTCACCAATGCATCCGAGTGGTGGTGGTGGTGGAGGAGGAAGAGGCGGTGGTGGTGGACGAGGACGTGGTCGAGGTGGTGGAGGTCCTGGTATGCGCCGTGAACGAGATCTCATAGGTACAACGATTAAGATCACTGGAGGGCCCTACAAGGGTAACGTGGGTATCGTCAAGGACGCCACTGACAGCACCGTTAGAGTGGAGCTCCACTCGACTTGTCAGACAATCTCGGTCGACAGATCGCATATTGCTAAAGTCGGAGTGCCAACCAAGGACGGCAGCTTCAGCTCTTACACGAGAACCCCAGCTTACTCCAGCGGTGGACAGACACCAATGTACGGCTCCAAGACTCCGATGCACGGCTCACAGACACCAATGTACGAGAATGGCTCGAGAACACCTCATTATGGCTCTATGACACCGTCTCACGACGGCTCAAGGACACCAGGACAGTCTGGTGCGTGGGATCCAACACTTACCAACACCCCCGCAAGGAGCAATGATTTCGACAGTTACAGCATGGAAGATGGTGGTTCTCCAGGCTATGGTTATCCATCTACAGGTGAACCATTCACCCCGCAAACCCCTGGGACAATGTATGGATCAGAGCAAAGTTACAGCCCTTATCAGCCAAGTCCAAGCCCCGTTGCCAGTGCCACAGCAAGTCCCAGTCCAGCCGGATACGTTGCACCATCTCCATCTGGAACTGGTTACACTACGAGTCCACGTGTCTTTCCATCTCCTTCGCCCATTAATTACAGTCCCATGACCCCTGGCACCGCTGGAAGCCCTTACAATCCACAGACACCTGGAGCTGGATTGGATACTGGAATTGGTGGAGGACTCATGGGGAATAATGAATGGCACACTGTGGATATTGAAGTGAGAATCAGAGATTCACATCAAGATCCAGCCCTCGCTGGACAACAGGGTGTCATCCGTGGTATATCTGTAAGTCATTATTTCTCACTCTCAGGACTATAGACTAAATTATTGGCATATTAATTCGCACAATGAATTCACATTTATTCATGCTCTAGGGTGGTATGTGCGCTGTATTCCTGCCAGCTGAAGATCGCGTGGTGAATCTGGTTTGCGAGCAACTGGAGCCAGTGGTACCCGTTCATGGTGATCGAGTGAAGATCGTACTCGGTGAGGATCGCGAGGCTGTTGGCACTCTTCTGTCGATTGACACACAGGAGGGTGTTGTCAAGCTCACCAATGGAAAAGTCACCATGTGCCAGCTGCGATATCTCTGCAAAATGAAGACTCCGGCCTAAAGTTTACGTTTCTATAAATCAGTTCATTCCCATTTCTTTCAATTTTTACAGTAACTCAAGTTTACATTTACTGAAATTGCCTCTTTAGTTAAGGTAAAAAATACCTGTATGGTTTATGATGTTTCATACTTTTGGAAATTCTTAACTGAATAAACAGTTATGTCAATAAACAAATGTGTTGATACTGACTGTGCGCAAGCGTGAATATGCACCTGTGATGTCATCCTTCGCGCAGTTGGCCATTCTGACCAACGTAATCCGTACATACCAGTGGCCTCAACCCCTAAAAACACTCAGTACTGCATCCCATCGAGGTTAGACATTGTTTGCATTATTCACTGAATGTTGTTGCTTCTCCACTCCATTGTTGTCGTCATAAAAACCACTTGTCAGCAAGTCGTTGAAGAGATTTGACATTTGTGTGCACTAGACGCATCACTGGGAGGAGTCCCTCCTGCAATCAAGAATAGACACTGGTAGTAATGAGAGCACAAGTTCATGGCGCAGTAATCAAAACAAAAGTCGAGTAATCGAAGTGAAAGGAGTGAAAGTAAAAAGAGTGGGACGTGAAAAAAATGCCAATTTCTAGACACGGGAGTTATTCTGGATCGGAGAGTGATCGTGGAGGATCTGACAGCGAGGCTGAGGACAATCAGTCCTTGAAGTCTGGAAGTGTAAGGTCGGGATCGCGAAGTCACTCGAGATCGCGGAGTCATTCGCGTTCGAGATCGAATTCGGCATCGGGATCGGATCGGGTGAGGGATGACGAGGCTGAGGAAGCTAAATCCGGAGAGGAGGAACCCTCGGAGCCTGAGGAGGAGCCCGAGGGAGAGGAGCTGGACAGTGAGGAGGAGGAGGACGACGAGGACGAGAGACCCAGGAAAAAGAAGAAGAAGGACAGAATATGTGGATTTATCGATGATGAGGCTGAGGTTGACGATGACGTGGAGGATGATGAAGAGTGGGAGGAAGGGGCACAGGAGATTGGAATCGTTGGAAACGAGGTGGACGAGCTGGGGCCAACGGCTAGGGAAATTGAGGGTCGCAGACGCGGAACGAATCTGTGGGATTCACAGAAGGAGGATGAGATTGAGGAGTACTTGAGGAAGAAGTATGCCGATGAGTCCGTTGCTGCTAGACACTTCGGGGATGGCGGTGAGGATATGGGGGATGAGATAACGCAGCAGACACTCTTACCAGGAGTTAAAGAACCTAATTTGTGGATGGTAAAGTGTAGAATTGGCGAGGAAAAATCCACTGTTCTTCTGCTTATGCGTAAATTCTTAACTTATCAATTTACGAATGAACCACTGCAGATTAAATCTGTAGTGGCACCTGAGGGAGTCAAGGGTTACATATACATTGAGGCGTACAAGCAGCCCCACGTTAAAGCTGCTATTGAGAGCATTGGTAATCTCAGGATGGGCATTTGGAAGCAGCAGATGGTACCCATCAAGGAGATGACTGATGTGCTGAGAGTTGTCAAGGAGCAAACTGGCTTGAAGGCTAAACAGTGGGTCAGGCTTAAACGAGGAATTTACAAAGACGATATCGCACAGGTTGATTATGTGGATTTGGGACAGAATCAAGTTTATCTGAAGCTATTGCCGAGAATTGACTACACAAGACCTCGAGGGGCACTCCGAACAGCTCAATCTGAGAGCGAAGCGTTAAAACGCAAGAAGAAACGACGACCTCCAGCCAAACCATTCGATCCCGAGGCCATTCGTGCTATCGGAGGTGAAGTCACTAGTGACGGTGATTTCCTGATATTCGAGGGAAATCGATACAGTCGCAAAGGATTTTTGTACAAGAATTTTACGACCAGTGCGATAATCGCTGAGGGGGTGAAGCCAACCCTGTCGGAGCTCGAGAAGTTCGAGGAGGCACCAGAGGGTATTGACATCGAGCTCAGTGGAACAAATGGGGCTATTGGAAAAGATGATGTTGCTATTACCCACTCGTTCAGCACTGGGGACAATGTGGAGGTGTGCGAGGGAGAGTTGATGAATCTCCAGGGTAAAATCGTGTCGATCGATGGCAACATGATTATGGTACTGCCGAAGCACGAGGAGCTCAATGAGCCCCTGGAGTTCCAGGCGAATGAGCTGAGAAAGTACTTCAAAATGGGTGATCACGTGAAAGTCGTGGCTGGGCGGTACGAGGGTGACACTGGGCTAATTGTCAGAGTTGAGCAGAATCGTGTGGTTCTATTCTCAGATCTATCGATGCACGAACTCGAAGTACTACCCAGGGATCTTCAGCTGTGCTCAGACGTGGCCACTGGTGTCGACAGGCTTGGACAATTTCAGTGGGGAGATCTGGTGGATGTTGATAAGCAAACTGTCGGTGTAATTGTACGTCTTGAGCGTGAGAATTTCCACGTACTACAGAATGACGGTAAAGTTGTGCAAAAGAGGCCCCAGGAATTAACAAAACGACGAGAAAACCGCAATACATTTGCCCTGGATCATCAGCAGAATGAAATACGTAAAAAAGATATTGTTAAGGTCGTGGATGGACCACACACCGGTAGAGATGGTGAGATTAAACATCTCTACCGTAGTTTTGCATTTGTACATTCACGAATGTACGTGGATAACGGTGGTATATTCGTTTGTAAAACGCGATATCTGCAACTGGCTGGTGGTACCAAAGCTGTTTCTGCTGTTTCACCGATGTCGGGATCGATGTCACCGAGGATAAGCTCGCCCATGCATCCGAGCGGTGGTTTTGGGAGAGGTGGGGGAGGAGGAAGAGGTCGTGGCCGAGGCGCTGGTCCGCGTCGTGATCGCGAGCTCATTGGAACGACGATTAAAATCACTGGTGGCCCATACAAAGGGAACGTTGGAATTGTCATTGATGCTACTGAGAGCACAGTCAGAGTAGAGCTTCATTCAACATGCCAAACAATCTCCGTTGACAGATCGCACATTGCGAACATCGGAGTACCAACCAAAGACGGGGGTTTCAGCTCGTACAGCAGAACACCGGCTTATTCGAGTGGAGGGCAGACCCCCATGTACGGAAGGGACGGCTCCAAGACCCCCATGCACGGATCTCAGACCCCGATGTACGAGAATGGCTCGAGAACACCTCATTATGGTTCTATGACACCTTCTCACGACGGCTCAAGGACACCAGGACAGTCTGGCGCGTGGGATCCAACGGTTACCAATACTCCAGCGAGAAACAATGATTTCGACAGTTACAGTATAGAGGACGGTGGCTCACCAGGTTATGCCCCCGGGTATCCATCGACTGGAGGACCTTTTACTCCACAAACCCCTGGAACAATGTACGGATCCGAGCAGAGCTACAGTCCTTATCAACCCAGTCCAAGTCCTGTTGCCAGTGCCACAGCAAGTCCCAGTCCTGCTGGATACGTTGCCACACCATCTCCATCGGGTACTGGTTACACCACCAGCCCCCATGGTGTCTTTCCATCACCCTCGCCCATAGGCTACAGCCCCATGACCCCTGGCGCCGGTGGAAGCCCTTACAATCCACAGACACCTGGAGCTGGATTGGATACTGGAATTGGTGGAGGACTCATGGGGAATAATGAATGGCACACTGTGGACATTGAAGTGAGAATCAGAGATTCACATCAAGATCCAGCCCTCGCTGGACAACAGGGTGTCATCCGTGGCATATCTGTAAGTCATTATTTCTTACTCTCAGGACTATAGACTAAATTATTGGCATATTAATTCGCACAATGAATTTATATTTATTCATGCTCTAGGGTGGTATGTGCGCTGTATTCCTGCCAGCTGAAGATCGCGTGGTGAATCTGGTTTGCGAGCAACTGGAGCCAGTGGTACCCACTCATGGTGATCGAGTGAAGGTAGTACTCGGTGAGGAACGTGAGGCTGTTGGCACTCTTCTGTCGATTGACACGCAGGAGGGTGTCGTCAAACTCACCACCGGAGAACTCAAGATGTTGCAGCTGAGGTATCTCTGCAAAATGAAGACCCCGGCTTAGATATACGTTCATACCTTTTTGTCATTCCTGGGGTTTTTTAAAAACATAGATACTTTATTTTACACTGGAGAAAAGATATTTCATTCTCTCACGAAGGTTTGTTTGAACCTTATAAACTGTTTCTTAATAATTGTCGAGAGTCAAACTGTGAAAGTCAAGCGTAAATTCGAAATTTCTAGTCAATTCAAAACAATTGGATAAAAAAAATTTTTTATTTCTAATTACGTTTGTTATTAGTGTAATAGTCTCGATTATTTCAACAGGGGATAGTCTTATCGTAATGAAATTTTTTTTTTATGGATTATTAATTTGGTTCAATCATAACTGGTTCGAGAGAAAATTTTTTCCTCGGTGTACACTTACAGTTATTACCCGTAATACTTTGAACCATAGCTTTATGAATAAGTGTGATCCACCTTGTATTTTATTAGTCAATAAATACTAGAGAATCTATACAATAAAATTTTTTTAAAAATCGCATTTAAAACCCAACAACGAAGATAATAATAAATAACTATAAGAAGATATAATAATAATAACTATCAAGGGGAATAGAAATACTAGAATTCCCTGTGAAATTCTCAATTATGGAAGTAATTATATGGATAATTAACTTTTATCCATTACATTTTACTTCCACACATTTTTATTTCTCAGACCTGATACTCACAAAAATTTTTCATTCAAAATAAAATTCTAAACGGATTACAATGACAATACTATCGTGCCGATAATCTCTTGATGACAGTGAAAAATTTTCCCCGGCAATCAGCTGATGGCTGTCATAACCTGTCGAACAGTAGTCAAACCACAACAATAACAAGTGCTGGAGAAATGGGAGCTAGAATATTCCTCCGTACCTGGAGGCTCTTCACCCATGAGCGGCGGTCCCGAAGTCTCTCGTACCTTGGAGTAGGTGTCCTGGCATCAGGTGTTGCCTGGTATCACGGCATAAGAGAAGCCTCAGCCGCCCGGAATCAGCTGGACACCTCTCGCTTCATGGCAGATCCCGTCACTCCTACCGGGGATTTGTCAAAATCCCCAGGTGACATGAAGACAAAAATGGAATTGTTAATCCTTAAAATCCAATCCGATTTTTGCCGATCCCTTGAGTCCGTCGAGGACGGGACAAAATTCAAGGTCGACAAATGGTCCAGGAAGGAGGGTGGAGGAGGAATAACGTGTGTCCTCCAGGAGGGAACAGTTTTCGAAAAAGCGGGGGTCAATATATCGGTTGTCTCGGGACAACTTCCACCAGGTGAATTATTTACTGTTATTATTTATTATTATTTATTATTATATATATTATTATTATTGTTCATCAGGCTCGTCCCGATGGAATTTAAAATCCTCCCTTAGTATAAAAGTAAACTAGATACATTTATTTCGTATCTGAATTGAATAAATTTGTGTTTTTCCCTGATGACCTTCGTAAAACATAATGCACAGTTAAACGTTGACTCAACAAACCAGGTGCTGTGAGACAGATGCGTGCGAGGGGAAAGGAATTGGACGAGGGATCGCTTCCGTTCTTCGCAGCAGGAGTAAGTGCTGTGATTCACCCGAGGAACCCAATGGTCCCCACAATTCACTTCAATTACCGATACTTCGAAGTAACAAATAAAAACGGTTCGGTACAGTGGTGGTTCGGTGGTGGAACTGACCTGACCCCTTATTACCTGAATGAGGAGGACGCCAGGCACTTCCACAGGACCCTCAAAGACGCCTGCGACCAGCACGACCCGAGTTACTACAGTAAATTTAAGGACTGGTGTGATAATTACTTCGTGATCGAGCACAGAGGTGAGAGGAGGGGCCTCGGGGGCATCTTCTTCGATGATCTGGACAGCCCGAACCAGGAGAACGCGTTTCAATTCGTTAAATCTTGCGCAGAAGCTGTTATTCCGTCTTATATTCCACTTGTAAAGAAACACAAAGATGATGGGTATGGCTACGCCGAGAGACAGTGGCAGCTGCTCAGGAGAGGACGATATGTCGAATTCAATCTGATTTACGATCGTGGAACCAAATTCGGGCTTTACACACCTGGTGCACGGTATGAGAGCATTCTCATGTCATTACCGTTGACAGCCAGGTGGGAATACATGCATCAACCCAGTGCTGACTCTAAGGAGGGAAAACTCATGGAAGTACTAAAGGTGCCTAGGGACTGGTTGAATCTACAGGGTAAATAGATTTATTTGTACAGAGCGATTTGTTTTTTTTATTGGATCCTATATTTTGGAATAAATGGCATTTCGTATTGTCGATTGTTTTTTCCTTCGACGAAATATAATCAGTGAGGTGTCGGAAGGAAATTTAAAAAATCAAGTCAGAAAATTAATTTCTTCATCTTTTATTAAATCCTTTAATGTTCAAACGAACGTTATATTTGGTACAAATGATTGTCAGTTAACAATATAAAAATTAAAGATTGTCATTTACTTTGAACTTTTCTTCTCACTGCGATTGTTGTAACACTAATGGATTACCTCCCTTGTATTATTTTTATAAACGTATTCAATGAAGAGCACTTCGGAAAGTTTATAATCCCTATCAATATAACTCTTCTCATTAATAACAGAACATTAAACTTTACTCTTGTCTTGATGCTTTGGTGCTCAGACGTATAGAAATATAAATCTTTCACGCCTGCGAAGGTACGGAACATTCATAATCACATCTCATTTTCGTAATGTTTATAATCACAGTCATTTACTGACTATTCAACTGAACAAAAATCTCCTCGTAGATCAAAATAAATAAAAATCTCTCTCTTTATTTCCAACTAAAACTTAAACCTTAAACACTGCCTCCACAATGTCAAATTCATACCCTGTAATAATGCCTTGCAAATTTTCTCCAAAAATATATCTCTGACCCTCACATTTAGCCCAGAGAGTTACTGGAGCTACTCAAAGAGATCTCCAAGGCCTCCATTCTCTTCCTCAACTTTTCAAAAATCTTATCATTCTCGAATTTTCCGCCGGATTCATTGGAAGCCCTTTCGTTCCCCTCATTTTTCGGAGAGCTGTAATTTTCCTCCTTCTCTAGACAGTCATTATCCTCCTCATCACTTTCTTCCAGATCGAAAAACTCTGGCCAGTAATCCAATTCCTCTCTTGATTTGAGAGTATCTTGAGATCTCTGCGATTCTGCAGTTTCCTCAGAAGAATGATCCTCAGAGTTGTTCTCAACCCAACCCACAGGTATTCTCCTCCTTCTCTCATCTCGCTCCTGATCATTGAAATTGTAATGCCTCGCCGAAGTGGCATCTTCTACAACTCGTAAATTCGCGTTGGGATCCCACCTGGGCGTGACGTGGTGCTTTTTCGACAAGAGTTTAACGATCTCACTGTGACTGACGAACCTGTCCAGCAGGTGTTTAGGGCCATACCAAGCCTCATTCTCAAGGCAATACTGCATGAACTCCCTCCAGCAGTCATCATGCTCAAGAATCATGGGATTCCCAACGACAATCAGCAGAGCCTTAGCCCTGGTAACAGCCACATTGAATCTCTTAGGATTTGATAGAAACCCAATATGAATCTTACCTCCTGTGCCTCGATAGAGAACCGACCTGACAGTAGAGATGATGATTATATCTTTCTCCTGGCCCTGAAATATCTCCACAGTTCCCACCGGCAGATCCTTGATGCCATTCGCCTCGAGGGCCTCCACGATCTTCGCCTTCTGCAGTTTGTAAGGCGTCAGGATTCCAATTTCACTTTTCTCGACGACTCTGCCCCCCAGATTACTCCCAATGAGTTTTTTCACGTAATTCACAATAATGCGCACCTCGGCGGGGTTGTAGACACTTGGTGAGTACTTCTCTCTCATTTCGTCGCCTTTGACAGCGTGAAATATCACAGGAAAGTTCTTTTTGGGGAGATAGAACCAATCAGCAGCGCGCCTCGTGTGACTTCCACCACAGGCAACCAATTCTCCATCGTAGAAGAGTTTATTGGGGATATGGAGAATCGCCGGATGACATCTGTAATTCTTCACGAGTTTAGTAACGTAATTGGGGTCGTAACCGGTTTCCGAATGTTTGTAAGGTCCCCAGGACATGAGTCTCTCCAGCATCGACTTGGAGAGGATGGGTTCAGCAAGTCGAGAATGGCAGCATGGTCCCAGTTGCTTAGGATCACCAGCTATTATTACTTGACCACGGATATAATCATTCAGCTGTACTTTGTTACCACACATTGTCAGAAGGGGGATCAGGGTCTGAGGCTCTGATGCCTGGCCTGCCTCGTCGATAAAGAGATACGAAAAGTGATTCTCCTTCAGCTCGTAGTTGTAGACTCTCATCGCAGTCGATAGGGTTACGATAACTATTTTCTTTGTAAGAAAGACGCTTTTAGCGAGGAAAACTGCCTCATCCGAAGCGAGGTTTGAGGCACCTTTTATCGAGTCGTGGACGTCGTCGATACTCCTTGAGGCACTGTACAGACGGTATAATGCGTTCTCTGGGATTACCTCTGGTGTATGGCGCAGCAACTTTAGAGCAATCTCGTCTGCTGCTGAGTTGGAGGGTGTGCAGATGAGCACTCGGGTTGAGGAGTCGCGTTTGTAAATCTGAAGAATTGCCTCGATGAGGGTTGAGGTCTTCCCTGTTCCTGGGGGGCCGAAGAGAATGTATGGATCTGGCTTGGAATTTTTTGAGAGAATATTGATAATTGCCTGCTGCTGCTCTGGATTATCTTCGATGGTCTTGTTCACCCAGGAGAGTTTCCTAGAAATCGGGGAGTTGCATTTTCAGGGGATGTTTGATGTACTTGGAGAGTTTTAAGAGAATCTAGAAGATTTTTTGATCTTTTAGAACCTTTTTTGTGGAGAAGACTGGAGGAGGCAGACGTAAAAACCAGTGCAAGTGACTGGATAGCCTTTCGGTTGTAATTAAAAAAAATCTTCCCCCATCTCCTCTAGATGCTGAATAACGTATTGCTGATCTATTTTTAATGCTTGTAACTTTAATTGCTAATGAAAGAAAAGTTACTTACTCAATCTTTTGATTATTGTATTCTCTGCCAATCGGGAATACCATGCGCATGAGATTGAATTGTTCCATTTTATCAAGTACAAAATTAAGATTGGACATCTCCCAGTCCGACCAACGAAAAGATATATTATACAATTGTTCAGGAGTAAATTTTTGAGCGAGCCTGAAACGATAAAAACTTGTATAGCTTTTGTCCAGCGTAAAATAGTTAAAAAAACCCATAATATTGAGCGGATAAAAATAACACGTAAAATTTGTTGGTAAACGTGGAGAAACATACAAAAGATCATTTAATTTCTCTGATGAATTATTCTCTACACATGTAGCTTCGGACTTACCTATTGTCCACGCTAACTGAGATGTAATCTCGCCCCACGTATTGTATCTCTCCAACTACCTGCTGCATGTCATTCACTGGAGTGATGTCGACCTTATCCCTTACTCGAAGGGAAGGTCTGTCCTCCGACAAGCCAGGCACATAAATGACGAACTCTCCTCTCCTTATCACTGATTTTTGGAGTTTCTGTCCGTAGAGAGAATAACTCTTGCACTCGACGATCCCCTGATACTGCTCCAGGTACAACATCAATTTCCAGAGGTACCAGTATATTTTCCGATCAATGTCTCTGAATGAGGAGAGACCTTTGAGCACCGTTAAATACTGCTGGCAGGTTTTCGAGTATGTTTCTGAATTTTTGAGACCATTTTCGAGGACTATGTAGAGCTCGGTAGGTAACACAGGGGTTTTGTTCGACCAGGACTGAGCCTTTTCAATTCTACAATGATCCAATGAAGGAATAGAAATTATCATTTATTGAAAATACATGTTATCGAAAATATACTGAATATATTATAACCCATATTGTGGATAGAACCAGGAGTCAAAGGGGAAGTGAGAGAAGTGGCAATTTACGTTTTTGTTGAACGTCGATTGAGACGGCGATTCTTAAAAATTTTCTGCCGAGCAGCAGTTGACACCGGGTGTTTTCGCCCCGTAGATGATATAAGAAAGTATGCGGGGAATTTAAGAATTAAAAATAAAAAAATCACCGTCATCCGAACATCAACCAAAAATCAGGGATCGATACTTTCCGCTATAGTTCCCATTGACTTCTCAATTTTTGGTGAATTACATTTTTGTGAACTTATTCTTTATAATACTAAAAAAAAATATTTGAAAAGATATTAAATCGACCGGTATCCGGATCGATTGTAAATAGCGAAGCGATAATCTGAAATTGAAGTCTTTGTTAAATTCCGTGGATGAAGACTTGGATATATTTTTACACGGAAATATATTTTGTACAGTTATCTGAGAATTTTTATGACTCACAGAAGGGAAGGAAAACAAATTACTCTGGGAGCCCAAGTTTTGAGAAATTACCGAGTAATTGAAATATCCGAGGGACTAGAGCCTGTGAAAAAGATGACAAAATGACGCCACAGGTTTGGGGACCAAGAGAATAGTAAAAAGAGTCCGTGAGGATTCCGGGGTTTCCAGGATTACAGCAACAGGAGAGCAATAAAATGTCGGGCAAAAGGATTCTGAGAACGGGAACATGTGCAGAGAACTGAAATGTCTCGAACAAGATTCCTAGGAAGATATGCTGCATGTCGTCACACAGTTGAAAAGTCAAATTTGGAGCTGTGCAGTTCAAAAAGCAAAACAACGATGAAAATTCCGGTAATTTAATATGAAATAAAACCCCTAATCTCGAAATACAAACAAACTCTTAAAAAATGTGCTCGCATTAAATGTCCTCTCAAATTTGAATAAGAAATTGTATCATTTGAAAATCACTATCACGAAAATTCTGGAAAATTCCTAGAAAAATAAAAAATTTAATAATTTTGTTCCTGAACATTTGCTAAATTCTCACTCACTCTCACGGAAAAATTCAACTCATTCCCTTGAATTCCGCAAAAATCAAATCCATAACCCCCAATATCTCAAAAAATTCCCTCCCCTGTCCCTCACGTCACAAAAAAACCGCCCCACAAACACTTACGTGTCTTTCCGGCTCAACACCGCAATCGTCGTCTTCAAGTCCATCCTGCTGTATCGCAATAACCCCGAAAAACGCACGTGTACGTGCAGCGATCAAAAACAACAAAGCGATAAAAAAGAAAAAGCAACTCTAACATCCGAACGTTGATTCTACGAAAGTCGTCTCCATGGACTCGCTGGAGCTCATCGAGCCCTCAAAACATCCGATAAATCTGCAAACGAATATAATCTCATGTTAATCAAGAGGTGCCCATGAAGGGGAAAACGGGTAAAACTCTGGTATAAAAAGTCTATATAACAACGAGTAACCGAGGAACAGCTGGCAACAGGGCGTCCGCTGGTGTTGAATATGAGAAACTAAAATGGACGTCCAACGGTCGCTGGTATTCGCCAATGGCAAGAAAATACACAAGAGAGAGAAGAGTAGGTATTGATATGAAAATAAGAATGAGACAGATAGGTAGTGGTTGACGGCGATGATGGCAATGGGGGCCAGCTGTTTGTTTTGTTTTCGGGCATGAGATTCACGTGACGCCGGTGGTGGCTGACGGCAGCGCGCACCAACTCCCATCTGTTCATCATTCCCATTGGCCCCACCAACTGCACTCCACGACAAATCCACCAATCCAATCCACCGTACCATTTTATAACTCCTCGTACTACGGTGCAGAAACATTTGACATCGATAAATGCGTGAGAGTACTCGTGAAGTGCGGAGGTGCCAGGCTGTCGTTCGTTCGTCGGCTCCTCGTCGTCGTCGTCGCGGTGCCCCGTTGCCGTGTTCGTCGCCGTCGGTCAGTTTATTATTATCACAAATAATTTCACCCTCCTTCTCCAAGTATACACTCCAATTTCCCAAAAATTCCCTGAATCCTTATCGGAGTATTTGGGAGGGGGTAATGGTGAGCCGATGGGAAGAAAAAAAAACAAAATATTACATGGAAAATAGAGAAAACTAACCGACAGTTTCATGCGAACGTAACAAAGGATTCTCGAGAGCCCCTCGCTCTTACCAACTTTATACATGTGTATTTAGTTTAGAGAAAGCCAGGGCTGCGGTCGCACGTTTCAGGGGGAGGGGGGTAACTATAAATAGACCAGTGTTTTTGTAAATATTTTGATGGATTTTTGTTTTCGTACGTTGATAAAAGTCAAGTAAGTATCGTTGGAATTTTGGGACGCGTGAAAATACCTTAGGTGAAATAGAGCGTGCAATTTTACAGCGACAAGTGAATATAACAGAATCAGCTACTCCCATTTGAGTTTGACGACTCTTGTGTCGGGTGGGGATTAAAAATAAAATCGCCAACAAGCCCGTTATCGTGTGCGTTTGGCTCAAAACATGGCACTCGTGACGAGTTAAATTTAAAGGGAATTATCAGGCGGTGATGCATTGTTTTGTGGATAAGAGAGAACGATTGCGCGATATAAATAAAGTCACTCGTATCGGATGGAAATGTCCAAAAATTTGACAGGCCACTGCGCCCGGTGGCTGATAGCGGAAAAGGGGGGTAAAGGGGGTCGAGGGAGGGGGCTCACAGAGTTTAGGTAGCAACAGTGGAGTTCGAAAGAGTTCCTCCGCGCATACATACTCATGACAGAAAAAAAAAGGACGAATACGATGGAAGTAAGAAGTATAAAAAAAAAATAACACGCTGAGCACGCACACACGCCTACACCACGGAACGCGCCATCGCACATATGACGGCTTCTCGGAGCGCAACTCAAACCCAAAGTCCGTGCACCTCGATTCGTTCATTTCAATTGGCATTTCCCCTCGGTTCATACGGTGATAAAATCCCAACCGCTCGAGTCGACCCATCGAAAATATGAGTATCAAGGGGAGACCGAACAATCGGACAATTGAGATCATCGGATCATGGAGAATGCTATTGGATCGGGGAATGGAGAGTGCAGAGAAATTGAAAATACTCCGAGTGAAAACGGCGCGATGGGTGGTGGGGGTTGTGAGGGGTGAGGGGTGAAGAGGTAGATGTAGAGGTGGAGGTAGAGGTTCATCCGCGATCGGTGACAGTCACGAGGGTATGACGCAAAGTGACCTCGTATTTTTTATACGTACCATTAGCATTTTGAATTATTTTTTCCCGTCGGCTCTCCAGGCATTTTGAAAAATTTAATGAATGGGGGTGGCGGGATGTTTAGCGGGCTTCTTCTTGTGGAGTTTTGGTGGGGAGGGAGGGAGTTTGCCGGGAACAAAGGGAGAAAAGGGCGATGTTGTGTGGTTGGTGAACGGTTGGTGTATATACAGTGGGATGTCCGTGAGGTGGAAATGTGCGCGGGAACGGCTGATGCGCGTCATCGATAGCGCCCCGTACCCGTACCGCGCACAACCAAAACCTCTGGATCTTCCCTCTCTCTTGCTCTTCTTTTTTTTAATTCCCCTCTCTCTCTCTGCGCCCTCCAACTCCAACCCACTAGTTTCCCACTCCTTTGTGTGAGTTGTGTTGGGCTTTAGTGCGTACGTGTGAGGTGTTTTTCAGTCGTCTCTTTGTGTGGAGAGCGTAGAGAGAGACTTTGACGTTTCTTTACTCGTTTGCAACGCGATGCCTGACACGTATACCATACATTATCTCAGTGTTCATTAGTCCGAGATCTCGTTTATTTTTGTTTATTTATTTTTCGTTTAGTACCTTTTATTCGTGATTTTTTTTTTTTATTGTCAGGGGGGGAAATTGCGCGCTGTGATTACGTGAAGTTTATTTTTATCCCCTGGGGCTTCGTCGATTTAAACCGTTCACCGACCATCGCCCGAATTATTTCGTAAAACCTTCGGACACACTGTTTCTAACTCGTAGCCATTGTTTTCATCCACAGAATGTCCATGTGTCACGTAGACTCGTGATCCAAGAAGTATTCAGGGATAAAGTTGAGGTGAAAATAACACATCGGGGAGCATCACTGGATAAATATTAATAATACAGTGGTCTAATGTGAATGTGAATTCAAGACGTCCACGCTAGTGTCTGTGTGTGAGAATTTTTTTATCATATTTTTTTCCTCGGAGTGAAAGTGAATGACTGATTTTTCGTTGACTTTTGTTGATATTCCCCGTGAGAATAACGTGATATTAACGGGACAAATCGTCGATCAAGAAGTGAGAATATTTTTTTTTTCTACTCGGTGGGGAAAACAAATCCCTTGTCCTCCCCCTTCGGGATTTTTGGGTGCGTTTTATTTCTCCTTTGGAGTTAACGTTGGCTGTGTACTGGATATCGCTCGTGCTTATTGTGTAGTGGTAGATCGTTGGAGCCGTTAACGGTTCGGGAATAACACAACGTCACGCAAGCGTACACAAACACACGCGTACGCTCCTCCGACTTTTTTTCCTCATTAAAGAAAACTAAATAAGTAATAAATCATTGTACAGAATTGGTAGGGCCCAGTACCCCTGTAAAACCAAAAGAATAATTATATACACCAGGGGACATGTGTGCTGGAGGATTTTGACTGTGCAGAGGTGTAAACAAACGTGTTTATCTTTTTTTTTTCTTCTGTTATTGTGCGCCGGCCGGCCGGCACGAAATAATCGAGGACAACCAGCTAGTTGAACCAGCAAAACGGCTGTTAACTCGCAACTTGGATTTATTAATCATAAGACAAAGTAACAGCCAGTGAAAACAAGCTGGAAATATGAGCATTGCTGCACTGCTGCAGGCCGCTGAGTACATTGAACGAAGAGAAAGAGGTGAGAGAATCGGGGCTTTCCCCCTCGGTGATCCATTGATATTCGTCACTCCACCCAACCTCGGGCTAATTGGATTGGGTCATACGGCTTTTCCTTCTATTTTAGAAGCTGAGCATGGATATGCATCGACTATGCCCGTTCCTGATGATCTTCGGACGATCACCAAGAGGCCAAAGACGAAAAAATCACAGGGTAGTCGGTAAGTAATCTATTTTTCATTGAATTATTTCATTAAACATTAGAATGTTTTCACTATTCTGTAATACCTTAATATATTCAATCTTCAATTATCCAATACAATACTCTCATTATCTCTAAGCACTGCAACATCATTAGTTGATAGTAATGACAGTGAATTCTATTTCGAGTTATCATCAGCATTCCTCCGATGCCTCAATATTTATTTATTATTTTCCTTTTGCCATTCCAGAACGACCCACAACGAGCTGGAAAAAAATAGGTGAGTCAACATCACAGTCTCTTACGATAATACCTGCCCCCTCCCCCTTCTCCTCTATCATCTGTTCTGTCCTCCCTCCTCGCCTTCAATCCAATGCAGTTTGCAAGTGGCCATTTGACCGTGAATTTAATCGGCCGGATTTCAGTCAGCCATTGCGTAACCGTTTTTTCGCGAATATTTTTTTCCCACTCCGCTCGTATCCTTTTTTTCTTATTACTTCACTTCAATTTTCACTGAGTACAAAGGGAGGGCTGAGTGGACACGAGTTGTTGAGTGGGTGAGGACTCCGGGGAAAGAGACTGTCCCGTCTCGTAATCATTTGAAATGCATTGAATTTTTAAGCGTACACTGGCCTCTGTGCTTCAACCCCAACACCAGGCATTTCCATCTTACGTGGATTTTCCGGGGGGAACGAATGAGAGGATGTAGACGGGAGATCGTTGAGAAATTCAAATCATTCGAGACGAGTAATCGAGACAATTGCGCACCGTAAATCAAATTCACTTGCGAAGTGCAATCACATCAACATGTCATTTCCTTAATTATTGATCTATTTTGAAGACTATCGATTTACGGTGGAACCTTTGACGGAAAAAAGGGCCTTACCACATCCCCCCATCCCCTGCAATCCGTAATTGTGATCAATCACAGGGAATGAAAAAAATTCAAGATATACCAATGACTGCCAGTTTATAAAAGAAATGTCAAAAGACTTTTTCCTCAGTCAATTAGATTTCCAACGATAAATATTTTTTAATACTTTTCCATAAAGTCTGTTGTCTTCAAGATCAATCAATAATAACTTGGCTAGTGAATTACTCATCTTTGTTTATATATGAGAGGCATGTGATAAAAGATTTAACAAATGGTTGAAAAGAGATAGATAGAAAATGCGGAAATTCCCGAGAACCGTGGACTCTAAACGTGAAAAACAAAGATGAGAAGGAAAAACCGGTGGATAAATATTACTCTGGGGCTGAGTATGAATTGGCCTATTTATAGAGAGCATCTGATAGGGGGGCATTAGGGTGATTTTGATATGAAATAATGAACTCTCCATTGGTATCGTATACAAGAGCCGAGGGTTGACTAGACGCGCCATCGAGCCGGTTACCTATCGTTCGTTGGGAGCTCACATAAACCCCCACACACACGTACATAATAGCCCCCCTTTCAAACATGGTACACGTATATACTGTATATAAAACTACCAAGCCACTGGCAGTTGAAGCCCGTTCACCTTGAGCCCTCTCGAGGACAGTGGAGCTCAATCCCCGAGGTTTCCGCTAGAAATCCCAAAAAACACACACACAACTCCCCCGCAACGTAAAAAAAAAAACATAATAATCAGCCCATCCGGCCCAATCAGTCTCATTAGTCTAATTTACTGGCGCAAGCGCTACTGACATCCCGTGGAAAAACAACAAGCTGATAAGCTGCACGACGTACATCACAACTTCGTTGTTGAAAATAAAAAATCTCGACAATGTGATTCTGCACTCGACGACCGAATGCTGAGTTTAAAGAATATATCCAATGTTTGTCTTTATGGAGGTCACTGGATATTTCGAATGAAATTCGAGGCGATCTGGTACAGATGGCAGAGTGCCATGCGTCGTGTGGCACATAACAAGTACCAGAGGAGAATACTTGGGGAATGAAAAAAAATATACTCACAACAAATCTCTTGGAAAAAGCCAGACCTGAGTTGAGGCAATGGGGTGAGGCAGGGATCTGTTTGTCATAATGATAATTCCAGCGAGAGGGAAAAGGGTCTGCGAGGATGGGGTAATGGTGGAAGTCATTGGGAGTCATTGGAAGTCATTGACATGACGGCTGCCAGATCGTACGAGGATTGACTCCCACGAGAGGCGGAGGTCGAGGAATCGAAAAATCGCGAGATCGCGAGATCGCGGAATCGCAGGATCGTGGGTTCGCGGAATCGCGGAATCGCGGGATCGCGGGATCGCGGAATCGCGGAACTGAGGGGTTGAGAGGGAATGAGGGAACAAGGGGTAGTCAAAGAGTCAAAGAGTCGAAGAGTCGTGGAGTCGTGGAGTCGTGGTGAACTAAAAAATGAAATGAGGAAAAAAATTTTTTATAAACAGAAGAGACAGAAAGAGTGGAGACGAGTTAGGCTGAGGGATGATGGCGGGGTGACGAGGAGAGAACGAGAGGAGTTGGTATAGGGTGGGGTAAAGGGATAGTAATCGATACGACGAACATTTCGTACGGTCGATACTCGGATACTCCCGCTAACTGGGCGCGCGGGTGTGGGGATCCCCTGGTGTTATGTAGAATACGTGACGTGGTGCCAACTATACCTCGCTCCTGTTTCACACCACTCTGCGTGACGATACGCTCTACAGTCTTTTCTCTTTGTTTTCTCCCATCCTCGGTACCCCCTTTTTTTTTCATTTTTTTTTCTCGCATCTCTTTTATGGAAACAAAAGTCAAACCGTGGAACCGTCGACGTGTCGACGTGGAAACTCATCTGCCGCCATTTTGTTATCTGTCAACGGATTTTGTTAATGCAACTGCCCTACCACCCACCCACCTCCCTCCTCCTCCTCCCCCTCTCACCCCTGACATCTCCCGTTGCATTCGCCCGATCTATCAATCCCCCACCGCTCCACCCACCACCCACCACCCGCTTCCTCGTCATTCCTCGTCTTTCCACTACCGCCAGGTTTTTTTTTTCAGGTATTTACGGGTTGGGGGGACAAAGGTCTCGGTGGATATATTTTTATTTTGTATTTTGTGTTTTGCACGAGTCGCGGGTTATTCTGCTCTCCACCCGGGTAAGGATAAACATGGGAGGACGGGGTGGAGATAGTGGAGAGTAGAGCGTCGGCCAAGAGCGCGATTATCGCGGCCAGAGCTTGGCAACGGTGCTGGGTGCATTGGCCGGCCATGAGTTAGATCGCTTCGACGCTCGTACTGTAAACAACCTCGTAACTTTGCCTTCTTATTTTCGCTTCGTTTCACGTCACTTGACGTATTACTGTCTGACATGGATATCCATTGAAAATAAATATTGAAAAAAATGGATTTCTCAAGGGGGAATTTATCTTTTAGTTTCGGATGGGTTTTCTGAGGGGGAAGGCTCGCTTCCTCCTGTGCAGTCGGAGGCATTCTAAGAACGATTGTTTCGTCGATTCATTGATTGCAGTGAGTCATTGATTTCTTTGTCCGTGACACTCTTCGATGGAGAAATGATATTCGTTGTGGGAAAAACGCGGGGACAAAGGCATTTTTATCTTTCGTTGAGACAATTTTTTCACCGGATTGGAGAGGATTTTCGGTGGATGGTTATGGTGTTGGGGGATTTGGGGAAACGGTTTTGGAATTTGTGTAACTATCTTCTGGGATATTTTCCTTTCGGATTTTTTAGAGGGGGTATTTAAATTTTAGGCAATAGTTGGATGTTCAATGATATTAAAATTTGCAGCATTGGAAATTCGCATGGATCTTGGAATTTATAATGAATTATTTTCATCAAATGAGACGGGCAAGAATTTTTTGAGATTAATATCCGAATAATTGACGAGAGGAGAATTTCAGAAATGGCGGTTTTAAATTCTCAATCTATTGTAAGAATTCCAAAATCTTCATTAAACATCACGATCAATTTTTTAAATAAATTTGTCAGCAAAATTCCCATTAAAAATGAATCTTATAATTCATACCAACAATTTTTTTCAATTCAGTCTGACTGCAATATTGGATTTTCCCAATGAGTTCAGACTCTTTAATACAATTAATTATTGTTTAAAAATCCTTGGAGCAGTTACATGAATTCCAAGAAATTTTCACTGCTGTAGATGAGAGGTATTATTAAAAGAAAAAAAATCTGAAGTCGAATGGACTGAGAGAGAAAAACGTAAAATCTTCTGTGCAGGCGGGCGCACCTCAGAAACTGCCTGGAAAAGTTGAAAGTACTTGTGCCTCTGGGGCCTGAAACGTCGAGGCACACCACCCTCGGTCTTCTCACCAAGGCCAAGCGATTTATCAAGGTCAGTAATGGTGGAGCAATTAGTTTGGTCGATGGGGATCACCGGATCTCTGGTTGAACAACAAATTCAATGATTATTATTTATTCACAGAGTCTTGAGGATAGGGAAAGAAAGCATTCGGCTCACAGAGAACAATTGTCACGTGAGCACAGATACCTCAGGCGAAGACTCGAGCAATTGACAAATCAAACGGGCCTCCATGGTTTGCGTGGTATACACGGCTTGGATAATATCCATGCATTAAGTACAAGTGCACCAGCGAGTACGTCATGCAGTCAAGCGGCTGCAGCAGCTGCATTACTCTCCAAGAGACGAAGTGTCTCCGAATGCTCGGTCACCACTGTCTCGTCCACGGGCTCAGCTGTGAGCTCCGGTAATTCCGACAGATCCACTGGCAGTCCATCCTCTGTTTCGGAATCAGGTTTGTCTTTATTATCAATTCTTTTTTTAAACAATGTCGACGTTTTATTCCAATGGACTTTTGATTTGTGGATTTTTGGATTTTGGATTTTTCAAAATCTCGAGCGAAGTGCCAAAGTGAGATAAATCGAATTCAATATCTTTCCTAATGATCGATTCTTCTTGAAAGCCATCGATTTTAGGAAAAAAATATTGAAGAACTTTTCTGTAGCTGATTAAATTTCTGACTGGCAAATCAATCATTAGGTGAATTATTACAAATTTGGTGTTATTACTGATATTTTATTTTTTATCAGAGATCAGTTGTTATTTTAATGATACAACAGAAAGCTATAAAAGTAGAGTTGTCTCATTTTGCCCTTGAAAAAAATGGTACCTAAATTACATGGCTTTATAAATTGGACGTCCTTCAAATAATGACCATTCTTTCCCCGAAGATGAAGTCGATGTGATTGGATACACGAGCAACCAGTCGGACACAGACGACCACAGCAGCATCCAGAGTAGCAGCGACAGTGGTGTTGCAATGTCGACTTCACGACTGACTCTCTCCGAAATGATGGACAATCTCTAGGTGCGTACCTTCCTTTCTCCGTCCACCAGAAATTATCCCAAAGTACTTACAAATAATTTACCCTTCAACAGACAAACATGTGAGGAGTTACATAACGAGGGAGCATTCCGGAGGATGTTGTATCGAGGATGGCGCAAAAATTAATTGGCTAAAATCAATGTCGAACCTACAAACTTTCATGCACGAGAACGGAAGAACATAAAAAAAAGAAAGAAACCAGTGGTTAAAAAGCTATAAAGCCATCCTGAGGATATGCTGGTCGAAACGAGAGAATTTCAGTAACAAATTAGCATCGCTCAATCCCGGTCATTAGAAAGAACGTTTGATAAATTGAGTTGACTAGAGTGAAAAATAAATGGACGAGGTCTTAGCGAATGGTACGGCAGCTATGAGAGACCCTCGGAGAAAATTAATCGTTTGGATTTGATGAATTGGCTGGCTCCCGAGAGCGTTGTCTGTAAATTAATTTAAATGTCTCACTTGTAAAAGTATTGTATATAAAAACAAAAAAGTGATGAGGGGTGAGTGGTCACGATTAACGTGATTATTGGTATGCATAGGAGGAATATGAAAGTGAGGAAGAGTACGGAATGGAGTGAATTTACGAGCGCCACTAGAATGACGTTTTAATCGTGGATTAATTTCCCAGGAAGATGAATAGGCAAACACACAAACAACATTAATGAAATCTAAACGATATTGGTGCGTTCTGCAGATTCACCCAGGAGGAATGCTAAAAAAAAAACAAAAAAAGCCCAAAAAAAAGATAATGGATGAATTTTCCGGATTTTTAATTTACTTTGTCCAGCACTATTAAATCTAGAAGCATAGAGAAAACAGAAGAAGCTTTGAATCGCGTCTAAAGCTTACTCGTAACTATTAATTTATTATTATTTTTCTTTATTGTCGATTTTACCAAAGGTATCCGACAAATATCCGTCAGTGAATTAAAACAAAGAAAGAAACAAAAAAAAAATATATATGTCTTAATTATTTTTCACTGATTTCTTTTGAAAAAAGAATGATGAAAAAAACACAATCATAAATTATTAACGCCACTATCTGCTCTCGAAGCTCGCGATTACCGTATCTTTTATACGTATGCACATAAATATATACACATATATTATGTACATTTCTTTCTGTTTATTATTATTTCTTTTCACTTTTATTCTACACCACAGAGGAAGAGAGAATTTTTTTTTTTACATCGTCCCCTTTCACATTTTCAGACAACACATTCGAGTGGGTCCATTGAGGCACAACTTAGGCGTGAATAACAAGAGATAAATTAACAAACAAAATGAACATTCAAGTGCTCTCATGAACGTTTAAACATACTTCGGTACGTGAAATAAAAAAGAATAGAAGGTAAAAATGGGAAAAAAAAATGATAAAAAGCGCAAGCTGCAAACGGGCAAATATGACACAGGGACGCGTGTACAAGCGCGTCACAAAATATTATTAAAAAGAAGAAAAAAATAAATAAAGTCACGTAAAAAAAAATGAAACCTGCGAGCATGTGGTGTTGCGGCACTTTAACAAAACTAAATGAAAAAAATTATCATATTATTAAGTATTAAATGAAGAAAAATGATAATATTATAAATGAAAGAGTACAAATTCTTTAAGTCCCTGTATCATGTGCAACCCGTGAGTTTAAAATGATGAAAAAAAAAAGAAGATAACAAGTATGAGCGAGGCGTCTGCCTACGGTGCTCCTATAGTAACGTTAACGTAATGCGAATGTGGAAAATTAACATTGAGATTGTGCGCGAGTGTCTGTTGATTAATTTGTGTGATTGTGGTAATATTAATGGAGAAAATTGCAAGGACAAGGGAGGGAAGAGCAGACGATAGGAGTGAAGATTGACATGTTGATACTGATAAGGATTGAATAAATTAAGGTAATGCTCGAGACTGATAAGAAACAAAAATGAAACGAGTGATCTCTTAAAAACAATTGGTTTAGGAAACACGAGATAAATTTGTGAGGGATAAGGATGTCGTATGTGATGACGAGGATGTCCTCTTTTTTGGTTCACCCCAGAAATCACATATTCTTTTGATTACATGACTGGATGAATATTTTTTCTCTTCTTTTCTTTTTTGTATGTCCGAAGTACGGTTTTTTTATGCCATTATTTCAGCTGCCAAGTGGCAAAGTGCATAAGGCGAATTAAACATTTTTATCAATTATCGATTTATCACGAAAATGATCAATTCGACGCGGAAACGTTGAACGACTTATTCGTAGCTCATTAATATCCCGAGACAAAAGATATTTCGATGTTTTCACTGATAATCGGTAGTTTTTTTTTTTAGATTCATCGGTTTTTAATGAAAATAGAATTTGAATTATTTAATTTTACCGCTTTGCTACTGATTTAACAGATTTATTTCGTTTCCTCCCTTTTTCGTTCGGAGTGAATGACTTGTGTGGCTGGATTGGAGTGAGAGTGACTTGATAACGTGCGAGGATGAAAATATGGCATTAAATGTACGGTTTATGCAGCAGTAATACGAATTGATGTAGTGCAAATGCGTTTTACAATGATTGAACCAACTCCTGCAGACAAAGTGAGAAAGTTTCTTGAGTTGTTGATCCACCGTTCGGTGTAATCATAAGTTCTTTTATCATGAACCATCGAAATAACAAAAAAAAAAAAAGAAATGAATAATGTGAACAGATAATGAAATCATCCCATCGCGTCCAACGCTGTCCGGTCTAATGTTAAGGATCACGCCCTTTCGATCAATAAAATCATCCGATTTATCAATTGTCTCGAAGGGACACAGACAACTGCTATTACGAGAATGACGAGGATATGGAGAACACAAAAATGATTTTGAAAATGAATAAAAAAAATAACAAATATGAATTAATTATAAAAATGGGTGTTATTTTTAGATGTCTATTAGATTATCAGAACCACATTAAAAAGAATAACAAAAATATACAAAAAAAATATATAAGAGATAAAATAAGTGAAAAGAAATGCTTCAACATTACAAAAAACAGTGGTATATACATACAAATAAAGAAAAAAGAAAAAAACATACTACTACCGTACTTGTAATAAGATTATAATTAATGAAAAATGGACGATCTAGAAGAGAAAAAAACTAAAAAGGAAAAAAAATATATATATATTAAATGAAGTTTGTTGAACGTAAATCTTTGCTGAAGCGAGGAGACAAATCTGTACGCGCACGTCTGCTCGGTGACTGTCCAATACTCATTGAGAGAATTCTTCAATTATTTATTACCGATGATTAATACAATCTCACGAAAATAAACATGAAAAAAAAACAAACGAAAGACTTGCTACATTTATATTCCCAAATTTGTATTCACTGTTGCGATTTTGACACACCGATCAGACTATTTGTACCTCTCGATTATTCCTCAATCGAATCAAACAGTTTTAACACCTCGAGAAATAACTTTCTGCTTTAATTGTTTAGAAATGCGTACTACAAACGGAAATTTTAATGAACGAAAATAAAAAAAAACATATGCAAAACAAAAAAAAACTAAAATTAAACTAAAATAAATACAATAATTGTAAGTATATTGGTATCCGTGGAGATACCGATTCCCGTGAAAATCGAGATACTAATACGGGGGCTCAGTCGAGCCTCTTGAGACGATTGAGATGTGTCAGGCCCTCACAATAATTCGATACAATAATGACAAACGGTGAAAACAACTTCAGAGTAAAAGTGCGGTCCTTTTCTCCGTTGCTGTTGAGCCAGATGTCATCCCTGAGCACTAAAATAAAAACCCTGCAATATGGCACACTCGAGAGCCCCCCGAAAGTCCTCACAAACATCCGAGAAAATTTATAAATTTTATCAGTCGATGGAGAGACGAAGCGCCGGAAGATGATGAGATCATTGTGAAAGACCAGCCCCGGCCCTAAGGAGCATTTAATCAATGGTAGACAATGTTTAGCGGATATTAAAGATAAAACTGGAGTGAACAAAAATTAAATAACTTAAAATAATAAATAAATAACTAAAAGGAAATGTAAGAAAAATGTTATATCCAGTTTGACGGCGATTGTCCAGGAGTACCGTACGTTTTAATATTAAAAATGGCAAATGGAAAACTAGATGAGAGCGGAATACCTTTGGAAATGAATAAAACAAATTATGATGTTATAGAATATTCGAACGGTAATTGACAGTTGTGTGGGATATGGATGGGAGAGATTAAAACAAATTAAAGTAAACGTGCAATTGAAACGTGTGCATGTTAATGATACCGTAGTTACGCCTAAGAGGAGAAAGAGTGAATTGTCTCTCATGTTTTTAATAGAAAAATGAAGTGAATAAAAATGTTCGAAGGAGGGTGATACAAATAAATAACGAATTAATAAACCAACAACACTGATACACGATCCATTAATTGAATTGTCAATTACTGCGTTTCCACCGATTTATAAATTATTGTCCAGACAACTGATCAATAAAATCACGTGAAAAACGACAGCCACATATTTTATATGAAATCCTCTGATTTTATCTACAAAATTCCTTTCCGGGTGGAAGCGCAGTAAAATCCTTTTCATTTCACGTACCATTACTGAGTTATTGCCAATATCTTCTCATTTCTCTGCTTTTTTACAAATTCCTGAGAAACTCCTGATAACATTCCCACGAAAGAATGTCCCCTTTTCAAATTTTATCATTATTCATAGAATTTTACTGAAGATTTAGAGAAATAGACGGACGACTGTGAAAATTTGTGAGCCATTGAATAATGATGAAACCGAGAAGTGTTTTTTTTTCCACGTCCATCTGGTCGAAGGTTTCTCAGAAATTCACAAAGAACCACGAAAAATGAAAAGATATCGGCAACAACTCCTTCATTTGGATTTTACAGGAAATACATTAAAAAATTGAAAATTGAAAAACACTTGTGCTTTTCTCTTCGTTCAAATATCGTCAGCAAGGAAGATATCTTTTTTACCTGGATCTGTCACCAATTAAAAATCTGCTCCAAAAATATAAAACAGCTGTGGGTCGATCACCTGATTGGTTCGTCAGGTTCAATCTCTTTGACAGGTGGATTAGTGAATTCGGGTGAATGAAAATAATCGAAAAAAATATTGAAAATGGTGAAATACTTGACTCGGTCAGTGTTGAACAAACAAAGATGGCAGATGTGTCAAAATTACTGTAGGTACGCATGGTCACGTCAGTGTCTCACGATCTTTAAACCGGAGCAGTGAGTTCTAACCTTGAATGCGGGAAAAAAAAATCGAAGGCATTCTGATAATGAAGCAATAGTTATTTACTTTTATCGTAATTGCACATAGAGTCTGTGGAAAATGGCGCCAACGAGAGTTATACTCATGTCGTGTGGAAGTTATAATCCACCGACACATCTGCATCTACGAATGTTTGGTAAATACAGCATTAGTTTCATGTTTTTGTTAATCGATAGTTGTTACATTATTTAGTGAGTCACGAGTTGTGGATGTGCGGTGACAACCGTAAAAATACTCAGGTGGAATCACGTCATCGCGATTAATAGCCAATTATTGAGATTATTTGGCGAACTGGCCTTGCTATCGAATCCATTTATTTTCCATTTTACTTCAGACACGGGGGTATTTAATATAGTATTATGCATCAGGTGCGTTGCATTTGAATTGTTGCAAATGTTCGGAATTTTTTAATTATTTTTCAGCGTTATTTCATGAGTTATGCATTACTTTCGATTGAATGAAATGGGAATGAAGAAAAATTATGACGCATCCAGTCAGTCGATGACTTTTCAATTATAGATTCATTAAAATCGTTCGGTTGGGTGAAGACTTGAGGTGATTCATCTTTGCTGAGAAAATTGTTGAACTTTTGGATTTATAATCGCATTGCTTTGATATATATGAGATCAATCAGAGCTTTGACAAAATTGATCATTATTTGATTATATCAATATATTATTAATATATATTTTTTGAACCAATTATTTTCAATGAAACACTTTCAATTGCGTCTTATTATGAATAAATTGTGGGGAGGATTCAATTTTTTAAGTTAGATTTGTTTTAGATTATTTTTTGAAGACAACGGTCACTAAAAGTAGAATTTATTTTTTGACTAAACATCACATGTAGTATTGATTGTAATCATTATTTTCCATCGGACCTGATTATGTGGTTTATAAGTTTAAATGAATTTTATCAATTATTATTAACGTTCAAGAGCTTTATAGAAGTTTTTCTCTCAGGAAAGGAATTGATTATTCATGAATCATATCCTAACAAAACTTCAGGGACTCTCACTGCGCATTTGAGAATTCAATTTTTTAATTATTATTTTTCCCATTTATCCAAACCTGCTGTTTTCTCATCTAGAAATCGCCAGGGATCACCTGCATCGCATGGGGACCCACGAAGTTGTCGGTGGAGTCATATCCCTAGTTCATGATAATTACGGGAAAAAGGAATTAGCAGGATCAGAGCACAGGTGTGCGATGGTAAAATTGGCAATTCAGAGCAGTGAGTGGATCAAACTGAGTACATGGGAAATAAGGCAGAACAGTTGGACGAAGACACGACACTCGTTGCAGTACCATCAGAATTTACTGAATGCCATTCTACTGGACTCACCGGATATTAAAAGTCAGGTGGCCATTGAGGACTTGGAGTGGATTCCCGAGAATGTGCGGAATGGCACTGACAGAAGTCCTATTCAAATTAAATTGCTCTGTGGCGCTGATTTGTTGGAAAGTTTTGGAAAACCTGGGCTATGGGCTGAGGAAGACGTAAGTAGATCATTCAATTCACTTTAATTCCGTTAATTTACTTGCAAATCTTCAAGCGATTGAAGAATTAATTAGCTCCAAAACGAAAGTTCACTTTGACTGGAAAACTTTTTAATCAAATATTTTTGTAACATTGTTACTATTTCAAATATTAATTAATGCGAATAGAGAGTTAATTCGATTAATTTCATTTCCGATTTTTTGATTAAATGCAGTATCAAAAACGTGAAGAGTAAAAGTAAATTTGTTCTGTCGTCAAGTTTTCGAGGTTTTTATTCTTGGATTCAGAGATGTTCCGCAAAAACTTGCTAATTACTTCCATGAAGTTTAGCATTAACTACTTAATTTACAATTCTCATTTTAGATCGATGCAATTCTGGGGCATCACGGTCTGGTAGTGATTACGAGGGAAGGCTCGAGCCCAAATAAATTCATCTACGACTCAGACATTCTCTCCACACACATGGTAATTACCTCACAATCTCGAAGATTAACATTGAAATAAACGATTTATCCCCCATTTTTTTATCGAAGCACAACATCTACATCGTAACTGAGTGGATCCCCAACGAGGTGAGCTCCTCCCGAATAAGACGTGCCCTGAAGCGTGGCGAGAGCATTAGATACCTCACCCAAGACTCAGTGATCGATTACATCTATCAGCATGGGATTTACGACGCCAAACTGACCTCCACGACAACGTGAGTCTAAAAATAATTTTCTCCAATGAAATTTCCCAAACTACCGCTCAATCTCGCTCTCCACCTTCCACCCCCGATAATTGTAAATTGTAAATACAATTTCAAAAAAGAAGAAATATCTCCACCAATTCAAATAAATGATTAAACATCGTAATAAAATTTTCTTTTCACGCTGCGAAAAACGAAAAAAAAACCCATTGATTCTGGATCAATGAAACTGGACGAAAATTTCAATGAAAAGTAAGTTTGAATTATCCCCAACCACTCCAAATAATTATTTGCACATTGATAACAAGTACGAGACGGTATTATTAACACCATCACCGAGTGATGTGACAATGACAACTCCAAGTCCAGTGGAAATAATCACTATTGACATTGGTGAAACAGTGATAAAGAAGAATCTCCACAATTCCCCTTATTACACAACAAATGATCGTATGTACCATAAATTGCCGAGTGTAGTACAGGAGAATGGTAACAAAAATTCGTCGATCGGTGGTAAATCAACATATCCAGGCCAAGCTAAACAGATTATTACCACTGAGACTGGTGAAACACATATTTTCTATGAGGTAGGTTCACTAAATGACAATGATAGCACAAATGTACAAAACCACGATGAAATTGATCTAGCCATTACTGTAAATGATGTCAATAATATTAGTGAAAAAAAGCCTGAAGAATGCCCACAAGATAATTGCGAAAATCGTGAGACGTGTTATCAAATCGACGCTAGTGTTTCCTTTGACTCGATCGACGATCCGATTCCCTCAGAGCCCTCCCAGAAATCAGAAGAATCGAAAAATGAGAGTAACACAATTATCGAGGAGCCGACGCTGGTGAACTCGAGTATCAGCGAGAGCAAATTAAAAGATCTCCCTCCAGACCCCGAGGAAGTCGTCTCAGTCCCGGAGGTAACGTCCTCCCAAGAGACGAGAGACGGTAACTCGGTCAGCCAGATCGATGGAAAGTACTTGAAATCCGTGGTTAACTCTCGAAAAAGTCCTAACAGAGTGAGGAACTCCGAGCAGGTGGTGCCGATGATGGAGTCCGAGCTCGAGAAGAGCATTGAGAACGACAGAACGAACTACCAGGGAAGTCTTGACTCGATCAATCAAAGAAAATCAGAGACAGAGAGAAAATCAGAGCTCGAGAGGTCTAGGACAAAGTCCAAGAGTTTTGAATTGTTGAAGTCAGACTTTTCCCTCAAGCAAGTGCCATTCAAAGACGAGGATCTGAATGATACTGGCTCTCAAGAGAGTGCAGCGTTTGTCACAGCTAACGAGGAGCAGGAGCCCGAGGAGTTCTGCTCAGTGTGCTACAACAGGGAACAGTCAATAAGAAATGTTTATCCTTTAAGATCAACAAATAGTTCACCAAACGTCCAAGATTCACCAGAGTGCGATATCTGCAGTTCCTACAATCTCCAGGAGATCGGCGCACCTCCGGGAATGCCACAGTGTGAACTCTGCGAGATTTGTGGAGACATCGCGATGGAGGAGGACGTGGTGGCATCGTCCAGGCCCGAGACCGAGGAGTCCTTGGATCTTCGATTACTGTCGAGCTCGAGTCATCTTCCCCTGAGTCTGTCCCGACGAAAACTACGATCCGGCCGGGTTCCTCTCGATGGAAGGATCTTCGATATAACCGACGACGATCCAAACTGCCAGGATATCAACGAGGAGGATGAGGACGAGAAGGAGGTGAATGAGGCATCCGAGAGGGAACGAGCCCCTTCAACCTCTGTCGAAGAGTTCTCCGGTGATGACTCCACCCTAAATGATGTCGAGTTTGAGATTGAAAATTGTGGATTGGATGTGGAGCCCCAGGAGATTATAAAACCAATTATCGAGGAACTGCATGAGGCTGAGGTGGATAGTACCTGTAGGATTAATCGAGGGTCTTCCATGATCAATAGAGCCACTGAATCGAGGGGTGAATCACGTAGAAGGTACAAATCTGTGGATAATCTTCCCACCTCGAGAGTTAATCAGGCAAAGGCACCAACCAAGGAGGATAAGGCGCTCGTTGTGAGGCACAGTGGGAGAATAATTGGATCTGCTGATAATATTCGAGCTCCAAGGCCTTCTAGGAGTGTCAGTCTACTGCGAAAATCAGCTGATGACGTGGGGAGAATTCACGAAACAGCTGAGACTGAGGAGGAGAGTGGGAGGATCAGGAGTCATATGAGTGAAAAGGGGTCACGCATACCCTCTGATACTGTGAAATTTATTCTAGGGAAACATGGTATTAAGATCATAAGTGATAAGGAGACTGCTTTATAGCTAAGGATCTATACGGAAATGCTGTAGGCATTTTCGTGGATATTGTAGGGGGAGGGGGTATTTTAGGGGCTTGGGGGCCTGGGGGAAGTGTGGAGGATGGGGAAATTATCGACAATCTTACTTGACGTCTTCGAGTGCTGATGCACGGTTTTTTCATAAGTCTAGGAGCTTCCAGGTTCGGGTTTTAAAGAATTCAATTGTTCGGTATCGTGTTGGTGTTATGATTGCAGTAGGCTGGTTACTTGTGGCTTTTATTCATAAGGCATGATGGATGCGCTAGCTTTAAGTTAACGCTTGACATCGAATTTAGGTCATAGGTTTTGTAGTTTTTTCAATTTTATTTGAGAATATTTTGTCTATGAGTAGCTACTGTTGGCGATTGTTGATTGAAATTTTGAAAATGTTCTACACCCTTTATGCTGAAATTTACGTTTTATGTTTGTTTATTTTTTTGGAAAACTTGTGGTGGGATTTTCGTTTTAGTATTTAATGACTCATGGAGTTTTAAGGTGGTGCGAACATTTTCCTGCGTTTTTTTTTCTGAAATTTCAAAAAGATTCACTAAATATTTCAATCAATAATTCTTAACAGTCTTAGAGAAGTGTTTAATAGATTCATTTATACTATTGTTTCTTGAGAATATCGATGTCAATATTTTTATCTTTTCTGAGATTAGTAGCAATCTTTAAGAATTTTCCATTCAAGTTTTTGATGGAACTAGTACATTTTTTTACTGTAATTGATATTTGCTGATGCTGTCTATGATCTCTTCCAAATAGAGGGAATCGTGTTTTCGTAGTGAAATGCAATGCATCCGAAGAATAACTTTCCATTTTCTGCAAAATTATGAATTTTCGTGGCTTCATCTAACATCGCAATTAATAATTTTTCTCCGTTATCAAATAAGAATTTTAATGGCTAAATTATACTACTCTTTCTTTAGGAATATTGATGTCGTTTTTTTCCTCTCTTCTTTGATATGTGGCAATTTTTGAGAATTCCTGATTGAATCTTTCAATGAAAATAGAATATTCTCCATCCCAACCAATATTTTTTAATTTTCCATAATTAATCAATACCTCAAGCGAATCTGTCGTTTTATCCAAAATTTCAATCACCAATTTTCAATAGTGACAGATCAAATATTTCCGTTTGCAAATTTTTATTGTTCTTAAAATTTTTCTGTCTATATTTATATTTTAAGTGGTAGGTGTTGAAAATTTCTGATTGATTCGCAGGGGAAAACAAAATTTTTATTCCTAATAAAGAAAACTCCACTGGTTGTGTCTAAAATCGCTTGCAAATAGGAAGAAACTCGCGTTTTCTTAAATTAAATTCTTAAAAAATCACGTAAATAGTGACTTGGGGGAAAATTTCCAGTTTCTCATTCGGTTCATCGAAAACTTCAATCACCATTTCTCAACAATAACTATAAATTTCCATTTCGTAACGCTAGGAGTTTTTCATACCCGAAATTTTTCGTGTAGCTCCTCAAATGTACTCTAAATAAACGAATAACAATTCGCCAACAATTTCAAATCTCAATGTCAGTTATTTTCTTCTATTATTGCTTAAGAATTATCTATTATTCTCACTGATTCTATCAATAATTATACGGATTTCGTATCAATTATAGTACATTAAAGGAAAAATTTTTGTAAAAAAAAACCTTTTTCTGATTATCTTACATATCTCCACGATTTAATAATGAGGACACGGAGATTCTCCCGCAAATCTATCACCAATATCTAAAATTCGCTTCAAATAATACCATAAACTATTTTTCACTATAAACTATTGAATTCGTTTCAAGTAATAGTAAGACAACACTAATAACTAATATTAAGGAAAATTGACATTGAGATTTGCAATTCTGCGAAGATTTTTTGAACAATACAAAATAAAATAGAATATTGTATATTTATGGACGACGAGAAAAATTTCCTTTATAGGAATTCCTCGTGATCCGGACAATGAGAAAAAAATACTTCCGCTAATTAAGGTGTTTCATACAAAAACAATAAATGATGAACTTTCTTTAAAATTCATACAGAAAGTTGATAATCACAGAAAGTCCATGAATTGTCTTCGATTTTCATCACATCTTTTTTTAAATTCATTATCGATTGGATTCCCTTATACACGAGCGCTTATAAAGATCTTTCGATTTATTCAAATCAATATTACCATTTTAGACTTAATTCTAATTAATAATTTGAATCGATCTAAAAAAAACGAAGAGAATTCATATATAATGCTACTATAATTATTAATATGTTGTCTGAATTTCAAAGAGAGTCGGTCTTCCGCGTTTTTCGGTTGGAATCAATCAACGAAATGACTTCCCTAAAAATAAATAATTATTTCTCAGTACACATCTACTCTCCGCACTTTGCTCAATTAAGGAATTGATATTGAGGATACATTGTCAAAGTAAATTTCCCATAAAAGAAGAAAGAAGAAAACGATGCCAGGCAGAGCAATGAGCAAGCATTGAGGAATGTTGAATCAGAGTCGTGGAATAATGGTGAAATCTTTAGTTCTGATGTTAGCATGTGATATGTGTGTTTTCAGGGTACAGCAAAACCTGCATGCCTACTGTAAGACAGATAGTTGACTGTCTCGTTGCTGTTCATCCCATGCCACTAAGATGCGGCTCCTGTCTCCTCGCTGCTAAACGTACTAAATATCCACCAACCGATAGTAGTATTATTAGCGCAATTAACAGCGTCAATGATACAACTAATAACAACGTTAATGGTCTTCGTAAATGATAATTCATCGACAATATATTTCTTACCTGCGTAACTATGGTTTTGAGAGTTTATGATAAAGTAAAGAACTGCAGTCGCCAAATGAGTAACATTGAAAGTAGTATTGCTAGATGTAGAGTGGCTCTAGGCCAGTTGTTAATGCTATTACCACCGTATATTTATTTCTTTTCGTCTGACATGATGCAGGCTCTCGAATAATTCTATGTGTTTTGCTGCATCCGCTCGAACAAGACTGAAACCTCATTTTACGAGATATTTTCGTCTCCAGAGTTGTCTAATTTTTCTCTATTTATTTTCAGCTGGTGATTATTATTACTTTATCCTTCTTTTTTTTTTCACAGAGAATGTATTCTCGCTTTGCTCGGTTTTCGAATGCCATTGTGTATTTTTGAGAATGATCGAGGGGTGGATTGAGTGGACAGACGATGCATGAGATTGAATAACATTTTTACAGCTGATGGAATTATGAAGGAATAATTAAACTGCTCAACACACCTCTCTTCCACTGCAAATCGAATATTTTTCAATCGAATTGATCTGAGGAAATTTCTAGTTATTGTAAATAAGATGAATCTATTTCATGAATTTATGGGCGATAAATTATGATATATCAGGTACGGTTGAAGGTACGCGAATATGGAATTCGTACAATGTTGTTACGGTGAAAGATAATTATTCTCTTATTGTACTCGCGACTGAAGTCTTTTACGAATACTAAATTGCTTGATAGCAACTGAATGTACTTGTCGAGCTCGTACAAAGTCTCTATCAGCGTTTATAGTTTTAATGTCAATCTAAGTAGCTGATTAAATCATTAAAGAATATAAAGTGTATTATAAGGGATGTTGAATGGATAATGGAGAGAGATATTTAATGAGTAAAATAAAGAAATGTGTATCGCATATAAATAATTTATTTACATCGTACAATAAACACTCCAAACTTCGAATAAAGAATACGATTTAAATCAACAATATGTTCATTTCTTTTGCACTATCATACAAATGTAATTATTACGATCACAGAGATTAAATAGTTTTATTTCGAAGGAAAACTCATGGTTCTAGAATCCAATGGCCGATAGTCCTTGGAATAACTGACTTTTTCACTTATTTCAATGATTTTTCTACTAAGATAAGAGATATGAATTTTTCTTTCTAGATTCATGGGAATTTCACTTATCTTAAGGGATATATGTTCTTGATTAACAAAGGCTGAGGGCTTTCTTGTTCTTGGATTAGGATAATATAAATTGTCCTCTGAAGAGAAACGGACGTACGTATTATTATTCTCGCAATTTATTTAATATTACCAAAAAGAGTAATAGCAAAGTGGTAATAGTTCCTGGAGTCAAGAACATCTATATTAATATTTCCCACTCGGATTTAGTGACTCGTTGGTCACTTCATTCTAGCACATGTTTCCCTGGAATTAAGTGAAAAATCACTGGTTCCAAGGGGAAAGACACTTGATTTTTCCTTTGAAAAAAAAAAAGTTTTTTCTCTCTGCAGAAGCAAATTTCCTGCTCCCCCCTTGACTAGATGAACGAAGTGATTCACAATTTTCGTTCAGCGACATATATAAATGATTTCAATGATCAATTATTAAAAAAACATTGAGTTATGTCTCCTAAAATTGTCTACACCCCAGCGAGCATCAGAACTTGTTGCTTCTGAGACCAAGGAAGCACAGTAGCACAAGAAGAATAGTCCATCCAAAGATAACGAGGAATCCTTGATAAACCTGAACATCGTCAAACCTGTACCCTTTATCGAGGATATTCCTGAGAGAAATGCCAGGTACAGTGGTGGGCAGTGCGAGGCTGAGCCATCTGAGGAAAGTGGGCATTCCCTCGACAGGCCAGACACACCCGCAGAGAAGAATTACAGGATAAAAACTCCCAGTGGTGATATAATTGGCCATCGTGTGGGATGTGCAGAGAACAGATACGAGGAATCCATAGCACATGCCACAAATTCCCATGAGGAGTATCATAGCTATGACAGTGACCACCGAGCCACTGCACTTGAGATTGTACTGCATAAAGCTGATGACCATCGTCACCGACACCTGAATAATAATGATGATGAGCTGAGTTATCAAATGAGCTGTCAATATCTCAGGCGTGGTGACACCCTGGACGAGACTCCTGTTCCAAATGCCCTCGTGTCTGTCCGAAATAATGACAGATGACGAGACAGCAGTCGACAGGAAAAACGTGACAGTGAGAAGGAACGTGGGTGCCATGAAGTCGGAGAACTTCTGGTTCATCGCCCCGAAGACGGGATCCTCAAATTTTAGGGGAATATCAACGAAGCGTTTGGGAATTCTGCATTCACTCACGATCATCTCGTAGATCTCGAAGAATTTGCTGAAGAGGGTTTTCTCCATGTGAAGACCAATCTGCCTGTCTCCCATATCGAGAGAGACTTCGATCCTGCCGCTGGTGTTGGATTCGAGCTCGAGGCGGTCTCTCCTTGCCTGGAGGCTCTTGGAGAAGTTCCTGTCGAAGTGGACGAGTCCCACTGCCTGACCGAATTTCACAGCGTCTCGTGCATCCTGGTGATCCTTGTAGAATCTGCTTCTTCCAATGGCTTCTTGAAAACCACTGATGAACCGACAACTCAGGTCGACGTAGTCACACATGTCCTCTTCCTCGTCGTAGACAACTGTCCCCAGGTACTTTCCCCCGGCGCAGTCTCCTGCCTCGTCGTTCACCACTGCCATCAGCAAGTCCTTCGGATCCTGACCGATTGCATTGAAGAATACGTTCACCTGGATCAGGGGGAAGATGAATGCAAAGAGAATTCCACCTGGGTGACGAAGGAACTGCAAGCAATTCTTGATCATCAGAGCCTGGAATTTTCGGTTTCTCCTCCTCGGGTTGGATATCTGGGACGATATCTTGGATACCCTGTGGTACTCCTTGGGGGAGAAGTTTCGATTTTGATCGAGTGTTTCATTGGTCCTCATCTCCTGGAGTTCTGTGTCGACGATATTACTCTGGCGGTATACCTGGGCGTCATTTTGCTTCTGGCTGAGGAGGAGGAATGCCTCCTCCAAGGAGTTGCAGTTGCAATTGGCGAGGAGCTTGGTGGGTGATGCCTCTGCCAGGAGTCTTCCACACCGAAGTAAACCAATTTTGTCCGCCTCCTTTGCCTCCTCTATGTAGTGTGTTGTGATAATAATGGTTGTACCACTCGACCTGGCGAGATTCACCAGGAAATTCCAGATGTTTTCACGCAGTAGTGGATCAAGACCCACCGTTGGCTCGTCTAGGATGAGCAGTTCGGGCTCGTGTATCAGTGCACAGGCAAATGATACTCTTCGCTGCTGGCCACCACTCATGTGTTTTATTAAACGATTCCTCGGTGGAAGTTGGAGGAGGTCCGAGAGGAAGGCGTAGCGCGACTCGATTGCGTCGTCCTCGAGGCCGTTTATGCGGCCAAAGTAGTAGAGGGCCCCGATCCCTGTGAATTCGTGAACCAGAGATATCTCCTGGGGCATGTATCCCACCTGGGGACCTGGGATTGACGAGGTTTTGCTGCCTGGGTGGCCTCCCAACACCCACACCTCGCCTCTGTCCAATTTACGAATTCCCACGATGCAGGAGAGCAGAGTCGTCTTGCCACAACCACTTGCTCCTAATAATCCATATCTAGAATGGAAGCGAAAATCAATTGAACTAATTAAATTTATGATATTGAATTAAATGGATGAAATCAGAGTAATCAAGTTGATTAAATCAAAGTAATTAAATTAATTAAATTAATGAATTAATTGGATTTGATGAATTCGTCAGGAATCAAAAAGTATAGAAAAAAATCTTAGAATTACTAAGAAAAATGTTTTGATATTGAGTTTTAATTTGATTCAGTAACGAAGGGATAAATGGGGGTAAGTTCATTTATCTGTCATTGGAGTTTTTGAACAATATCTGCGAATCTAAGAGAGATAGCGAAATAATTGTAATTACATTTGTTGTAGAACGAAATTCTCTCCACAAAAAATGTTATAATAAAAATTTTGATATTCTCCTTAGACTCTGAGATATTAATCAAAAACTGGTTGATAGGCAAAAGTGACTTGTCATGTTTTACCACTTCAGTACTGAATTATCAATTTTATAATGACTCCTACGGTCTATAATATTATTTTCTTGATATACAGAGTTTTCATTTGAGTTAATTATTTGAATTAGAGGTTTTTTTTATCTTATGATGAAGCTTTGGAATTGCGATTGCAGAGGGGAAATTTAATTAGATCTAGAATTATTTAGATTCCACTTACATTGTGCCTCTCCGTACAGTCATGTTAAGCCCATCAAAGATAATGGATCCATCCCCGAGACATTTCCTGGCATCTCTCACAACAATAGCTTCGGGTTGCGGTAGCATCCTTCACCCGGAGAATCTTCGACCTGAAACAGAGTTCAATGTTTCAGTTCATGGACCACCGTTACACCTTCTCTCAGCTGAGATCTCTTATTTAGCTCCACCTGCGCAATCTGCTCCAATTTCTCTTTTTTTTTTTGCTGAATATTGGAGTATAGGGACTGTGTCACTGGAGCTACACCTGAAGACTGACTCTCATCATTCAAGACTGACCGAGAAGGTCTGGACAGACCGGATTAGGTTTACCGTTACGAGTGTTAAGGTGATGTACACATATCCCCTACCTCCTCTAAAAATTCCTTTTTTCTTCGACCCCTTCTCTCATCCGAACCGATTTTCATTGATTCATTGAAAGGTACCGATCATCTTCAATACTCTCTCACTGAATTCGTTATTAAGATTGTGTAAAATATTCGCTTCATAGTTTTTGTTTAAATTTTTACGGTGAATAGTGGAAAAAAGCTGCAAAATCATAATTCTCTGTTTAAAATTGTGCGTTTTAAATTTGAGACAGGAATTTTCGAAATTTCAGTAACTTTTCAGGTTTAAATGGGGCGTCACGGATTAGAATTTCGATTTTAATCAGCGGCTCGATAGATTTTCAAATAAAAATTGTTTGAGGTCGAAGCTGCATCATTGAATGCAGTAAAAAAAAATTTAATGACTGACCGTTTTATTTTGGGTACTAAAATAAATAGCTTATTGATAACCGCATTATAAAATATTTTCTCTTATGATTACTTAGGGATTATTTCCCATTACTGTCACCTCGATTCTTTAATGAGAAAAGAATTTTTAAAAATGCGAGTATAATATTCAATTTGTTTGACATACTGGTAATTATTGCGTCAACAGAATAATTACCTTCACATGTTATAAATATAAACTTTATTACATTATCAATCGATTGAACTTTTAATCAAAACATGCCGAATTCCGCTGCGCGCAGAAAAATTTATGATTAAATTTACTCGAGCGAAACGAATTTATTTTATTCTCATGAATATTATTAAAAAATGTATTCTTATTCTCGGAATGATCGTAACAAAAATATCTAAAATTATAATTATAACATATATCCTAAGTTGGTGTGCGTTTTTGATATTATTATAATTTAATTAATATTAATTAATTCAATATTACTGTGACAACAAAATGAATATAAAATAAATTATTATAAAATATATATTTCTAACGTAAATTTCATTATTAATTCTCGATTGAAGGAAAAATCTTATGAACAATCACTGGCTATATGGAATTATTGAAAACGATTGGAATAATAATTCAGTGTAAATCACATCTAAAAGCAATTCACGTTGCAGTGGGCAATGGTAATGGGCTGTCAAGTGGCCTCTCGAATTATTCGTTTTCCTCCAGTTATCGGGGTTTCAAATGCTGCGTATCAGCATTTTCCATGACGCTTCGTCGCGAGGTTTGCATAACAAATTATTTGGTATTTATTGCACTTGATTATTTGAAGGGGAACGAAAAAAGCTGAAGAATCCCGGATACGTAGTCATAAAATGGAAATAAATAACCCTCACCTATTCACCACGAGAAATATTTAATCTCTGTACATGCACTGAGAAAAAATTTAGTGAATTGAAAAAAGAATTGTTTTGCAATTAACAAACGAAATTAATAAATAGTCACAAATAGATGTGATTGCGAGCGCTAAATATTGAATTGAATAGATTTGTTTAAAACATTTAATTGCAATTTGCGAGGTCAATTCCAACTTTACCTGTTTGAAAAAATTCAAATTTGAAATTAGTATTCTTTAAAATATCCCTGAGGATGCGTTCAATTTAGAAGTACCATAAAAATTAGAAAAATATTTTTTAACTTGAAAATAGTCACAAAAATCGATGTAATAGAATTAAATAATTCACTTTACTATTTCGATTCGTTAAGAAACAGAAAATCGGCGCGAATTTATCAAAAGATTAAATTAATTGAATACTTCCTCAATTAAATAATATTTGTGTTCGTTTTAAATCGAATTTAGTACAACCCTTTATTTTTCAGGCAAATAAATATCTTCACTAAATATTTCTCTCAGTTTAAAGAAGAAATATTGAACCCTCAGTCGTGCGTATGTTTAATTGATCAGAAAAAATGGAGGCGCAAGTAGATCAAGTACATTGAAACAACGAGTACATGTGTACGTACGTGTAAAAAATTTTTTGTTACTCCATGCACTAGTCCAATTCATCGCTCTTTACTTTCTACACTCGCCTATTTATTGTCTCGTGACTCGCGTCAAAACAAAACATTTTTCACAAATTACTAGAAAGCGAATGGACGAAAAAAAAAAATGATAATCCGCGAGCAATCACGTAAACAGGGGCTCTTTCATTCCAAGTGCATGGTAGAAAATGATGATTGTAGATTCCCGGTAATGACATTGTTTCTCTCAATTTTTTTTTGCAAGTGTGTCATTACTCAGCTTTCATCTGCTCTTTTTACATTTTTTTACATTTTACACTTCACGTTTTGTTTCGCTTTCTTCAATGTTAGATTGAACTTCTGATTGCGGAACCGATCGATGGGCAAATTGTCAGCTAATTGAAAATCTATTTATTGTTCATTTATTTATTATACTTTACGAGATATTGCTGGGGAATTTCTGCAGGTTTCACCGAGTTTATAACGGTATTATTGGATTCGCGTGGCAGTGGGCCACTGTCAAGGCGAAGGACACCATACCCTAATGATGAATTAAGGTAATAACAGAGATAATAACTCCATAATTTCACTTGATACGTAGTTAATCAGACCTCAAATCAATGGCTTACCCGAAAATAAAGAGCACTTCCACTTGATTTTGTTGTTTTCTCTAGTTGTTCTGTTCACAAATTTTATTTCGTCTGGTTCATCTGTATCGAACTCATCGAGAAATGACAACGAAGAGCTCTAGATTCGTTAATGAGCTCTAGTTACTAAATGTAAATAGCACGTAATTGAGGGGCGATGGGCAGTAATCGATGAGGCGAATTGTCCCGAGCTCGTGGAAATCGTGGGTTTGACTGTTGGTTGGCGACGAGGATGAGGTTTCGGTTTGTATAGTTTCTTGCTGAAGATTTTCCCTCCCTACTTGAATTTTACACCGAATGTTTATTCGTTCGTCTCTTCGGCCGCTTGTGCGCTGGAATTTCTTTCATTTCTCGGCTCTGCCCCTCTCACCTCGTGACCGACTTTTCAACAGCTCTGAGTTGGCAATTTTTTGTTTATCCTGAGACAATTCAAACAGCTATTGGGAAATTTTTATCAATCCGTGGGGTGGAGGTGGATAATCGGGGCGGTTATTCGAGTCTGTTGGCATTTTTGAATTTCCCGGGAAAGGATTTTTGAATCTGTATTATCGGTACATTGTTCGGGCTGGTAATGTTGGATGAGGGAAGACTGTTGGTAAGTGGATTATTCATTTTCTGATTTATCGAACGTGGGATCGAGTGTAATTTCGATTTTTGGTGGGCGATATATTAGAGACGTACGCATAATTAGCGGGTGAATAATTCATTTTCAAATCGAACTACTGCACTCCATTTGGAAATCATTTGAGAGAGTTTACGATTTTTATTATTATTATTTTTATAACATATAACATTAATGATGGGTTGAGTAATTGTTAGCCGAAATTTCACTGGCTGCACTATATCAATATTTATAAATTTTTCATTGAATTTATTTTCAGAAGTGGTAAACTAGGATAAGTGCATTTTCTTCGAGGTCAGTTTTTCGCCAATATCTTGGAATTGAAGGGACATAGCGAATTTTTTGTACAAACATTTCTGATAGGAAAAGATGAGAACTACAATAAAGGTATCTATGAAAATATCTTTATCTTTATTCAGTTTCGAGGAATCGGCTAAAAACTGGACCCAAAAAATGTAAAAATGTACTTGTTCACTTCTACATCATTTAGAATGAAGGTGTAGGAAAATCATGTGATGTATTATTATTAAATAATTATTATAAAATCATGTGATGTACGATTTGAATGATTGTCTTGAGGCAATTGACATCTGTGATTTCCGTGCGATCTGTGGATTATCCTATAAGTTACATAAAATTAGCTGTCATAAGCTAGATTTCGAGAGTTTGGAGGTGGAACTGCTTCCATATCTTCCAATTGGTCGGATTCAATACAACTTATATAGGATTTCGCTGAGTCATTTCGTCAAATTTATCGTAGCCTCTCCGCTATTCTTTCATCATGGGTTGTGGAATTTCTCTTTTTATATCCGCACTGATGTACGTATGTTCCTGGATAAATTACTCTTCGATCACGTAATCATTCATTATTTATCATTCCGATACCTCAAAAATACGCGGGATAATTTTCGCACGCGTTAATTATATGATAATTATAGGGTAATTACAGATTTGTCGAAGGCTTCATTGAAATTTAAGTCATTTTCGAGTTTATTGGGAATTTTGTCATTCGGGCTAGTTTTTACTTTTTTATTGTTGAAGATTTTTTTTATTATCATCCCGATGGGAATAATGTACGAACTATTATGTAGATAAATATATGGAATATAATGTAAATAAATATTTTGACGGGGAAAAATGTAAAATTTTTGAGTTTCAAGGTTTTGCGAACGTTTTTTTTATAAACCTTTAAAAAGAATGACAAAAATTTAGAAAAATCCACTATAATTAAACAATGATAAAACTCTAAAACGATAAACTTGGAAAAAACTCGAAAAATTAAAATGTATCGGTAATGAATCCCGGAAAAAATATCCCAGGGAAAAAATATCCCACACATTCAAAACGTGTTAAAACTCGCACAATTTAATTATTTTTTAATTTAATTATTTTTTTCGTTGTCTATTTTTTCAGGGACTCTAATTTTTCTATGGTCTATCAAATTGGGTGGGTTTTAACACGTTTTGGGTGTGTGGGCTTTTTTTTCCGGGGATATTTTTCCCGCCTACCATCGGTAATACCTCCTCAAGGTTCATCTTCTATTCAAATACGATGTTATCATTCCTGATAGTTTTTTTTTGAAGATACTAAAGCAAAAAATGAACCGGAAATATTTCTGGGGTCAGTAGAACACAGTTATCTCCGCTCTTTATTTTTCTAAAAAAAAAAAGAACCTAGAACTGACAATAAAATACAACATCAAGTCCGCTGGAGTCAACGTCAAGATTTTTGACTGCACGCAGATTAATTGTTAAAAATTTCAAGATTAATTGTTAAAAATTTCAAAATTAATTTATCCGTAGAATCATTGCCTTACGTAATTCAAGTCCCAAATCCCAAGTCCTTTTAAAAAAATCCGCGATATTCGTTAAAAAGTTGTAATAAACCGTGGTCAATTTGTTATTCACATTTCTCCGAAAAATTATCAACTTTCACTTTGCCCAGTGACTCCCACAGACTTGAAGTTCTATGGAATAACACATCCCTATCGATTAATCTCTTTGACATCCGACAAAAAAAAGATGATACTGTGCAAATACTCGAAAAAATCCACATGTCTGAACACATCTATGAGCAGATGAATGAAGGGCATCTAGTAATCAACAATCAACATAACTTATCTCTATCGTACTAGTCGGCCTTGTTCCACCGCAAATGCGAAATGAAACGTGTCAATGTTATCACGTTCCTTATCCCCTTAAGTAGTTAGTACCGACGTCTTCTCGTTTTTCATGTTTTTTGGAAATTTCTGGGAAATTCTGGATCAGATTGACGTGGAGAAATATATTATTTTTACCGTTTATTATTATGCAATAACTCAGAAATTTTTATAGTCTTGTGTTGATTTTTTTAGATTTTTGGTCAAGTGGTGGGAATTTTTGTAAAGGTTATTGGAAACGTACGAAGATTCTTTCATGGTAATAACACTTGGGGAGACATTGAATAATAATTATATTGAATAAAAAATTGACAATTGTTTGTTTTTTAACGTCAATTCTGTTGCAAAGGGGTAAACTAGGATAAGTGAATTTTTTTCGGGGTCCGTTTCCAGTCGATTCCTCGAAATTGAAGGGAGATAATGATGTTTTCATTACCACCTTTTTTGTAGCTCTTATCTTTTTCTAAATAAAATGGTTATACAAAAAAATCCATATGTGCCTTCATTTCCGAGATATTCGCCGAAAACTCGCGAGAAAAATGCACTCCTGGAAATTTATTAATCGATTCCGAGAAAGAGTAATGAACATTTACCAAAAATTGTAAAATAATTTAATAAGTCCGCAAATTCCGCTCCTTCAGGAGAATAAAATAATAATTACCCCTCGCACCTTGCACTTCTCCACAAATCTCGGCCCAACTAAATCGACCGGAATAAAATAAAAATCCCCAATTACGTGTCCACCTGTCCATTTCCGCTGACATGAACATATTTTCAATTAAAACGACTGCATCAACAATGGCCTTTCACAATAAATTCAGGTCACAAATAAAAATTAAACATTCATCAAGAACCCAAATACACCACGCCAGAGCAATTAAATTGTAACATTGTAAAATTGTGCTAAAATTTATTTCAGCGTAAAAAAAATTGCACGTTATTTACCCAAAAAAGACACTTAAAAGAAAAAGAAAAATTGCATTGTAGTCGTGAAATTGTTATGAGAGTCCTGCAATTCATCACAACGCGAGGGCAAATTTACCTACAAATTGTTGTCGATGTCTATTTTGTGAGAATAATTGCATGTCCGCAAAAACGTTAAGAAAAATATATGCAAAAATACGTTGACCGTACATCGTTGCTCAAGGCGAACATGTTTTTTGTCCTCCTGGAAACTGGAAACAGAAAATAAAAGCATTTCTTCTACGCAGTCTGTATACTCTGGACTCATTAATTGCCCACGTAATGTTTATTGTCTCGGTTCTTTTCCTCGAGACGAAATATCTAGACTCAGTGCAAGTTAAGGATCTATTCTTGACTTCCCACTTTTCCATTTTGTCATTATTTTATGACTCACGATGTTCCATGTACGTGCAATCATTTCCTGTTTTTTATTTCGTTTTGTGAATTTTTTAGAATAGTTTTTGAAAGTTTAGAAGAGACGCAGGAAAATTATGCCACCGTCAAAAAATTTTGGGAGTCATTAAATAACAATTAAATCCGAAAACCCTATATTTTATTTAATCAGTAATTATAGCTAAAAGGGCTTGAACATTATTAATCGTCTATTTTTGACCTCTCACCCCTTTATTTTAATATTATTTTATTTTAATAAATTTCTGACGAATTGTCCGTCAAATTGCCACAAAAAAATCTCGATTTTCAATTTTAATGTTATTCAATCACTAAATAATTTTCGTGATTGTGCCCCTAGTCTTCCGTATTTTTTCTTCAATTCCCCAGAAAGTTTATAAAAAACGCAGAAAGACTGTTATACAACGGTGCAATTCGGTGAGTCATTGGATGAAGATAAAACTCAAAAAACGGTATATTTTTTCGCATTAATCCGATCAATAGGTTGATAGTAATGCATTTTTAATTCAAGGGCTATTACTTTCAGCTGGAACCATCAGTGACTTGGTGCACCGAGTCACCTGGTAATTTGCAATGGATTTCAAGGGAAAGGATGAGATTGCGATGTCCATCTTGAAATTCCGACAAATATCAGGGTCTTGCATAACAGGTTGATAAGCAAGGTCATGTCAGTGGTCAGCATCCTTGAGTCAGGTCCAAAGTCAGGATTCAATGAAGAGGCGGTGTTTGTTCTAACGCCTGACTAACACTTCCCCCTTGGAGGTGAGTAAACAACGACCAGCCAATGCGTCATCGGAATACACAGATTACTTTTTTTTAAACTCTTTTTTAGTGGCAATAGATATCTTCTCACTTTTAGAATTTTTTTTTAGGTGCCGTGGATCAGATGGACCTCAAAAAATATATCGCTCCTTAGCTATATCATTATCAAATGACTCACAAATTTCCACACTCGTACGTCTATTTCTCTAAATTTTTTATCAAGTTTTGGAAATTTTTGGATTACACGAAAAAAATACTTGAATCAAGTACATCAAGTATTCTTGATTGAAGCAGATACGTTATACTTGAAATAAGTAGAATAACATAATTATTTTCAATATATTGATATATTTATATCAAGCATAACGCGTATATAAATCAAGTACAAAATATACTTGATTCAAGTATTTATTTTTTCCGTGTATATCTATTATAGTATATTTTTCCATTTCAATCTTATATAATAGTTCCTAAATATTTTTTTAATAGCTTTATTATTTTATATTTTAATATTTTTTCATGTCAATTTTATCAACCGTTTCTCAGGAATTTGGAAAAACTGGAAACTTTGAAGGTATCGCCAACTCTTCAGGTATAGAGAGCCAATTTTAAATGTCAGGCTTAAAATTATATCGTAAATAATATAGGAATATCTACTCTGGCTTTTAGTTATCGTCTAGCTCCAAAAGAATTCGCGTTAGGACGCAACAGTTACGATTTTTTAATGCATTTTTTTATTATAAATTTTTCTTTGTGCAATCAGCCTATTTGTGTACCGATTATGGAATGGAATTTAAATTGTTTGAAAGTGATTTTTCAGTGGAATGGGAATATTCTGTATCACAATATGATTTTTAAATAAATTGGCACTCGGTTCTATTTTTTATTGAACAATTGATCTGAACAATTGGATAATTTTATACGTGTGGATTATTTGTACTGTAAATAGTAATCGAGAAATTTCCAAGAAAATTTTCGTATTGAATTCGATCTGAGGTGAAAATGATCAATTACAAAATAACTAAATAATTAATATTAAATTACTAAATTAAATAGTTTTGAGAACAATTCTTTAATTGAATTTAAATATTCAATTCGGTAGTGAAATTAAATTTCGAATGAATTGGCACTGAATTTTTATTTTAATTGAACAATTTGATAATTTTTATATTGTACCTGTAAATTCAGTGTTGTTTATGCAATAAAGTATTCGACAAAATGGGAATGTCATGGAGAGTCTAGTATAGTGATTTCCTGGATAGCGACATTGAATTGAATTTAAGGTGAAAGCCTTGCAATTCCAAGTTTCAGGAAAAAAATCAAGTAAACTCCAACAAAAAACAGCAGCTACACTTGTTTAATTTATTTGATATTCGATAATAAATTCCCTGGAATTTACTCAGTCTCCACTGTTTGTTAAATGACTACAAAGTTAATAGCTTATGTTAATTTAAATCGAGATTCCCTTGAAATTTCCGTGGAGACTCTGAATTCCGGGAGATAGGAGAGAGTGAACAGAACACCTTTGACTTTCGGAAAATATTTATAAATCAACAACGAAATCACCAGAGGAGTCTCCACCAGGAAAGGGCACAAGTGGTTGTTACGAAACGGAAAAACTTTTACTTCACGAGTCCGAAAATCGTCCAGATGAAAAAATTCCGATGGCAGATTATGTGGCCTCCCCGGAGGGAACTCCATGAATGAAGGGACTTTGATGCTTTCTGAGAACCCTAGAGCTCGAAAATTTTCCACTGATTAAATATATAGCCATGGCACGATTCATCAGGTTTTAACGATATTACTTTCACCCGATGTCGTAGAGTGAATCGAATCTTTCGATTGAATGAGAATTCCATCGCTCAAATCCCCGAGGAGAAGTTGTACCAAAAATCTCACCTTGCACTCGTCACCAAGACAACTTCATCCGCATAAAATACCCACCACTTGATGAATCATTAATTCCGATTAACCTTGTGCCTAAATTTGCTATTTCCCGGTCCATCCATACGCAGGTATTCTTTGCTATTTGCCAATCCTATTGTCCTATTGTACCATTGAAAAAAAAAAAATATTCCACTGACACGTTTCACGTTTGGAGTGGTTATTCATTTATAAAATTAATTCTGATTTTAATTCTGACAGCTATTCAGTATATTTAATGTAATTAAATAGTATTAACATTTTTTATTTTAATATAAAATGTCTAGTAATTTTTATGGCATAATTCATTTGAAATCTCCAGTTTCCATCGATTTTTTCATAAAATAAAAATTCCAAAAGCCTCAAGAGCGTTTCATTTATTAAATTGATGTACAGAACTCCGTTATATATTTTTTTCATGAAAGATATTCCATAACAATAAACAAAAGCGTGAATGGAGCAGCATCCGTGGAAAAGGTAAGTTGACAAGATACAGCTTGAGTTTTTCAGAAATATCTCCGAATTGAATGGAGAAATCGAAATTTTCATTAGAACATTTATTGTAGCTCTCCCATACACCCACAAAAAAGGTCTTATCACTAATCTCATTATCTTCGATACTTTCCGAGATATTCCCGGAAAGAAAATGATTAGAAAATTGCACATGTCTCCTTTCAGCACTCGACTCCTGATTTCTCGCTGATAACTAATCAGCGCAGGAATTTCAACGAAAAATAATGTACCTGAATGGTGGAATGGCCATTTACCCTGACCCTGGATTCGTGGAGAGATCATAGTTCAGGGTCCAGCAGCAGTCTCTCAACGTTTCATTGGGTAGAATTGAGCGTTGGTCCCAGTGAATCCTCGAAGATCCGCGAATGGATAGGAAAAATCCAGTGGTGGCGGATTCCCCGTTTTTCCCCCCATTTCTCTGCTGGTGTGTGTCAATATGTCTGTTGCACAAGAATTTTGATTCCTCCTTTCTGTGTGTATACATGGGCACCTGAGAACTCGCAGCTCAAGGTATGAGCCAGTTTGCCGGTGGCTTCGCCACGATCAACCAGCCACTCTCCATTCCCACCTGGAACACCATTTCTCAATTCATAAGTAATCAATAAATCCGTACCAATCAATAATACTAATTATCTTGAGGATTATCAAGTACTCTATTGGGAAACCTCAACCCCCAATTCATTATACAAATCAACAAACTGAATTCTATAGACGAGTCCTCACAGACGCCCGGTAATTTCTGTTTGTCTCGCTCATTTCTATGAGTTTATTGTGCACACGTGTTAAGTGATACTAAAGTTTCGGCACATTTGTGAATTGAAATTTGCGCATTTGCGAATTCATTGAAAGGATACATTGGTGGCTGTGATCTGACGCTTGTGACATGATATTTTTTTTCATTTTTTATTAATTCCGGAATTGAATTTTCGATGCTGTGGATGTGAGGACTTCACGTTATTTGAGATTACATCGGTCATTAAAGGTATCATTTATCTTGGAAATTTAATAAAATTTATTTCCTCTCTTGGGGTGAGCGTTTATGAAATTCGGTTGCGAAGTGAACTGGGATCGGTGTATTTTTTTCGAGGGCAGTTTCTGGGTGATTTCTCGAAATTGAAGGAAAATAATGATATTTTCATGAATACCTTTTTTGTAGCTCTCATGTTTTTCTAGAAAAAATGTCTCTACTAAAAATTCGGTGGCGTTCTTCAATTCCGCGGTATTGGATAAAAACTGGAATTTAATATTTATTAATTTGGTGAATTATTTAGGGAGAATTCAGGAAAATAATGGATTGGATTTCGATTTTTTTTTTATAATCTCTGTCGTATGGATCGGTTAATTAGAATTTTTGTGACTATTCAAAAACATCACTGAATTTTTCAGTAAGATGAAAGTGAAATGGAGATAAATGCCATGTTAATTCAGCGTTATTTAAATAAAATATTTTTCGCTTGAACTTTGAAGATTAATTTTGCAACAGTGTGGGCAGAATTCCAGCGTAAATAGCCGTGTAAATAATGGATGACACATCAGTCTTGACCTTTACCCCAGGATCTATTAACTGACCGATTCAATGATGATTGTTCTTCGAAAAAAAGTCATTACGCGAAGAAATATCAGACTTTTCTCATCGTAAATCAGTTTACAAAATCTTCCGCTTACGACCGCAACTTTGATACTTCCCTCAGCAATTTTTATCATTCGATCGGAATAAAAAAAATTGATCGATCGTTGTTTTACGACCTGTAGCTCAACGATTAGAATAAGAAAATGTGATATAATGAAAGTGAACAAGTTGAAAAGTTACAAAGCGTTACCGCGATTTCGTAAAAACTCACATTTTCGAAATTAGGCTGATCCTCGTACGACACAGTTGGCCCATTTCCGGGTTTAATTAGGATAATGAGTGTGGGGAATATTAAATTGAATATTGATGATTCATCGTGTGCTATTAACACCTGGCAATTTCATAATACCGGGTTCTCCCGGGTTATGTCGTTTATTAGCATTCATGGGATTCTTTAAAAGTGAAAGAGAAGGAGAAAATAAAGTTAAAGAATGAAAAAAAAAAGGCATTGATTTCTCCTGAAATTATCCGGTCGCTCGCGTCCGTGATCGGTCCACCGGGGCATGCGGTGAGAGCCTGATTTGTTACATCACACTTTAAGTGTAACGAGACGAAAATTCCGCTTCAAATTCAATGCATTACAATGGGACGATCCGTCAAATAGTTTGATATGTTTGTCATCAAGATTGAGAATAAAGTTAATAAACACCTGACTCTGTGTCATGCAGAGAAATAAATTCAATTTTTAGAATTTTGTTGAATTTGTAAAATGATAAAATATATATCTAGAGATACGTGGTAATTATATCCGGATATATTTCGCGCACTGTTCGGGAAAAAATATATTATCCGAGATTATAGAGATATTTTTAATTTATCTGTGCAGATGTGTCTCACCGCTCTCATTCAAGATATATTAAAAATATAAGTCTGATATATTTGGGATGTAATCACCAGGAAGGAACGATATTTCAGTTATAATTCCGGGATTATTTATTTATTCAGGCGGATAGGTCCGGTTTAAATGGAGAAAAGATCAATTTTAGGAATTATTCATTAAAATTGAATTATTTTTTTTTCTGCATGTTCACAACCGTTTCTTGAAGGGAACACTGTTCAAAATTTATTGACATTTTGACATTCAGTCATTAAGTCATCGGGATTTTTAATTATATAAGGTTGCATTCAATTTTAATTAAAATAAATTGAATTAAAAAGGAAACTTTATCATTTTTCTTGAAAATTCAAGAGAGTTGAGCTGATTATGATCAATGGAATATTCAGGGAAATTATTGCTTAAATTCTCGAGGGTCTTACGATTTTTTTAACGTATCGACAATAAAATTTGGAATCCCCAGAATATTTAAAAAATTCTGGGGCGATATAGTTATCGGAAATGAATGATTTTTAACTTCTGACAAGTTTTTAACCAATATCTCGGAATCTAAAGAAGATACTACAATTTCCATCAGAATCTTTTTTGCAGAACTAATTAAGGGCTACAACAAATGTTATTACAAAAAATTCGGTATCTTTCTTAGATTCACAGATATAATTCAAAAACTCAACAGAGATCTCCGCTTACCTCTTCACTACTGAATTAAATCGTTAATAAAGAATTGTTATAAATTTCCGAGTTTTCCTCATGAAATTTAAATAGTAATTTTGAAATAGTGCAGGGAGAAATGTCCTAATGTTAAAAACAATTTGCTGAATTTCCCGGGGATTATATTGAATAAAAATATAAATTGATGTTGCATTTCTGAGTAGGTGAAGATGGAGCCAAATCAAGTGGGTGCATTGCCAGGTGCATCAATAGAGTTGAAAGCAAGAAGAGCACAATTCCAGACACAGGCGTCCACCGTGGACACTAGGAGACGACAGGCGGTGTGTGTTAGAAGGGCGTTCAAAAAATACGGGGGCAAGAACAACCCCAATATTATTCTTGATGGTCTCAACATGACAGTGCCCAAGGGTGCTATGTGAGTGGAATCAATCCAAAATTATATTAACAAGTATTTCGACAACCATCTAGACAGTTCTCTCCTTCTCTTCTCCTTCTCTTCTCCGAAAACGAATAAAAATTGACTAATTAATTAATAAACTAATAAACCAATAAACTAATCAATTAATGAACTAATAAAGTAATTTTCACTGCGTATTTTTAATTCCTTTCCCAGTAGACTATAACAAGTGGAATTTTTTCGGCACCAGTTTTTAGTCGATTTATTGTAATTGAAGAAAGATAATGATATTTCCATAATTATCTTTTTCGTAGCTCTCATCTTTGTTTATAAAAAATGTTGTAAAAAATTCGCTATGGTTCTTCGATTCCGGAATAAAATCCATGAAAATGTCTCCAAAGCGATACGATCACTAACCGCGCGAGTAAAATTCAACAATAAATTTATCGCGGATTTTAATCTAGCATTTGAAATCGAAATTGAGTCCCTGGCAACTGATTCACTCGAATAATTCCTGCCAACGACAGATACGGTCTCCTGGGAGCGAGTGGCTGTGGAAAAACTACTCTCCTCTCCTGCATCGTGGGAAGACGTCGTTTAAATTCCGGAGAAATATGGGTTCTCGGTGGTAAACCCGGCTCCAAAGGCTCGGGTGTGCCTGGACCAAGAGTTGGTTATATGCCACAGGAGCTAGCACTCTACGGTGAATTCACTATTCGCGAGACATTCATCTATTTCGGTTGGGTCGCTGGCATGAGCACCGTGCAAGTTGACGAGAAACTGGAATTTCTGCTTCAGGTAAATCCCCGATAACTTATTCCCGTCTGAAAAAAAAAAACCCTCATGAATTGTAATTCCATCAGCACTTCATGACTCATTCAAGACCTCTCTCCCATATTCCCCGCATTTCACGTGATTTCTGCATTGGAAACCTTCTGAGTGCCATTGGAATTTTTCTCATCAGCTTCTGGAGCTCCCCAATGAGAATCGCTTTGTGAAGAGTTTGTCTGGGGGTCAGCAGCGGAGAGTCTCCATAGCGGCCACTTTACTCGCTGACCCGGAGCTCCTTATTCTCGATGAACCAACTGTTGGAGTTGATCCTGTGCTACGACAGAATATCTGGGATCATCTCGTACAACTCACCAAAGATGGAACTAAAACTATCATCATCACCACCCACTACATCGATGAGACTAAACAAGCCACCATGATAGGTCTGATCTACTTTTACAATTTTTTATTTAATTTCTCTTTGGGTTCATGTGATATTTCCTTCACAATGAATTTTTTCGCGGAAAATTCTGAAAAAATATCGCTCTGAAGAAATTTTGTAAAGTTTCGTCAAATTTTCGTTCTTTGAATTTCGCTTCGGAATTAGGGAAAAGGTACGGAATTTTTATTGAATGGGATAAAATTAATTGAATTGGAATAAAATCCCTTATTACTTTGTAGATTTTATAAAAATTATTTTCGTTGAAATATTATTTTTATCAGAAGTGATTTGAGAGATAGTTATTATTGATTTTATTATTGTTGTATTACTATATATATATGTATATATTATTGATTATTATTGATGTATTAAAAATTCCTTTCAATTTATCCCGCGAATTCCACAGAGACTTCAAAGTTTCGAATACTCAACAACATTTTCAGGATTCATGGAGCAAAATTATAGGAATACATAAAAATTATAGGAAGATATGAATACTCAATGTAAAAATCGAAATCAAATCGTCTCTATTCCCCAATTAATTTATTCAAAGATATTCATTCCAGAGAGTAAAATCCACTTTTGCCTTTTTTCCAAATCTAAAAACCTTGATCACTTGTCCATAACATCGCGCGTTTTATTTCCGAAGATTTAACTTTTTCCTCTCTATAATAAAACCAGATTGAGTTCAAACGACCATCTTCCTCCTGAATTATGAATACCACAGAAAATATCCAAGTTGTTAAATTTCCCTCCTCTTCTGGCGAATTTCAATCAGTCATTCATAAATATAAAAAAAAACTAATTAAAAATCTCAAACTTCCCCAACGTAATTTAACTACCGAATTAATCCATCAAAAACTTCCAGACTCTCTTTAAACCGTTTAATCGCTCACGACTGAGAATAGAAAATAAATTTCTCGCTTAAATGACTAAATTTTATGACTGAAAAATCCGGAGCCATCGTCTCCCTTTCAACGTTTTATGAACTAAAATAAAAATGTTAAAATCAACAATGATCCCCTGAAACACGTTTAAATCTTCCAAAACAATTCCAAAACCCTCAAGATCTCCAGTATAATACAATAATAATTTCCTTAAATAGTCTGGAAATAAGTAGAAAATGAAAAACGAAATGACGACAGGTCTGATGAGGGGTGGAAAGTTTCTGGCTGAGGAGTCGCCTCGTAAACTGATGGAAATGCACCGTCTAGACACCCTGGAGGATGTTTTTCTGAAGCTGAGTAGAAAGCAGAACATGGGACTGAGACGAAGAAGTAGTATCCTGAGCAGCGTCACAGGTGTTCCCCCAGACATTGACGTTGACGACGAAATGAGCGGTGAATTTGGAGACAACGTGAGCATATCAAGCCGACGGAGGAGCATAGCACCACCAGTTCTCAACGATAACGCCCCCGAATTGCCCCCTGAGGAGGAGGGAAAGAGTAATTTCGCTCCCCTCAATCCCCAACACATGAAGGCACTGATCTGGAAGAATTTCCTCTGGATGTGGAGAAACGTCGGTGTCATGCTTTTCATCATTGGTCTACCTGTCATGCAAACTATTCTGTTCTGCTTATCGATTGGCAAGGATCCCGTTGGATTAAAAATGGCTATTGTTAATCATGAGTTGAATAACAGCCATCAGCCCTGTATTCCCTCGACTGGTTGTGATGAGAGGATGTACAGCTGTCGTTATCTCAAGCATTTGGCCACCAGAGATGTCAAATACGATTATTTTGATACTGAAGAGGAGGCTCGTCATGCTGTGGAGAAGGGACATGCCTGGGCGGCTTTCTCCTTTCCCAGGAATTATACCGATTCCATTGTCGCCAGAATAGCTGAGGGCAAGGATGCCGAGTCCTGGACTGCAACGTATGCTGACATATCCATCGCTCTGGACATGTCTAGTATGATTTTTTAGATTTCTATTTTGAAATCGGTTATTTCTACTCCCCTAAGGCTTCATTTGTATTAGCATAATGTAATTCTCATATTATTGTGAAATTTTATCAGAGACCAATCAGAAGTCGTGAAGAACAGCATTCGATTTTTTATAACGATTTTTTTTTCCGTGCTGAATTATTTTCCGAAAGGCATTTGAATTTTTTAAAAAATCTTCTGCTCTTAAATACTCGAAGTATCACAGAGGGATTTCTGAAAATTGAATAATCGAGAAAGCTTTGCAATTGAATTTGAAAAATAACTCCATCACGGAAGAAATTTACTTAAAAATTTGGATATTTACAAATGAATGGATTATTAACTGATTAATGCACCTCCAGATCAACAAATTGCTCAACTCCTAAAACGTGATATCTATAAATCATTTGAAAAATTCGCCGCGGACATCGCCGAAGGATGCAACTACAGTCGCAGAGCAACAACAATTCCCATCTACGTAGGTTGATAAAATGTCTACTCTACCAAGTCATCTACATCTATCATTTATATAATTATCATTTCAATTAATAAAACTTTTAATTAATAATTTAAAACATAATTTTCCTATCGGTAAAATATGATTATATGATTAGTACTACCAGAATTTTTCGTCGTACACTTTATTCCCAGTATTTTATTTTAGAAAAATCGATAATTACTGGGATAATTAATTTTGCAGTTCAATCAACCAATATACGGACCAGAGGAGCCAAATTTCACGAACTTTGCGGCTCCCGGTATAATTCTGACGTAAGTAACCGAGAAAAATGATTGTTAAGCGTCATCAATGTAATAATCCGTTATCCTCTTGTTCTCAGGATTATTTTCTTCTTATCTGTCGCACTGACGTCTGGTGCAATGCTGTTGGAACGTAACGAGGGTCTTCTGGAAAGAAGTTTGGTGTCCGGTATCACTGGCACGGAAATACTATTCGGCCAAGTGGTCACTCAATTTGTCGTGATGATAGGCCAGACTGTAATGATGCTCGTATTTGTCTTCGCTATTTTCAAATTGACAATTGAGGGAGATATTGCACTTGTCAGTGCACTGACGATACTCTGCGGATTATGCGGAATGTGCTTCGGTGAATATTTTCTCTCAAATATATTTGGTCACCATATCGCCATTTTTTCCAACTATTTCCAAATAATTCTTTTTGATTTCTTGAATGATATATCAACTTCGTTATACTCAAATCGTTTTAAAAATACAAATTATTCGCGTTATCGACTTTACTTGATTGATTGTGACTGCAGAAAACAACAAGAACTCAAAGACAAGTCATTTACACTCGGGAAAAAATTATTCTTACATATATATGTATATATATGATAATATATATTAAGTTACAGGAGATCTCGGTTGGGATTTGATTACGATAATTATTGGTCTACAGAATTTTTTCTTCTTTGCATATTACCTTGAATATACTTCTTCAATGATTTGTTTTTATTAATTTTGTATTTCCGTGAGAGGAGAATCTCGATTAATTTTTTAATGTTAATAATAGCTGATTCGCTGAAGGCCGTCACTATATAATTGTATAATCATAATTGAGATTTAATGAGGGTTCGTAATTTATTCTGGAGTAAATGAATATTCGTGACATAACATCAATGAAATAATTCAGACTAAAACTATTCAGATAAATACAAGATAATTCCAAAGCGAAAGTTCTTACTAATTGGCAACTAAATAATGGAAAGAATCTGTCGCAAGAATTTTTCCGCTCGCCGATAAAATATTTGGAGGAAAAAGAAATAGGTCAGTCAATTAATAGATATTTCCAGATTCATATTTCAAACATTACGGAAATACAATTTAATATTGCAATTATTAAAAAAAAAAAAATTCTACCGTTTCTCTTCCAAATCGCTAGAAGAGAAAAATTTTCATTCCTATTTGCCATTTCCTGCGTGAATTATTCATTAAAAAAATTGTCAACAATTTTTTCAGTTCCATCTGTTCCTTGCTAGGAAACAAAACAATAGGCAGGAGATAAATAACACTTTTGAAATGATTTATGATTGCTTTTTTAAGGTTTCGTGGTGGCCTGCAGTTGTGAGAACGAGCGGAGTGCCACGTACATGGCGATGGGCTCATTTCTTCCAATAGTTATGCTATGTGGAATAATCTGGCCAGTGCAGGGTATGCACCCTGCCCTACGTGCCATAAGTATTGTCCTACCACTGACAAAAAGTACAGAGTCGATACGAGCAATGCTTGCCAGGGGTTGGGGTATGAGTGAACCAGCAGTATACGAAGGGTTTATATCGATATTCGTCTGGATTCTCGTCTTTCAAACGATCGCAATACTTCTACTCAAATTCAAAAAGGGATAATGAAGTTGCGTTACTGCTGTCGGAGGGAATAATCCAAAATGCTCGGTACAGTTTTTGGTTGAGAGTAATGAGAATATTCAACGGCATACCTCGGGCTGTATTCGTATTGTAATAATATCAGCCGCCACTGAAAGCTCGGTTTAATTACAATGCTGTGAATACAAACGTTTGAAGAGCTAAATTGAATGCTCGTTCGACGCATTAATTAGGAGTCATATTTATTTATAGGTTTCTTCGTGTTTTACTATTATTTTTTCTCGTTGATTCATGAATTTCACGTGGAGAGAAATTTCTGAACTGCAGTCGTGAGAAATTTCTATTCCCTCTTTTCAGAAAATTATACTATTCCTCATTTTACAATCTGGAATGTGAATATTCGGGAGATGATATTCTTTTTTGAATCGAGAAAAGACTGTTATTTCAATCGACTGGGGGGTGGCAGATTCGCTTTTTCTTTTTCGTGTTGATTTCGTTTTTTGCATGATTATACCGTGTGTTTAGACGGCGAGTATTTGAATTTTACTTTATTTGTACAGAATTACTGTATTTTTATCGTTATTATGGAGACGGAGGGAAGGACGTTGTTGTTGTTATTTAGAAATTAATGTAGAATAGGTCCAGTGTAATTCTCTATGTATAGTAGACAATAAAGTTAAGAAAATTAATAAAATTAATAAAATTAATAAATTGCAATGTTCCGTGCTTATTTTTTTGCTCAATTTCATTCCGAATTCAATGCAGATTGCAATTGTCGGGGCTAAGGAAATTTCATAGACTATATTCCACTCCCTCATCTCGTTAGACGCGTATCGATCATTCGTATTCACAGAAGATATCGTCTGATACACAAAGAGCGAAATTAAGGGCTTGATTCGATTCTCTGATTAGTTCTCTAGTCGAATTTTCCAAAAGGATTAATTAGAAAGGCTTTGATCTAAAGTGAGACAAATTTAGCGCATGACCACAATATCAATTTCTTCTGTATTTAAATGTCTCGGGTGTTCGCCGAGTGAGAAACCGAGACAAATATCAGTTTGCTCTTGTTTTTCAAGAAATTTTGAGATAATTCTCGCATATTTGATGAACAAAAGTTTATAAAGCCGTTTGCTCCTCGATAAAATGGACTAGTCTATCCGCGACATTCGTACATAATCGTAATTTCAATATATATATATTCAATATATAGTTCAATATCTAGTTATAGTTATAATAAATATTGAAATTGTGATTATATAAATTATAGCATTTTCCTTCTTTTTTGAAAAAAAATGAAAATTAAAAAACTTTACAACAAATGAATAATAATAATAATAACTTTACAACAAATGAGAATATTTCCGTCAAATGAAAATTGAAACTCAAGGCATCAGTATTGTTGAGTAAATCACGTTTTCTATCCGATAAAAAACAATTTAATTTATTGAATAAATAAACAATTTCATCTTCATTTGTTTGTAAATTCTTTGAATGCAATTTTTATCATTTTTTAATAAATTGGAGATTCGTGTTGCGTAATGTTGATGTATATTTACGATAAAATAGATATTTATTAATATATTCGGTTTCCATATTCATGAAAAAATGAGATATGGATGTAGAACTACTCTATTACATTTCAGCCCTCGTCATTCTATTTGCAGTATTGACGATTTAGATCCATAAATAAGTACTCATCACGGCCTGCCAATTATACAATCGTAGACGAAGGCTTGGGACTCAGTGTAAAGCAATTGACACTTGGCAGCATTATTCTCAAATGACATCTCGCCGATTTTAAACTCCGGATTGACAGCGACCTGCAATAACGGTCGCAAAAATGAAATTATTTTCATCGAATTCGATAGACTCCAGTGGATATTTACTTTGAGGGTGTAGTGTCCTGCCTCGAGCTCGGATATGTCGATCCACTGGCAGTCAATATTGTATCGATAAATATCGGTACAGTTCACTGATATTCCCTGGTCCCCGTAATTGGCACATTTATATCTAAAAATATATAACAGGCTGAGTGCTAGTAGATATGGAGTATTAATTAGAGAATTATTGGGAGATTGAACATGATTGGGTAACGAACCGAGGCTTCACTCCTGGCATGCAGAGATTGTCCTCCAGACAGAAAGATGCTTTGTGACCTTCTGCTATCCTTTTTCCACTTGAGTCTATGATGTCGAATGTGGCGAACACTTCCATCGAGTGATAATGCCTGGGGAGACAGAATTTTAACGGAGATTTTTAGTGAATCGCCAAATGCTTTTGATCTTCTCTAACAAGTCTAGACTGACTTCCCTGAATTCTTCAGTTGTGAATATTCCAGAATAACAAATTCAGTGTTTATTCAAGAAATAGTTCTTTGCTCTTTTAAAATACTCAATAGACTTATTTTTATCTTCAATTTAATAATTACCGGAGATTTTAATATCTAAAAACATTCTACTTGTTATGAATGTTATAAATAAAAAATAATCCGTGATTAAAATATTTCATAGAAATTTCATTATATTCCGGATTTTAATGAATATTCTCTGCATAATGTTATTTTAATAATCCTGATTACCCGTGAATTTCAGTTAATTAATAATTAATTAAAAAATTATGGTGTGAATAATAATTCGAATTGCAACGAAAAACAAACTTCGATGTAATGAACAATAAAAAATTAAAAAAATTCAATTACGAAGATAAATATAAACAATCTAGTTAAACGCAAAGTGAAAACGTTCTGAGGATTCCCATGCCGGTCTAATATATTAAAGAAAGGAGGAATTTTGTTATCAGATGTAGTAGATTCACTCACATATGACACATATGCCATTCCCACAGATGTTTTGGCACTGAGGGTCTGAAATCGGCAGTACCAGCATTGAGGATTCTTGCTGTAAATTTTAAGAGCCTTCGGGTCTCCCTGGTCCAATCAGCCGACTCCTTTTGTATCCTGTAAGCCTCTGAGGCAACGCAATTCTCCTCCATGGCACATTGCAGCCAGAAAAGGGGCCTATCCTCCAAGTGTGCAGTCCTCATGAGTTCGATATGATCGATTACGAGATCAGCCATATCTCTCTTACAAACGACACTCGCCACATTCCCACGAGCGCCTGAAACGTTTCCCTCGATTTATTCATCTTCGAATGAATTTCATATTTCTATTTCTGTGAACAAGTGGTAAACTCATATTACCTGATCAATCTGTCTGTCGATTTTCTTAACAATCTCAGAATCTAAGGGAGATAGCGAAATTATTATTATTACATTTTTTGTAGAACTAGATTTTCTCCACAAGAAATGTTATTATGAACATTTAGCTATCGTTCTTAGATTCTGAGATATTCATCAAAAACTGGTCAATAGTCCAAAGTGACAGATTGTGGGTTTTTTATGCAGGAATTTAATTGATATCCACTTTAGATCATTAATTCACAGATTATGAGCAGAGATATGAAATCTATTATTATGACATCCTTCTCACATTTATGTAGTTTCTTATATTTTATTGATATCGGTTTTTTTTAATTATGAGAAGTAGATATCAAGTCATTTCATATGCGTCCTAAATATTTTTGCAATACGAATCATTAAATTATTAAATTAAATATAAAAAAATCGTGTTGTTGCAAGGTCTTTGTGTATTGAATAGGTACCTTAATTTAGATTGAATGAATCTATTTCATTCAAATTAGTGTGAATTGTGAATGTTTACCTGGACACTGGATGGAGGTGTCGTGGAGGCACTCTGTGATGTGGTGCTCGTTACCATGACACTGTATACCACTTATTCCAATAAATTCCTTTTTATCACTGTGAAAAGTCATTTGAATTGCATCCGACGCGTATCCCAGGTTCAATTGACGGCAGATTACACCTGCCTCCAGGAGGGACCAGCCGTCGCCGCAAACCAGTTTCCAGTCTGATGAAAAATACTGATTATTCAACAGTCCTCCAACTGGGACAATCGGTGAAATGCAATGAGCTTTCGAATTTTCAAGAAAATTGAATTATCCCGTTGGTTTTACTACCACCGCTAAATCCACACGACTGAGATTCACTACGTGCAATCGAATAAGACGCAACCGAAATTTCTTGAGTCAATAATAAAGTTTAACGACTATTTGTTTCAATCGCGCAGTGACATCGAAACTTCTATCTGATTTTCCCCAGTTGCATTTCGTTGATCGAAACATTTCATTTTAAATTGGTAGATAACTCTCGTTGGGTTTATCGTTTTATTTTTACGATTCGATTTTAATCTGACGAAATTGATAAACTGTTAAAAAATTGCTTCAGCTTTTTTAAAGTTTTTTCAAAATTGAGTTTTGAGATTTGACTTCTGAGTTGCTGAGAAAATTCCAGAAACTTCGCACCTGAAAAATTGGGGTTTCCTTTATCTTTAAAATTAAAACGTTGGCTTCACAATTTTATTTAAGGACCGGTTGGATTATCTGGAAAAGATAATTTACTCCAAAATTGGGATTCCTAATTACTCTGGCAATTAATCGTTTTTTTCAATAATTGGCGGAGTAATTAGGAATCCCAATTTTGGAGTAAATTATCTTTCCGAGATACTCCATTCGGCCCTTAATGCTTTTATCAAGTATTGTGGGAAATAGATTCCCAAATTTGAATTTTTTAGGCCATTGGAAATCGAATAATTTTTCAAGTATAAATTAAATTCGCTTATATTACTGGTTGAAAATCATTGATAATAGTCCTTGAAATTAAATCACTTTCTGACTAACATGATATAATAATTCGCAGTTTAATCTATCAATCTACTGGTGAAATTTATTCACCGATGATATCTCTATTACATCACTCAACTTTCCTAAAATTTCATAACACGACACTCACCTTGATCCGGGAATTTAATTTCAACACGTCCCTCCGAGGGATTCCTTCCTCCTGTTAAACGGGTTTGAAGCCTGGGATGACGCTCCTTTATTTTAATTCTCCTCGTGCTAATCGAGCGTGAGGGAAGATCCTCCTCCTTATCATGAGTGCAAATAACTCCAGCAGCCTCGCTACTCTCGCAATCAGAATTACCCCAGCCATCAAACCTGCACATCCCGAGGTAATCCTCTCTACCATCGCAGAACATATTATCCATCCAAAAGCGTCCTGAAATATACGGCTCTATCAGTCGCAGGTGTTGCAAAGTAATTGATCATTTAACCACCGATATTAATCAATTTCAAATTTATTTCAATTTTTATTGTCAATAAACAATTACTATTGTTCGTAAAATTTAAACTTATTCAATTCAGCGGTATTGTAAAAATCATTTTGATGAATGAAAAGTGGAAGATTATTTTTTCATTTTTCAGATTTTCTTCTTTGAGACAATAATTAATAATAATTATAATAATGAAACCTGCAATGATTAATTATTATTGGATTATTGATTATCATCCGCGTGGAGGGTTTATGGGGACTTTTTATTGGAAGTGAGTAATTTAAATAATATTGAATAATTACATGCATTGAAGGAAGAAATTGTAAAAATAGATTTGACAGGTGCCAACGTTTGGTGAGATGTACCCATGATTATTTTTATTGCTTCGTATAGTATTTATTTAATAAAATCTATATGGCATTGCTATATATTCATCTTCTTACATTTTCAAACCAGAAAAATATTCTCCCGCTTTATTACCGTAAACACTTGGAAGAAACGCTCAATTAATTTCGCTGTCCCAGAACGCCAATTCCACGAGTTTTTCAGCGGAAATTTATAGCTGAGATCACTTGGTGGAAAAGAAAGCTCTTATATTCAACTTGAAACCGCAGAGATTAATTATTGAATCCCCTGAACTATCGAACTCGTGACCGAGTGATTATTCACGAACAATTCCCTAAAAATTGCATAAGTCTGATCTGAAATACGTTTCGCGGAAAAATGACGGAATGAATTCAAGATTTCAGGTACACTCGGTTATTTTTCACAGAACGACACTTCCCGCACGTGAAGAATAAAATTCAGTAAAATTATTTATCCATTGTTTAATTTGTGTTGTTTTAACCGTACAGGAAAAATTACCGTAAAATTACCGTACTCAGTAAAATTTGTCGACAGCGTAATTAAAGTTATTTAACCGCTTGACAGAATATATAAATCTTTTAGGTAATTTTTCCCGAATGTCTAGATAACATTTACTAATCAGTTAAAAAATTTTACAGATCGGTAATTTTTCCTGTCCAGCTAAAACACAATATGATAACCAAATAATTAGGTAATAATTACAGACTTTTTCTCTCTGTGCAGAATTACGAAATTCTTATATGTAATTATCGGTGAACTTTTTACTGACTGAAGACAAATGTTTACTCACTCCTGGCGATTCCGAAACGGGAATTGCCAGTGGCCTGGATAGCTCCCTCGAATCCAAGCTGTCTGCAGACAACAGTCGCCTCCAAATGATCCCATTCGTCATCGCACACACATCCCCACTTGGCATCATGGAGAATCTCGACATTTCCTGAAATCAAAATACCGAGACAATCGCGATAAAGGAAAAACTCTTATCTGACTCTCAATTCACATGTGGCGCATCGTTGACACGAATCCCAACGAATTGACCCCAGTTAGAGACGTTCTGTCCCCTCCCATTGGAAATATTTCCAGTAATAATACCACTGGTGATGCGAAATTATCGGATATTTTTCGATAGCTCCATCACTGAGCAACGAGTGTCTCCAATCATCAGCAAACTCCTCAACTAGGATAAGTACATTTTTTTCGGAGCTAGGATTTTCGCCGATATCTCGCAATCGACCGAACTTAGCGAATTTTTTGCATAAACATTTTTTATAGAAAAAGAGGAGAGCTAGAAAAAAGGTTTTAATGAAAATACCGTTAGCTCCCTTCAATTCCGAGGTGTCGCCTGAAAACTGGCTTCAAAAAAAAATACAACGTTTTCACCGTTTATCATTATTTAATGACTCTCAAATTATCATGATCATTCCAAAAATTCATAAAAATTTAGAAAAAATGCAGGGAAATCAGTACACATTGATGACATTTTTGGGGTCATTAAATATATATAATAATAATGATAAAATTGCAAAATGGTATATTTTTTCGGGTCAATCCGATGAAAAATTTGTCAAAAAAGTAAAAACCGGGATTGTGATTAGAATGAACAGAACATCGTTACATAAACTCTGTGACTTTAGTATGATCCAGTAATGAGACGTCATACCCTCGAACGGTCGTCTCCCACCGACCAGTTTAATTGCACCCTCTTGCTTCTTCAGCTGGCGAAAATCCTTTCTCAATCGTCTCACGTGATATTTGACCTTTTTACTCGAATTTCTCGATGGGTGATTCCAGCCATCCACAATCAGAACAAAGATTGCTACAATGACTACAGCCTTTGCCGCGACGCTCTTCCAGGTCTCCATTTTATCTAACTCAGTTCCTCATGCTTTAGTTGAAGTTCCAGGATGACAAGCTAAAGCTACTTGACCTGAATAATTACCAATTATTTCCAAATCCATTCGAAAAGTGACGTTTAGCGTAAAATGCGTCAATATTTACTGATGTCCACCATTTCCGCCGAAATTCCCATTCTTTTTTATTTTCTGGAAAATTATCGATGCGATTAACCAGACAAAATACGTTTTAGCATTTTGTAATTATTTAATGACTCATGAAATTTCAATGCGATGCTAATTATTTTCTGCGTTTATTCTGAATTTTTAAAAGAATCACAGAACTTTATAAACAATGCGTGAAAATAATTGCACCACCACGAAATTTCATGAGCCATTAAATAATAAAGAGATGCCCAAAGTTTTTTTGTTTTCACGTCAATTCTATTAGTGATTTCCCAGAAAAATGGAAAGGGTGTGAATTTTTGGTGGAAGGGTGTCGAATATTCTTAATGACCTTAGCATAAATATTCTCTGAACTCAAATCATAATTCTCAATGTACAATCCGCCTACGTTATTACTTCAATTCACGCAGTTACACTGACTCGTGCCCAACACTTGTCATCGTTAATATCCAGAGCTCCTCCCTATCTAGCTTTCAAATGCACAGCGATTCGCACTGAAATCATTCAAACGCAATCCCCCAAGACATACCATGACGTGATTTCATTACCGCATCGTTTCTCCATCAGTTTTCCATTTTTTAAATTTTTTTTCAAACTCCAGTTTTTCACCTCGATGTCTTCTACAACCGGGGGCTGTCCTTCGTTGCCAACATCTGGTGAATCTCAAAGTGTTTTTGCGCTATCAACTATAATGCAAGTGCTCTGTAATTGCGTTGCAGTTTAATGAGATATAAAAATGTATTAGACCTCGGATTTTTTGCTGGACAATTGCTGCAAAAATAGAAACTGCTGTGGACCATTTCCACTGACATCTGGATAACACGGAACTACACTTTTTTCATCATCCTAAAAAATATTTCTTCTGGAAATTTTTTCATTAGAAATATCTGTTTTCTCGTTTTTAATTAATTCAATTCTTTGAGTTTCAAAAAATATATTCATCTCCACGTATGAATAAACCCCCACAGATCTCCGATGCAATCTCTCGAAAAAAAAATGACGGCAAAAAAATTCTGGAAACATTCGAAATAACTGATGCATCTCTTTTTAATCCTTTCCGTGTTAGCACCACGTGAAAACGCGAAAACGCGAAAATGCAAAAACGCGAAAACGCGAATACGCGAATACGCGAAAACGCGAAAACGCGAAAACGCGAGAACACGACGCACCGAGATGTTTCATATTTGATGAAAGGAGAAAACGGATCTTTGTGAAACCGGAATTTCATTAATTTCGCGTCTACCCCGTGAAAGCTGTGATTCCGGTGAAAGAAGTCTCATTGAATTTTCCATTGAATGATACTAGACATGAAAGCTGCAAGTTGCATGATACAGGGAGTTGTTTGGGTATGGGCTGGTGTATTCAAGACGACACGAAGACATCAAGTTTATCGGGAAAATTCGTGGCACGCCGGTGACGGTATCTGAATTCCCCAGATTCCCAGGGTACCTTCTATCAATTCTGGAGACTCCCTGGATGGGGGTAAAAGTCGGTATCATGCTGCATCATGGATGTATGGAATGGCCATTGTTTTCCCACCGAAACATCAATTCAATTGAACGAGTACTCCAGGGAACTCGATAAGTGGAAAATCAATGGGAAAAGAATGACTGGGTGTAATGGAATCGCCCAGTGGTCAATGAATTTGATATTCTCCTTTCCATATCGATTTACATATAGGTTCCACTCCCTATCATTTTTATATTCTCTTAATTATTTCCGGAGGTAGACTTCCTCAGAGTTCACTTGCTCAATTATTTATAATAATTATCAGGGGAAATTGAGGCAGGTGATGATGAACTTCTATGAGAAATGGAACAAAATTTCCTAGCCCTTTTATTACTCAGAATGTTTATTAAATCTCGATAAATTGGGATTGAAGATGTTAGATAACAAATATATTATCACGTGTTGGAAATACTTTTTAGTTATGAAATTAATTTAGTTATAAAATTAATTTATGAAATATAAATTAATGCTTGTCATTTTGATATTATCTGTTTTCTATCGATGACATTTATTTATAATTATCATATATTCGAACATCTTTTAACAAACGAACAATAAACAATTTTGATGACCTAGTTCACTTCACTAAATCATTCAAAAGGTTTTGCAATAAAAAAATGCGTTCTGTAATAATTAATGAAAATTTTGAATTGCAGGTGCATTCAGGTGAAAAAAAAAGTCGAAATTCGACTAATCGTTTCCCTTAAGCATCGCCTTTGAATTCGATATTCTCTTCATACCGATAGCCATCGAGGTTTTCCTGATTTTTTCGTCCTCTCACTTCAAGTACCCCTCGAACATGACGTATGTGCCCCATTTCGGTTGCGATGCGCTGGAAAAACATGTCGCTAATCGACTCAACAGAAGTGCAAGTTTTATCCCCACCTCCGGATGAATCCAACAGAAATGCATCATCAAGGCCCCTTTGGCCGTGGTAATTATCTCCACTGTCATATCATTGACGAAACGAGCCACTCGCATTCCTTGAATATTTTAACGTTCAGCTAATGCGCACAAAAAAATGCCCGGAGAAAAAATTATAGGTAAATTTACTCTGATGTGTAATAATATACCGCATCGGCCCTCAGAAAAATTTTACTGTTGTTTTGTAGTTAAAAATACGATAAGTTTAGTGACAATAACAATACGCTTGCGAAATTTTTATTTTTAGTTTCATTTGAAAATTTATTATTTTTTTCTTCAGTGATTTTTATTCACACATGGAGAGTATCTTTTATTTGTCTTCACACCGATCATCTTCACACGAGGATATATTTCGGACGGGATAATTGAATATTCTGCGTATTAATTCCTCTCCTCGTGACGTTCTATTCAAATTTCATGGAAATCATGGAACGCATGCTGTCGCAGTCCCAAGAAGTTTGCGTTGTAATAGGAATTCTTGGGAAACCACGCAGGAGTTCACTTCATTAGAAGAAGGTGCGGTAAAAGGCCACAGGAATTTTTTGGAATACGGAAATCCTAGGAGGCCGTAAAAATACAATAATAGTAAAAAATTGGAAATAGAACATTACGATACAGGCACAAGACGACTATTTTCAAAGAAAAAAATTGGAATCCGATGGACCGTGGATGAGATATCGAGAAATCAATTTTTTTTTCAATATCGAGGAATCAACCTTTTTTATTACACCTATCCATTAAAACAGCCCGAGCCATCGTAAGAAAAAAAAAATCTAAATTCTTACCAAATTTCAATTTTCTACAGCAATTTTTCTATATATATCTAGAATTTTTCGTAAATATTCTTTTGGCCTGCGAGGCGATATATTCAATGCCCCGTCCACCGATATTAATTCATAATTAAAGAAAAAAAACATGCTTGAATCCCCTATATTTTCTCCTCAATATGAGTATCTACTTTCCCCTAAAAATAATAAATAAATATATTCCCTAAATATCCACCTTATACGCATATTGCCCGCATATTCATACTTCCAATACGAAACGTACTAAATCGAGTAGATATTTATTTCGTGTACTTACCCCGATGAGAACCTCAGCCCTCCATTCCCAGTCCGCGACGTTCCTCCGGTCAATTTAAAAAGTCGCGCGGTTGCGTGCGCACTTATAGTTCGCGCGGTGGCCACTCCGTGGTGGTCACCAGGGTAACTGACGCTCGATCCACGCCTAAGGTACGGCCCCTCTCTCTCACTCAACGTTTCCCCACCATCTCCAAAATACGAGTGTCCTCGTCCCACTCCGGATAGTCTCGCCGAAGTGGCGTCCCCCTCCCCGAAGTGCCGACCCCCTCCTCCCGCCGGCAATTCCCACCAGAGTCGCACGCCACTCGGTTTTCATCGGTGCCACCAGTGCACGGGCTTTAGCCAAAAGGTACGCCGGAGAGTGAAACAGAACCCCCTCTCACCCAAACTCTCGACAAAAAAAATTCAACCCCTGCGTTACCTTGTCTCCACACTCTCCACCTCTTACCCCACAATCCACGGAGACCAAAAGAAAAAAAGAAAAGCCTCGAAAAGAAAAATCGAAAATTCCCCAAAACGGAGAAAGAAAGAATTGAGAAAAAGCCGCCTTCTCTCATAATCCCGGTGCGATAATGACCCCGCATTCTCAATTACGTGTACCCCGACGTCATCGGTAAATCATTAAAATCAATTCAAAAGCGTTAAAAGTAGAGGTGAAAAGGAAGTAAGCTTTTTCCAGTGGCATCGGCATTTATGTGTGTACCTGTGTACGATATTTGCGGAGCATCCCCGAGGCTTTGGGTATCTCCCACCGTGTGACGAGAGTAGTGATGAGCCGAGGGTTTTCATCGTGGTGATAGGAGTGATAATTTTCCTCTACCCCTCACCCACTTGGAATCAAACCACCTCCCCGATTCAATTGGAAAGAGTAAATTTTTCTCGCCCCTCGGTGTGTGTTTGTTTGTTTGTCGGTGAAATACAAGTGTCTGTGTGTGTCGGCCATTGCTTCTCGCTTCCTACCGGACCGAGGAAAGCGAGGACTTGGAGGCGCGCTCTCAACGTGTGTCAACTCAAGTTTTTCCCATCGAGCTCACGACTTTTCCAACTCCACCATACCTCCAGCAAGTCTCATCGACAGTTATCTTGCCATTTTCACGAGCCCATGTGCAAGTGTTGTACGAGAATCAAGTGAAAACGTATCTCCCCTCTTTTGCCTCTGTGCATGTGTTTACGGCGTGGATTATGGAGGAATAATGTAACCGGGTGGTTGTGAGGAATATTTGAAACGGTGAGAAAATTATTAATTTTTTTTAATGTAACATTTGAGGTGTTGGATTTGGTAATTCATACTGTCAGTTGATTTTCAGGGCTATTTTTAGGGAAGAATTTTGAGTGAGGGTGACGAGGGGAGGATTTATATTTCGTCTGCAACCCCTGTCGCTTGAATCCAATTGTTCAGATCCCTCACATTCCCTCCCAATTTCCATCTCCATCATCGTTAGCTCGTACCTTTTATGTTCATCCCGTGTATCATTTTTTTTTTTTTTTCCTCCAAGTATTCAATAGTACGGTCTCAGCGACCTCGAGACGTACGTGATCGGCTTGCTGAGGACACAAGTTGGGAAGAGTGGAGTTTTCGTTGCGTTAGAATAAATAGAGAGGAAAATTGTATGTACGCCCTCAGGGTTGCGGCCCTTTCTTTCCTCCCCGTTGACCTGTGCCTATTATTTATTATATATATATTTTTTTATCGGGTTTCCATCGTCTGCCTCGCAGCGGCTACCAGTTAACTGCGTTGGAAAATTGAATGTTTTTTATGATGCAATGAGATGATAGGAAACTTATTTTTGCGGGGGCTTTCCCGAGGGAGTGAATTATGGACGCAGAGATATTGTTATTAATTAATTATCTGTCGTAAATTTTTTTTTATCGCTTACTGGTGGTGAGTCGCTCACTGCACGCGTCTTATCCTCGGGATTTAATGGAAAGACTCGGGATATTGATTTAGTTCTCGACGGGTTCGTTAAAAATTTAAGAATTCTAGGGGAGATTGAGGGTGAGATTTCGTGTTTTGAAACATGTCTTTGGATTTGTGTGGCGATTTTGTTTTTTTTTTATAAAATCGGTTCGAAGAGTGATATATAAATAGAGGGAAATTACTCGTCATTAATAATTGTCCATGTGAATGGTAATTCCTTCTTGTATTTGATGGAGTGTAAGACAGGCATTGTACACGTTTTCAGCGTTTATAATATTTCCCTTTTATTCTATCGTATTTTCCATGATATTTTCAAAGAGGGGAGGATTGCGTGTAGATATCCCTGGAATATCACCATCGAGGCCACACCAGTGGGTACCTGTTTCTCTGGGTTGTACTCGCGTAATCCTGGGGAGAATCCTTTTACGTTGGAATTGTGGGACATTGCTGTACGAACGTGAAACAAGGGAGGGGAAAAAGGAAAAATAAAATGGTAGAGATGGGCAATGTAAGCTCAGGATTTATGGAATTTTCATTTATCCTTGTCTGTGGTTGCTTCATCCCCACAAATATTCAAACAAATTTTCATGATTTTGTTACTCTTTTGTTGTTGCAGATTGCGAGGAGAGGATTTGTGCAGAGGAAACAACTTTGGCTGCTGGAGGGGGTGCTGAAGTAACTTTGAAATCTGGGGAAAGTTATTTGGAAAACAATTGGATATTTTTCTTGTTTGCACAAAGTTGCTGATAAGGAGGGGAGAGGCTTTGGAATAATACTTTGAGATTGGTAAAAAAAGTGGTGGAAGGAGTGAGGGGGTTTTGGTGGCCCCGTTGGTCGCAGATGGGAGCTGGTCTTGCAGAATACCCCTGGGTAATACCCGCAGTTGGACATTGGTTTTTTGGTAATAAAGCCGGGGAAAGGATCAGCACACGTCCACACCCACGACGCAAAGGTCATTCTCACATAATCAAGCCGATTAAACTCGATCAAGCTGGAATTGATGGAGTTGGAGAATATCGTAGCCAACACTGTTTACCTCAAAGCGAGAGAAGGTAATTGGAAAACTTGCTTTGCATGCGAGAATTGTCAATGGGAGCTTTGGGGAATATGGCTATCAATGTTGTGAATCCTGAATTCAGGAGCGAAACGGTTCAGTGCCAACACGAGAATTTAATATTTTCCCAATTATCGGTTTAGCTCGCAAACTATCGATGGTCGGGGAAACATTGAAGGACTTTTTTGTAGATCAACTCGCAAAAAGATCTATTCGAGTCAGTTGGTTCGAGATACATCCGTATATTAAAAAAAGGGAAAATTCTGTAACGCGCAAGTGAACGGGAAAAGGGCGATTTATTTTTAATGAATATCTAGAAATTTATGAAAGATTGATGATGATGTTCCTAAGACTGCAAAAAAAATAATATGATTGGAATTCGGTTTTTGTGGACATTGAGCTAGTGATTTTGAAGGGAATGACGTTTAATTCAATTTAGAGGGGACACTAATGAAGTTTCAAATTTCACTGGGAGTTGAATAGAATTTCAAACATTTTAGCAACGGAGAGATGAGAATTACCTAACGGGCTTGAGTTTTTAATTGAATATGAACATTTTGCCGTGAATTATACACAATTTTCCGTTCATTTACCAATTTATCTCGCTGTTCGCAGTGGCTATTATTTTTCAAAGGAAATTACTCAACTGTAACTTCTACTTGCCATTGATTTTTTTCGTAAAGTTTCGAATTTTGAACTGTTTAATTCCTTGGAGTGCCGATAAAAAAATCGATGAGATGAAAATTTCGCAGACTAGTGTTTACCAGTGACTGTGGAATGATTTGTTTGGAAATTCTCGATAGAATAGAGAGTAGTTGTTGATTGTTGACATAGTTCGAGATGTAGAATAGATCATTCCGTAAAGTTTAACGATTCTGTTGAGAAACTTTTAATTCACAAACTCAACAAATCACAGTGGAAGATTCATTGAATTGAACTTGCGTCGCATTGAAAGGACCTTTATCATGACGGGACAGAAAAAATAAATAAATAAACAGTAGAAGTACACACCGTGGAAAAATAATGGAAAATTTAATTATCGTAGAAGCTAATGGGCAATAGATTAAAACGAAAATGAGATTAAATTGAATGGAGAACGTGAAGCTGAAAAAATGAACATGTTATTGCTCACCATGATATTGGCAGCGATAATTATTAAATCTAATTGGATCATTTCCTATTATTCGAGTAATTAATAACCAATAATAGTTAAGAGCTCGATGAAGCTGAATTAATTCTGCAGAATGCCGCCCCTTTAACACTTTAATGAACTTTATTTTCATTTCAACATCCCCTGAGTCCTCTAATTTCATTCATCGTGATGCAGACGATCACTTTGTTTCCATGGAATGAGCTTTCGGGAAAAACCTATTCAATAATGGACAATAGAGCGAAATGAAAACAACATTCAGTGAAATTGAATTGAGAACGAAAAGCGAAACATAATGAACACGATATGGGCGGGAATCATTTTTTAATCTAATTGGTTCGTTCCCTATAATTCAAAGAATTATGTAAAATATCACTGACATTATTCCGCAATTTAAGAAGAACGTAAATAGTTTTAATGATGCAATTGACAATTTTCAACATAAAAATTCGAAATAATAACCAATAATAGTCAAGAGTCCGATGAACCTCAATGAATTGTCCAAAATGTCGCCAGTTTGACATTTTAATGAACTTTATTTGCATTTCAACAGTCCGTTACTCCTCTAATTTAGTTGATCGTGATGTAGATGACATTTTTTCCATGAAATGAATTTTCGAGAAAATCCCATTTTGTTTATCCTCGAGTGAAAAAATGAATATACAAACGATGAAGTAATTCATGTCACATACATCACTCAATTGAGAGCGGCAACACTGGAATTTCTAGTTTTTCCGGAGCATTATCGTTGTACTGAAGGAGAGGGAAGCTCTTATCAATGACGTGAAACGTCAGAAACAAGTTAAAAAAGCCGGTTGAATCAATTACCCAACTGACGAAAGTTCATATTCCCAGTTTCTCATTTTCTTTCTACTCAACCACTCTCTCACAACTTTGACACTTAATTTACGGGGAGGTGAGTGAAGGATGAGTGGAACAAAAAGTTCACTCTATCTTTCATTGTCTCGTGATAATGGCTACTACCTACGCACGGCTGTTCACTCGCTGTCTCAAGCCCCTCTCTCCTCTCCTCATCCCAACACACTTTTTTTATCTCCCAGTCTCGTGCCTGATTGTGTGCATTAGAGGTTCTCGACCTCATGTGCAGAGCAATGCGAGCTTCTATTCAGATCTACATTTTTTTTTCAACCAACGAGCCAACCTTACTCCCCTCATTATTTCCGGAAAATAATTTTAATTCTGTCATCGAGGTAATCAGCGTCCCATAGACTGCCTAATCTCTGTCTTCATTTCATCCATTTTTACTTTTAATTGTAATGTCAAACAATGACTTGATAGCTACATAGGAAAAATACTGGAGTTAATTCCAATTCAGTAGCAAAATGGTAAATTAGGATGAGTGGGATAAATTTTTTTCGAAACCAGTTTTTAGATAATATCTCCAGATTGAAGCAAGGTAGCGAATTTTTTTGCCTGAATATTTTTTGTAGACAAAGAGGAGAATGGCAAAAAAGGTTCTTATGGAAATATCAATATTTTTCTTTGATTTCCAGAAATTTGTTAAAAACTGGCCGCGAAAAAGATTCAGTTATCTTCGTTTACCAGTTTGCAGCAGAATTTCGTTACTGAATTTAATAACTCGAGGTTGATAGCATGAGTTTGTCAAATTTGTCAGAGTATCTGCGAAATTAATGAAGATTTTTTTCTGCCAACATTTTTTTAATGCGATACCGAATTTCCGCTGTAATTGTGAAAATCAGGATTGGAAATTTCAAAATTAAATCAGTTCTCAATTCGCATTAGTCGGTTAAATCAACTGTAAACCAATCAAATTTTAACGTGATAAACTTTCGAAATATCGATAGTTAGCGAGTTTGACTTATCTGTCGTTTTTAGAGTAGAGAGAAAATTAAAAAATTAAATGAGTTCTGAATTCAAATTAGCTGTCTAAAACGAGCGTGAGCCATTGAGTAATGAGTATGACGGACTTTCGAGTACTAACAATGGTTTTATAAAAAATTTTAATTATTCGTTAGTGAATTTTAGTTGACTCATATCTCAAGATAATTTCACCCTGAAATGATGCCACAATTCTCTGATTAGAACGACTTGGATGGCTACTACTAAAGAATGTAGATTTCTTCGTTGTATTTATTAATTGAAATTTCGAGCTTCAATTTTTCATGTACATTAAGTCCCTTCAATTATTCACTAACTTCCTGACGTCTTCAATCATGTGATCGATTACGGAAAAGTAACAGATTATTAATTCGATTATTAATACTCAGCAATTTCATTATTTAATTCTCCATAATTCACTGGGAGAGTCAATTTTTCTAGCTTAGTTGCCCTGGCGAAATGTTTGGATCTTTTCATTTTTATAAACAAACAATTTAAAATTCACTTAAATGGGATCCTGCCAATATGATATACTATAGAATTGAAAATCCCTTCTTATATATTTTGATGAAAATTCCCTTAGCGTCGATTTTTCACGTGCATTATCCCTCATCAATTAATCATAAACTCTTCGACGTGTTTGGCTAGTGATTCCAATATTGATAGCGATTTTTCTTGCATTATTGATTACCGTGAGGCTTCCGATTATTAAAAAGCAATTTACCCCTGTTGAACTATTCATCAATTCATTATATCAACTATTAATTATTTTATTTTGTGTGTAATAACTTTTCCGTTATTCTCAATAAAACAATGATGTACCTTTTTCCCATCAATCTTTCAGTAATTTATATTATTTAATAATTTAGACAAACAATTTATTAAATTACACACTTTTTATATAATACAACAGATTAAACATAAAGAATAAAAATAATAAAATGTTATTTTGGGAAATGATCATTTCATCGGAACGGCAAAACCAAAAAAAAATATTTTTCAATAACACCTCATGATAAAAAATGATGTCTATATCAATATCAAAATATTATTGAAAAAAATAAAAAAAACAAGGAGAAAAGCATAATAAATATTCATATTTGGTATATAATACTTCTGCGCAGTAAACAATTTATATGATGACCCTTTCATTTATAATATTAAGAAAAATAATATACCGATACCGAAATATCTCGTCATGTAACATTTTTCGGGCTAGTATTCTCACTTGTAATATTTTTTTGGAATATTTTGAGGGGCAATACTATTATGGAATAAAATTTTCAGCAGTCACCAAAGAATAATGTAATAATGACTTATTTTCAGGTGGTGGTGACAGCAACAAGGGGAAGAGTAAGAAATGGCGGAAGATCCTGCAATTTCCCCACATATCACAGTGCATCGGCCTAAAAGATAAGCTCGGTAAGTAAATGCCTTTTGAAAATTCCACAATAATTTCCTTAACGATAATGTTCTCCAAACATTCCCAAGAACATAACAATGGAGGAAAATTGTCAATATCGAATGGTACGAATGAGGTGTACGTGGAATTGAGTGGGTAAAGTGAGCCAATGAATTTGTGCACATAAACTCCTCGTTTATTTTCATCTATGCTATTGTACAGCGGTTTAACTTGAAACTGAAAAAAAAAAAAAAGAAAAAGGAAATATCCACCAGATGCAGTCTGTATTTCCCCTCGTTGCAGCTCACTGTGTATTTACATTGTTATACAACATTATAACGTTTATTTCTTTGAGTAACAGAAGTGCATGCGATAGCTTTGTGATTATTGCCCAAACAAGACCAGCATCATTGTACTGTTTGTTATCTCTGGTCGTGCACGAGGCTCCGTAAAAATTTGTTTTATTAACCTGTTGCCAGTTACGATTATTTTGACACGATATCTCACTTCGTTTGTGATTCCTTCTTGGATTTAAACAATTCATTTAATGTCTGCTACTCATTAAAACGTGGGAGAAGGGTTTTATTATCTTGGTAATGGCTTTTAATTATTTTTTTATCACGTTTTATTGCACTTTCTTGGTTTCTCCACACTTTTATCTGCTCTTTGATCGGAGTTTGCGGCTATTCTGTGGGCATGGAACATTGACCATTCCGTTTTACTGTCTTTGTAGAGTAAATATCGTTGATAATTTATTCTATTCTTCCTAATGATTTAATTTTTTAGAGTACCATCAGTAATGGAATAAAAGTCTTTTTTTAAAAGAGACTCTATCAATTGGGAATAATCAATTTTTGAGACTCAAATAATTATTAATTCATTCCCAGGGCTTTTCAATCAATGTTGAAAAATAAGAGAAAAAGATAAATTATTGAAAATCCAATTCCACTATTTTCATTATAGTAAACGATTCATTCTTATATTTCCATAATTCATGAATATTTATCGCACATTAATATGAAGATAATAATAAAAATGCTTACGATATCCCCTCCCTTCAAAATAATTAGCTTTAATAACTTCATTAATTGTCAGTTGAGGTAATTTTCCGTAATTTTCCGTAATTTTCTTCAATGCATTATAATTTCTCTTCAGTGAAAAAGTATTCATGATTCCACTCAATGAACATTTCTACAGAATAAAATAAATATAAAATATTCCGTTACAGACTAATCTAAAATAGTCGAGAACTCTCTAGTTTTCAGCGATTCACGAATATTTATCAAATGCCAGTAGAAATAGAATAAAAATATCTAACGATGTTTAAACCACTTTCATCCAAAAATTCAACCATTCGATACCATTACATAATTATTTCATAGTAATTAAACAGTTAGCTGAAAATGACCATTAAATAATGCATGAATTTATAATAAATTGAAGTACTGTTTATTGAATCGCTTAAACCGAGCCCAGAATTTTTCTCGATTCGAAAGGATGTGGGAATGAAGGACAAAATCAATCTCCGAAAATGAGAGGCGATTTTTTTCATCAATCTGCTCCCTTTCGAGATTGCTCGTGGTCAATAAATGCCGTACCGGGTGTGCTCTCGACCCTCCACTGACCTCGTGTTCGCATTATCCCATCCCTTGCCCTCCTCCACTCATTCCTCCATTTCATTTTGCCATTCACCCAGAGGGGAATCCCTTTGTCGTTGGATCGCTTCAAAGTAACGGTATGGAATATGTTCACTCACGGGGATAAATTAATTTTTTGACCATATATTTCCCCCTCATTTTACCCCTCCATTCCAATTCCCCTCCAATCACTGTTAATTAAAACGCCGAGGAGGCCTCGAAATAAACCGCTCACCTGAAGGTGAAACACAGGACAAAGGCTAATTGAGGCTGAGGTCTTGTGTTTGATGCAGCTCGTTGCACTCAAAGTTATTTGGTGTAGCTATCACTATATTGGTTAGATCGATTGATTCGGGGACAATTTCATTACTGCGGGGGAGATATTTTTCAAGTGTTTGGAAATTGTTTTCGGCCGAATGGCAATTAGGGGAGGTCATTTTGTTACTCAATTTTCCAACTGTTTTGTTGAGCACTCGGTTCTAAATCGATGCTTTTCAAACATTTTCAACGATCGCGGTGATTTTAATTATCTAGTCTTCGCCAGGTTCCTCCAGTTTAATTCTCCATGCTCATTACTATTTTGCATAGTCAGGATCCGGTTAATGAAGGTTTAATTAAGATTTCGAAATACCCGTGATCGGGTGAGGGGAGAGATGACGAGTTGATTTAGATAATGTACCATTTTTCAAGGAATTTCTCTGAGACTGAGGGAGATACCGGAATTTTTGTAGAGACCTTTTCTCTGGTACTCATCCCTCTCTACAAAAGAGGTTCTTACACAAATTTCGATTATTCTCTTAGATTTGCAGATAATTTCCGAGAACTCTATTAAGAAGCTTTTTGTTGTACTTTGTGGTTTTTAAAAAAATTAATTACATTCAATTTTCATTCAATTTTGACGTGAGATGTTATTAATTGAGAAATTAATTTGTTTTATTTGAGAAATAATTTGTTATTTGCACAAAGTTTATTTATTCAGCGGTAATTTGATGGCAGTTATAAAACCATCGACAATACTATTCCAAAATTTAACTGTACTCACTATTCTCTCAACTCTTCCTTCTTTCCCACAAATTCTTGGATTCATGAAAAAAAATCTGTACGTGAAACCGTCTGCAGCCCCGTTCACTCCAAATGGACAACACATGGCTCTCATCTCTTCAGGAATGAACATAAGAGCCAAATTTTCCCCTCCGAATTCAAAATCCCCAATGAAAATTCTTCATCCGAAATTCCGTCTCGTATCGCTGGATAGATAAGAAATGGTAATGCAACTACTGAGCAAAATTCCCGTATGTAAATTAAACGCGAGTGAAATTCTCAACCTTTCATCCCACTGGAGATTATCCCCCGTCTTCAATGGCGCATTATATTTGAAATTCAATTTGTCGCATAATAAATTCATGAAGTGACGAAGTTGAAGCTTGAAGCTTCATTTCTTTTTTCTCCGAGCGACCCAATTTTTTTTTAACATCTTGTCGCACAGCCTCTCCTTGGAATAACGTTGGAATATTTTAAAACTACCAATTGTTTGACTATTCAAAACAAATGGCACTTCATTTCGAGTCATGTAAAAGAGGTATTCCATTTCAAATTAACCAGTCATTGACCCTCACCTTTGCAGAAATTAACGGTCATTTTTAATTGCCTTTTTTTATTGGTAATAACTTCCGTTCTGGTCAGCTCATTTTCATAAGTAAAAAAAGGTAATCATGTCAATCATATTTTTCATGGTCCTTTGGAATATATACCTTTAATGTCTTTCCGAAGACCGAATTTACGAATGCTCTAAATAGTGATACTTTACGGAAATTATCGAATGATAAGAATTTTACTGGATTTATCAAATGCAATTTTTCCAAACCAAATTCACCGAGTTTTATCTCTGACAAGAATTTTTTGAAATTTACGGAATTTATGGAATGCCTCGCAAATAATTGTTGAATATTTTCTTAAATTGCAGACATAAGGTACGGCTATTTGGTTGATCAGCAGCCAATAGGACGGCTATTATTTCGTCAATTCTGCCAGGACCGCAAGCCATCGTACCACCGTTACAATTTATTCCTCGATGCCATTGAAAAATATGAGATTGAGCTCGACGAAAATCGTACCGAACTCGCAAAAGTGCTGTTTGATCAGTACCTGAAGAGTGAGGGATCGGAGGTTGTCGACATTCTCAATGACTCAGTGATATCACAGTGTGAGGAACGTCTCGGTACTGGTGGCAAAGAGTTATTCACCGAGGTCCAGCAGACTGTTAAAAATTTCCTAGCTGGTGAACCATTCTCCCAGTTTCTCACGAGTTTCTACTTCTACAGGTATTTAATCAACCCCTCTTGATAAGAATTTACACCAATATCAGGATCTCTCGGGGAAATTCATTAAGTCTCGGTACATTCATTCCATATTCATTGGCTTCCGTAGGAAAAATCTCATTAATTTTCCGATCGTCGGGGATAAAACTTTTCGTCTGGGGTTTCTTTTTTTTTTTTATTATGACCGAGTAACGAGTGGAAATAAAGTTTGAATAATTGGTATTGAAGCTGCCAGTTGATGTCAATAGCAGATTCTGCTGGGATTGAGGACGAGTGCAAATGATTGTGGGTCAACTCTTTGATGAATGGATTTCATAATATTCAGACTTGCTCATAATTTCCTCTCCATTTTCGCAATAGTTTGACGTTATCATTATTTTCAATTACTCTAATCCAAGATATCAACGATAACAAAATATCTCGAGCAAAATTTATTCATCATGAATAATAAATGAATAATTAATTACAATTACGAAAATCGGAAAAAAAGCAATATTCCATTCAATGATGTAAAATTCTCAAGCAATCCAAAAATTAAGTTGCAATTCGCAAATAACTTTTCTCCAACAAGAACTGAATTAATCCCAACAGTCCCATGAATTCCATCGAGCAATTACAACCCCTATTTCCACCAGGATAAAAGTCCTAGTAACGATAAATTGAGGAAGCAACAAAGTTGTAAAGCTGTACAAATAGCCCCGACCTTTTATTATTTTCCTGAACATTCTGAAAGTAGTTCTACGAATGACAAAAAGACACCCCCAACAAGCTAAGAGTCATGAACGTACAGGATTGAATAGGAGATGTAGAAGTTTCTCCAGTTGTAATCTATGATAGGGTGCCTCGGAGGAGTCTAGTGATAAATGTTATAACTGAGTAAGAAAAGATCAATGGTTCTCGGTCAAGCTTTCGTCGAGTGGGTGGTACAGACAGTACAGTGGAAACTACTGAGAGTCAGAGTCAAGTAATTCTTTCTCTCCCTCGTGGAATGGTACGAGAAAAGAATCTGGACTGAGGCCAAGCCAGTTTTACTCCCTGCTTTGTTATCCAAAGTATAAGCCAAAAGTCATTTTAATTTTCATCCTTCTACTTTGTTTTTCACTCGAGACTTGAGGAAAAGGACATTACCATAATTCACTAACTTTTCATTTCATCTGCCTACAGTTGGGTTCATTATTTTACCGCCATATTGATACTTACGAATGAGTTTAATCGCCATTTTTCAGGTTTTAATTATATGCTCGTCAGGGCATGCGTCCTCGTGTTAATTCTTCATGCTCATCACTATTTTACATATTCACGAATGAGAAATGGGATTTTAATTGATATTTCACGTTTGAAATCGCGGGGAATTATTAAAATGTTCAAATGGATCAGGAGTGCTGTTTTAATTCGTCGTCCTACTTCTTCATGTTCAATTGTTCTGTATTCTTCGTGAATGTGTTTCATTATTCTCTGTTATAGCTGTTGAATAAATGAAAATAACAAGAAAACTTGGGGAGAGTCATTATCATAATTCAAAGCAGTCATAGGCGACTTAAGATTTTCAAAATTGTCAGTATTTGGAGTTAGAAGTGGGATTAATTTTGAAATAAGCTTTAGTATTTGGAAAGCATTTCTTAGTCACTTCTAAAGTTATAACTTCTTCGAATTTCGTGAACAAAACGTTAATAGGATTATTCATAATTCCAGTAGATGACTTAAATAGTTCTAAGTACTACATCCCTTGACGAATTACAACTTAATGAAGGACTTATTGCTCAGGGCATCTATATTTTATGTACTACTCAAGGATTTAAGGAGTTATTGTCTTATTGTTTTTCGTGTTTTCTTTGTAAATTTCTGGGAAAAATAGATTTTAAATTTCATCATTATGTAATGACTCACTATTTTTCGTAGTCGTGGGCGTTTATTTTTGGAAATTCTTGGGGAAGTCTTGTGAATTTTCTCAAAAGTTTATTGTTTACGTAGGGGAATTCTGTCACGATGATGAAACTACGTGAGGCATTGAATAATAATAAAACTTAAAGACTGTATATATTATTTCACGCCAGTTTTATTCACGGTTTCTTAGAAATTTGTGAGAACGATTCGGAAAATGAGAAGATAAACGGATTTAATCGACCTTTTGCACACCTCCAAGACTATCTTATATTTTGTTAAATAAAAATATTTTGTTTTAAGGTACCTACAATGGAAATGGCTAGAAGCCCAGCCAGTGACGTACAAGACCTTCAGGATGTATCGTGTCCTTGGAAAAGGCGGTTTCGGCGAGGTGTGTGCCTGTCAAGTGCGGGCAACGGGTAAAATGTATGCCTGCAAGAAACTCGAGAAAAAACGAATAAAGAAGAGAAAGGGCGAGGCCATGGTGCTGATAGAAAAAAATATACTCCAGAAGATAAATTCAAAATTCGTTGTTTCCCTGGCTTACGCGTACGAGACAAAGGATGCACTGTGTTTAGTATTGACGATAATGAACGGTGGTGATTTGAAATTTCATATTTACAATATGGGGGGTGAGCCGGGCTTTGATATTAATCGTGCAAGATTTTATGCCGCTGAGGTTGTATGTGGACTTGAGCATTTACATCAGCAGGGAATTGTTTATCGTGATTGCAAGCCGGAGAATATTTTACTGGATGATCATGGTCATGTGAGAATATCGGATTTGGGTCTTGCTGTGGAAATACTCGAGGGTGATATGGTTAGGGGAAGAGTTGGTACTGTTGGCTACATGGCACCAGAAGTTATTGATAATGAGAAGTACACTTTTTCACCTGACTGGTTCAGCTTTGGTTGCTTACTCTATGAGATGATCGAGGGACAGGCGCCCTTTCGCGCTAGGAAGGAGAAGGTCAAGAGGGAGGAGGTCGATAGACGAGTTAAGGAGGATCAGGAGAAGTACTCGGCTAAGTTCAGTGAAGAGGCCAAGACTCTGTGCCAACAGTTACTTAAGAAAAATCCGAAACATCGATTGGGATGCAAGTGCGGTAGGCATGGGGCTAAGGAGGTGAAACTGCAGAGCTTCTTTCAGTGTTTGAATTGGAAGAGGGTGGAGGCCGGTATGTGGGAACCACCGTTTGTACCGGATGTGAGTAGGTGTCCTTTTAATATTCTTGGGGTTTCTTTCGTGGGGTGGTATTGCTTTTGTTGGGCTTTGCGGATTTACATGACAACGCCTACGTCTTGGCTACTTCATTACTCGTGATTCATTCGTTTTAATTAATTAATTCTCATTTCGAAGGATTAATCACTAGGTATTAGTGATGGTTTTTTCTTTTCAATTATATAAGAGATCAGAAGGAATCGAAAGGGATTATTGAACCCCTCTTCAAAGTCTATTACATTTTGTTGATCTTCATTACGAATATTTTCATTTTTAGTTTCGAAATATTTCTTTAAAGCATTCCATGCCTTTTTTCTCAATTTTGTGTTGCATTGCTAAAAAAAATGTGAATTATTACTCAGAATGGGAAAAGGACTGCAAATTGTTTAAGGAGTTATTGCCGATGATTTTTGACGTTTCCAGTTTTTTACTAATTGAAGTGTACCGCGGAAAAATATATCGTTTTTTGCGATATCGAAATACATGTAGGACTATGAAAATTTGTGAATCACTGAATAATGATAGAACCTAAAAAACTATATTTTTTCACACCAATCTGATTCATGGTTTACCTAAATTTACAAAAAAAAAGAAACAGTGAGAAAATATCGATGATATGAGTTTTGAATTTGAAATCTTTTTTTGGTCTTTGCAGCCTCACGCTGTTTACGCTAAGGACGTCCTGGATATTGAACAATTCTCCACCGTCAAAGGTGTGAATCTCGATGCCAGTGATGACACTTTCTACAGTAAATTCAATACCGGGAGTGTCTCGATTCCTTGGCAGACTGAGGTGAGTAGAAAGTTGGCGGAATTTTTGGAAGATGAGGCGTGGGTTTGGTCTCGAGAGGGCGATTACCGAATTTCTATTGATAGCAAAATGACGGGGATTTCTCTAATGGCATTCGAGTGGTGGATTAAAGTTCATGGGTTAACTCTCTCTTAGTTTCGATTGGATCATGGAGTTTTGATGGGCTCTGAAGGAATGTTTATTCGGTTTTAGATGATTGAAACGGAGTGCTTCAAGGAGCTCAATTTCCTGGGACCCAACAGCACACCGACACCTGATTTATTGGTGAATTATCCGCCGGTTAATAATGAGAGTCGAGGCTGTTTTCCTTTTAGAAGAAAGGTAAGGGGAATGTTGATTTAAGGTTGAGCCGTGCAATATTTACCTTTCGAAGAAATACTTCTGTATTCCCGAGAAATTTTGAAATTTTCGTATAAACCCTGTTTATCATTATTTTTTTATTGTTCTCCATTTTGCAAAAGTGATCGAGAGAAAAGTTTCGCTATTTTGATTTCAATAGTAATTATTAAATATTTTCTTAACAATTATTATATTTATTATTTGCAACAAGTCTCAGAAGCCTCAGAAAACTAAAAATTTCCAATCACTTCATCAATCATTCTCGACATGTAGTCTTAAATTGTTTAACGATTTCTAACGATTTAAGATCGGAAATGAAAATCAGAGCTTTGTAAGATTCAATAATGATATTATTGCAAAGAATACGAGAACCCCAGGTGAGGGTGAAATAAAAATTCTGATGTCTTTACATGCAATTTTTATATTGGAATTCATAAAAGTGCAGAAAATATTTTCAAATAAAAATTCTAGTGGAAATAATATTTCTGATTGGTTCGAATAAAATTCATCGTGATTTTAAGTAATATTTCTAGAGAGTTATGTAAAAATCTCATGAAATCCGAAGAAAATGCAGGTTGTTGGCCAATAAAGTTTTCAGTGCCAGAACTAAAATTTTTTTTCTGGTGACATTTGTCTATTTTTTCTCGAGCTAGGAGATTTTATAGAGTTTTTTGTTCATAAATTTCTCAGCACGTGCCCTCGGGCAATTCGTTCGTCGCGATAAATCCCATCACGGAAAAAAATGCTGAATAAAAATATTATTTTTCAGAAGCAAAGCGCAAGAACACGTGAAATTCCATTATCCGAGTGTCATCTGCTTGAACTGTCACAGAGCCAAAGTTCCGAGATGCCGGCCAGCTGATCCAGGATTAATTCGGGAAATCCGAGTACACCGACTAAACGGTCGGACGGTCCCTCGAGATGCTGCATCTGAGTTGAGAATTCAATTAAACAAGAGGAGCATGTCAAGAGAAAAAATGGCGAATTGAGCAAGCCGAATGGCTGAACAGGACGGAAATAAGAATGCATTGAATTGAATGGAAAACGTAACGGAAAAAAAATTAATAAAAAATGGTGTCTCGATGGACAAAAGACATCGGTCGACGTCCTGTGACGGTACACCGAGAAAAATGCAAGTGAATCCCTCGGTTGTTACGTAAGCACATTCTTGGGACGCACACTATTATTAAAAATACACACAGATGGTTCAAATGAATGATGCACACGAACATTGAAAAAAAAAAAATGATAATACACAACCGAATATGGGAGACGAACGTTCCAGCCATTTGACGCACGTACAAATACAACTCAACGCACTCATCTCAATACAATATCTTTCTCTCAGCTCTTTATTATTTTTTTCTTTCAATTTCAACTCAATACGTCGTTGAAGATCTGGAAAACTCGTTGAAGCATTTAATTTATCGTGTCATTAATTTTTATCTTCATTCTCATGATGGAAACAAAGTGAGTTTAATGTGCATTACGAATCTCTTGTCCCTGATCTGTTGGGGAAAAATCGTGTGGTCTGATGAATCAAAGGTCTGAACAAAATAATAACTTAATAGTAGTCATTTGCAATTTTTTCATTAGATTATAGGTAAAATAACGTCGAACAATAGACGTTTCATGTGGAGTCAATAATGTTTAAAAACACTGGGCAATTCTAATTAATTTTTACTCTACTCTATTATCGTTTTGTAGAGGTGGCTTTCCGATTTATATTTATTGAATATAGGTGATAACAGCGACGAGTACTTCATTGAACAGCAATGATGATTAACTCGGTGGTCGATTCAGTGTTTTTACGTTTTAAATGCTGGGAAAATTGAGGAAGAATAATGATAAAATGCCAAACGTGCTGATGTGATCGTGCTCAACAAGTGGAATTGAGGGCACGTGTCATTAACACATGTCAGATCTCGTTTTTTTTTTTCTTTAATTACTGGAATTGCCGGGGGGTGGAACAATCAAGCTTAGGTATCGGTGCATAACAAGAAATCGATGACAGAAAACTGATGGGAAGAAATAGTTGATTAAAAAATTTAGTGCAATTTGTTTCATTCATTCGTTTCATCCTTTCTTTTTTTTTCTACTTTCGTCCATTATTTTTCAATTGCGGACTTGACAACGAATAGTTTGTTGGTAGATTAGTTTCGCAAGCGTCACGAGGAGCAAAATAAAAAGCATAACTTGCTGTCGTGGAACGAATGAGATTTCGTTATATTTTAGATTTTTTTACACGAGGGACATCCGGTTTAATTTGTAAATTTGTATCTCGTAAGTATTTCTCACGAGAGGTAGACGAAAAACTTTTATCATTCCAGAAATCATTATTTTCACACTTCATTTATCCATTTCTGGCTGTCGTATTTACGTGTCTTGTCGACGTATGACTGGTCCCGCGAATAATTTTCGCAAATTATAATGAATTGTTTTCCATCCTTCTTTTTCTATTATTCAATACTTTCGATAAATTAAGTACAATGTTGGTGTAAGCCGTTAGATGTGTAAAATAATACTTATTTATATATTATACATAACTAGGTGATAACTATGATGGGAATGAGACAAAGTAGTCGTAAGAGGAGAGAAAACTCATGATGACGGTATAATGTGACAACTCTTATAGCCGTCCTAGATATTCAACAAATTTTACGTTATCTATTCATCCTCGCGTACGTTATTGATTGATAAAACATCATTTCTTATTTGTAAATACGAGAAATCATTGACGTGATTGATTTGATGGCATTTTTCACCGGTTTTGGAGGAGTGGTATTATCCTGAGGATGTGGGTGAAGTGGATATGAGTTGCGGTGACGTTAATTTTTTTTTTATTTCATTGATAGAATTTTTCATATTACGAGACAGGAGGTCTAGGAAAAATTGAATTGCTGTCATTTCACTAGCCAATAAAATGAGTTTTCAAACCGATGGATTAAACACAACAAATAGCTTTACCACAATTTTTTGCCATTTTTATTTAAATAATAGAGAGAATAACGTCAGAAATTTAATGTTTTACGGGGAGTTTATGAAATGCTAATGAAATAATACTCATTACACCAATGAATTCAAATTGTGTTTCGCGTGAAAAGAATTGACTTCAGGAAGAAATCAAAAGTCATGTGCAAAGAGAAGAAAATTCTAGTGCAGGGGATTCCATAATCGAGAATTCAGTAGCGAAGAGGTAAAATGGTTGAACCAGTTTTGACTGTTGACCAGTTTACAATAAATATCTTATGATCTAAAGTAGATAGTGAACATTTCGTAAAGATCGTTTTGGTAGGTCTTAATTCGATCTATCGGATTTCGAGATTTGGAAATATTCGCTACTGAATTCTCCACGAAAAAATACAAAACGGCCTCTAATGCTTCAGATATTTTCCGTTTTAATGAAAAAGTCATTAGAAATTTGATCGAACTCAATCATACCCTTGATAGTCTCTCCATCGAATTAATTGTAACGCCTAACGGATTTTTCGCAGGCCTATTGAAATTATCAATTTTCATTGAATTCGATGAGCACAAGTTGGAAATTCAAAGCCAGCCAACGGCTTATGCTGATAATTCGCCGAATAAGAGCCGAATTTTCACAGTGACTGACGTTACCCCACACAATTTTCTCCTACATCAAGACACTAGTCATCAAAATACATGAAACGAATGCATGAACGTCACTAGGAATTGATGAAAATTCCGGCAATCAATGATAAGTGAATAAAACAAATTACGTAGCACAATGATAATTTTACTTTGTTCATCGCGTCTCGACGAAGCCAAATAACAGTTCTTTTATAATCTTCTATGTTGTACGAGAGAAATGATAAATCACGTGGACAAAGTTATAAATATATAAATACGTAAATCATAAAGACACAATTGTTTAATTTTTTTTTTAAGTTATTCAGCGGATATTATAGATGTTATGTATTTATAGCTTCGAATTTATACATACCAATTATAGATTAAAATCGTATAACCGTACATGTTGTTATTTTTTGTGTACCTAAGTATCGATAAATCCACCCAATCGTAAATATGAGTGAGTGTCGTAAAAATCAGGAGAACATCAGAGGAAAAATCGATTTATTTCATAAATATAATATTGATGTAATTTCAACAATGATCTCAAGTTCAGGTAATTACGAGTTGAATTTTCATGGCCCACAGCAATCGATCGTTGGAATATTCTTAAGATCTCTCGAATATGGAAGACTGCGGTTGTGTCTTCGTGTTTTTTTTTATATATCATTGAAAACACTAATTTTACTTGTTGACATCAAATGTCCTATGAATTTTCCCGCCTTCCTGGAGGTATCAATAAACTCCTCATACTTCTCAGAAGCAATTCCAATGAAATTCACTGGCCTTCGGTTCTCCACGTCTCAACGACCGAAAGGCAACTCAGACAATGAGGTAGTGATTATACTCCTCATCGCGTATTTACATGACTTTTAAACATGTATAATATAATTATATTGTCACAGTATATATTTTTTTTTTCAAAATTCTTCATTGCTCTTAATAGTTAACGTCCAATAATTTTGGTAACATCAACGTTTTATTTCCTCCGTTCAGATCCTAAGCTATCAAATTCAGCTTTACCCAAATCATTACAAGCGAAAATATAAATGCAAGATTCTAGTACACGCGTCATCAAGTATACTTTAATAAATTCAGTAACGAAGTTGTGAAAGGAGATAACTTAACTCTTCTGTGAGTTTTTTGAAAATATCTCCGGAGCTAAGGGAGATGATGAAATTTTTCATCAAACCTTTTCTGTAGAGCGAATTGAGTTGCGAAGAAAAAGTTATTACGAAAATTTCGCTATCTCCCTCGGGTTGGGAGATATTCAAGAAAAATCGGAGAGCTAAATTAATTTGTCTTCTTTTATTACTTAGCGACTGAAATTATTTGCGAGCGTAATAAAAAAATTAACATACAAAAATGCCTGTTGGATCTAAGTGCGACTTTATTAGTTTGTGGTTTCATTCTTCTCTAGATGTGGTCTTTTCAATTAATCAGTCGATGCTTTATTGTCTCGTTGCGTGCGCTAATGCGGTTAATGAGTGATGCATACGGTTTCAATTAATCAGTTACTTAAGAAATCTTTACAAAATTTGCATGATCGACTCATTCAAAAGAATACCCTGTATAAACTCTAAGCAATTGTTGGGGTTTTGCTTGAGTTTTTTCATTCAAATTATAAAGAAAAATTTTAAAAATTATGCCAGATATTCGTTTACCTGCGAGAGATATATATTTTTTTAAATCCGTATTTGTTCAATCGAGTCACAGGCGATCCTAATTAGGTTTCAATTATGATAATCATGGGGCTCTAGAGGAAAATTTTGTTGGATTTTACCTTGGATGAATTCCAAGGATTATTCGTTTTTTATAAATGAGTATTTTCTTGAGAGAAGAATGTCGATTCATTTTTTAATGTTAATAATTATTGAGAGAGTTCAGTCAAGGTTATAACTGACAGGATCACCTTCTAAAGAAATATAATTGTTACAATTGAAACCCAATGGGGATTCCGTGGAAATGGCGCGAATGGAAAAATACGGTATCGAAAGGATAAATACTTTTCAAGTAAATGACTGTTTGCAGAATCAACCACAAAAAGGCCTTCAACGTTTCCACGTGAAATTAATAGTTTTCGAGATAAATATCTCATTGAAAATTTTTAATGAGAATTACCCTTTTTTATCAAATCTACGGATTCCGCAATTTTTTTCCTCATTTAATTTATTCAAAAAATGAGTTTTTTTATTTTAAAACGATCGAAATAAATCTACAAATCATAATCTCCAGATGGGAAACACTTGTCGATTTTTAAAAAAGTTTAAAACTTTGAAAAGAAATTGATGTTACGGGTATAGTCTAAATTAAGATTAAAAAATAAATGAAATAAAAAAATGTTCATGCTTGAGAGGTTTAAACGAGCTATCAATTGAATGATAAAATAATATTTAAACAACCGACATGAGGAGAAAAAAAAATACCAGTAATCGATGTCACGAGAATGCGAAAGCTCGCAAAACCCCAATTGGAAAATTCTCGAATTAGACCTACGGATATGTGGTGATGTGTGAATTTCCATTCTAAAATTACTAAAATACCTTAAGTGGAAATTAATGAGACTAAATCATGAAATAATGACTTGATATTTCTGGCAGTTGCGTTTACAATTTTGTAACTCCTCGTTGGATATTTATTGTTGGACGGCGGTGGAATGATCGAGTGAACCCATCGTTTCCCTAAATGAGAATGTCCCAATAGTATAGAATTAAATAATGATGAATGAGACTGGCACGTCCTCCGTCAATCAATGGCTGCCTCTTGCTGTCGGACGGCCACGATTTTTCACGTTCTCGATATTTATCAATGATAAATAAAAAAATATAGTATTTCACAGCTCTCGAGTCACTACATCAATATCCGCCGTCCAGTATAGGTCCGGTAATGAGTTTTAATGATTTTTCTTGTTCTTCCTTAGGCCGTTTACACCTGAGCGGGTTTCGCCTTACCGACTACTACCATGAGCTTTTGCAACAACCTCGTGGTTTTTACTGGAACAGACAAAAATCATCATCAGTATATCCCCCAACTAGTCCTTCAAATTTATGATCAATCGATAAATCAATTACTTCAAGTGCGATATGGGGACCAGTGTGTTTGTGTGCTGTGAATGCTGTGTATGATTTCTCATGCATAAAACAAAGTTGAAACGAACTTTTCTGGTATCTAATCGTCAACTTTTCAGGAGAAAGTTACTCGTGGGGTTTTAATCTAGTTAGAAACTGCCAGATTTTCCCTGTTGTGAAATGGTAACGTAAAGCACAAGTCAATTCTATTTCTTCTTCAAGAAATATCTAAAAAAATTTCATTCTTGACTGAAGAAAAATAATTGAACTTTTGGGTATCTAATAAAAATAAAACTTGAAAGTCGTATATTTTTTCAAGTGTCATTTTGACTCGGATATTTACATGTTCATTAAAAATTCGAGCGCCTCCGCATTATTCTCTCAAAGAAATCGTATGAATTACTCTAATTGATTTCAATACTTTCTTAAAACGATCAGGAAGCTGTCCGAGATATGGGAATAAAAACTAGACAGACTTGTTCCCCCAGACCTCACCACTTCACCACAGAATGAATTATCATATCAAATTATCGCGTACAAAATTAATATAATAATCAACAAGCATGCGTGGTTGATGAATCGGTAAATAGTGTACTTTTATCATTAAACCTTAGTCTTTGGTCCAACGACAACCATTGTCTTCTGGATAATTTGAGTCACTGCGCCTGTTGAAATATCAAAAAACAAAAATTGGATGAAACTCAAAATAATAAAGCAAAACGGAATGCTAAAATATCTCCCCCCGAAAAAAAAACAATGCAACGAAATAAAACAGTGATTCAATGAAAAAATCTCTCAGTTATAAGAAAAAAATCTCAATTACATTGTAGATACCATATGATACCATATGATAGAAAAATGGAGAAAAGTACGATTGATCCATAGAAAATAAAAAATAATAACGATTGTTATTAATCTTACCGACGCCCTTGACGAAGAATTTTGGTTTATTTTTCCACGCAATGAAGGCAAAGTAAACTGGAACAGCGGAGAATATCATGAGACAGCCATATCCAGTTTCAACAGGACTCGCATACATCGGCACGAGTGTAACAAAAAGTGTCGCAAGGATATAGAATATCGGGAATGCAAGATTGACCTTGATTGGTCTGGGAAGATTTGGCTGTGCCCATCTCAGCCAGGGTACACACAGCACAGACACACCTATACTCAGCTGCAATAAAAAAAAAAATTAATGACTCTCATAGAAAAATCGTGTGGGTGTGAATTATGAAATTATCCCAGTTATTCATCTCAGCTTTTCCTCAACAGTAATTTGAGTGAGACACGCCTTGAACTCACCCAGGTAGCGAACCCGACGTAATTTATGAGAGCATTTATGTCCGAGGAAGTCAGATAGAGCATCGACAGGAGTGCCTGAAAATAAATAAAGAGGATCAAATGAGTTTCAAGTGCATCTCCAGTAGATTTTACGGGTTTCAATGATTCAGTGGGTACCATGCAGAGAACAGCTGGTGCAGGAGTGAGCCTGGACACCTGAATCATGGTAAGTATCTCTGGCATTTGTCCCTCGCAAGCACCAGCGTAGAAAAGTCTGGACGATGTCAGTAGAATTCCATTGACAGCCCCAAAAGTCGAGAGCGCGACGAACACCGGAATCGTCCAAGCCATAAAGCCAAACAGACGATTTGCGAAGGTCTGTGCAAACATCAAATCCAAACATCAGGGACAATCCGATAAAAAAAAAGTCCTGCAAACAGGCCTCTCCTTTCTCAGGATAATTTATTAGTTAGATGATTTATTTAATTAGTGATAACTCACCACAGCGACTGCTTCGCTTGCTAATACGTCTTTAATGCTCAGAGTTGTGTAAAATGCGACGTTAGTCAGGACGTAAACGACTGTTACGAGGGTGCAGGATATGGCGATGGCCTTTGGCAAATTTCTATAAAAATAACAAAATTAACGTTTACTTTGGGTTTTTGTACTTTTGCGGAATAGATCGTAATTCATGGGTTGGCATTCTCATTACCTGACTGGGTCCTTGAGCTCTTCAATGATAAAATTGAGGTAATTCCAGCCGTTGTAGGCAAACAGACCCGAGTAGAAACTCAGAGCGATGGATGTCACTTCGGTATTTGTACCCTCGAATGTAAAGTGTTCAACTCGTCCTGCAAACAATTATCATTTTTTTAAATTTAGTTACTAACTCACTGAATATTCCACACGACTTCGTAACGAAAATTTCAAGAAATAGTGGAATAGCATGAAACGTTTTTTCTCCGTTTATTTCAATTGCAGATGCACCGAGAGAAAATTAAAAGACTTTACTGTGACGTCGATTAAAAATGGCTATTTTCTTAGTGAAAAATGCAAGACTGTCCGGAATTGTTAATAGCACGTATTTTTCTACACTATACGTGAATATCAAGGGAAAAAAATCCTTCAGAGTGAATCTACTTCAAGATTATTCATCGCCTCAGTCAATTTTGCAACAAATTTTTGGCATGAATGGAAGAGTAGATTCCACTCATCTTAAAGATCAAAGAGAGCATTAATTTCTTTTGTGCCCTTCCGAGTAAAAGACTTCAGTACATACTCTTCGTCATAATCAGTCTCAATGAAAGAGACGAAACCCCTGTCGATTAAAATAGTAAGATAATGGAAAGACGAATTGTTCTCACATGCAACAAAAAAGATGAGATAAACCCCTTAAATAGAATCAATTCAAGAAATTGTTCTCTATTTTATACGGGCGACGCATTAAAACATAATTTTTGATTGGCCAAATTGTCGCGTCCGGTAACAGGACACGAGACCTGAAAAGGAATTAAACACGTCAGACAAGTGACTTTTATTCTATGATTTCACGGTGAATGTGTGGGCGAAAACAGACATTTTCATTCTCATCCGCGACGTTCGAAATATTAGCGGTGAGATTAGCTCAAAGACACGTGACCTTGAACATTTTAGAGACCTGATCCAAGACCGGTATGTGCCATGTGTTGAATCCCTGAGAAAGGAAGAGATTCACATCCAAAATAACAAAAACTTCTTTAACATTTCAGCGGTCTTGAAACTCCACTTGAAACTCGAAAATTTCAACTTTAATCCTGAAATTCAATTTTTTAATTCACCTGGGACTTTTCCGATTTGACACAGGGAATTATCTTAACATTTTCATAAGTCCTAATTTGATATTTTAACAATTTAATTGTTGATTTGAAATGCAATAATCGCAAGCTGCAATTTGAATCCTAGAAATCTTCACCTGAGACATTTCAAAGTAATTATCTGAAACTTTTAAGATTTAATTCAAGATTTTTTGTTAATCCCTGTCTTATCAATGCTTGCTTAAAAAAACGTTAAGTCGTAAAGTCGTGTAATCAACGTCAAGTTCTGAAAGGCCAAAGTCAGTGCTTATCGGACGTTTAACTTAAGAAATTCGCAGTTCTGCAATTTGCACTTTTAAAGTCTTCGACAACAAGTCTGAACACACATTGATTCTTTCAACTGCAGTTTTTAAATCCGAGAAGATAAATTACCTCTGCTTAACTGATAACCCCCAGCAACAATGATGACGAAGAGGGCTAATAATTTAGCATAGGTGAAGACATCCTGGACCCTGGTAGCCCACTTGACATCCCAGCAGTTGACGAACGCCAACGTACCTGCATTAAAAAAAAATTTCTTTTAACTATAACGGTATTAAAAATCCCTGAAATCAATTTTTTATCAACTAATTGATAGTTGCAACAAAATTATGATATCGCCCTGTAACAAACATTGATAAAAATAAATAATTAAAAATTTTTTTTTCTTCAGTAGAAGAGTAAAAATTTTCTAAAACCTATAACTCATCCAGATCATTTCTTTTCGTCACTAAAAATTCAACTAGATCTTCATCTGTATCATTCATGATACAGGAGATAGTAAAAAATCGGGACCAAATGGGAGATATCGATTTGCTTCGATTGTCGATTCCGCGTGTAATTACCAAAATAGCGATTGAATTGTTATTGCACTTGCGTGACAATAATAAATTGATTGAATAAATATTCTTCAATTACTCATTTATAATGCAATTATGGGTAATTTCTCGCGGTAATTATTCTACGAAACTGAATCCCTGACACTAAATATGAAATAACTGAATATTCTATTATCTTCGATATTATTATTTAATTGAATTGACTTTTTAATGATTAATTAATTCCCGGGCGTACTGGGGTTCCAGAAAATTTGAATCTTTCACAATTTGCTAATCTAGTTCCTCTGCCTTTGCACAAAAGGACTCAGAGATAATTCGAAAGTTTACGTTTCAAGACAATACGTTGGAGTCTCGCGGAATTTCTGAGAGCCATTGCGTCAGGCATTCCTCGTTATTTTATTATTTCCTCGGTATTCGTTTTTTTCTTGGATTCTCTTTTCCGGATGATGATCATGTCAACGTACATATGCAGACGACGGCGAGGAGCCGGGCGGCGTCATCCGGTGGTGTACACTCAGGGAAGAACGGCTTCAGGACGTAAATGCTGAACGTCAAGGCTACTATTGCCTGACTGCAGGGTCTCACTATCATGCACTCCACCCAGAGTCTTATGAAGGCTGCAAAGGGACCGAATGTCTCCATTATGTACGCATAATCGGCTCCTGATTTTTTTATCATGCATCCCAACTCTGCGTAGCAGTAGGCGCCAACCTGTGGATAATCACCAGATATTCCATAAAATAATAAATAATAAATAAGTGGCGAGAATAATGTTGGATCTCGGAGTTTTTCCGGAGTTCAAAATTCACGCTTCTAGAATTTTTATATGTCCGGATTTAAGAAATATTTATTTCTTCGTTGTGTTTCTTTGTGGGACCGTTCATTTTTTAAACAAACGTTTCCACCATAGGAATCCTTTTTGTTTATTATCAAAAAAATTGGATTATGAATTTTCATGGAAATCCGTGGATTTAAAATTTGACTGGGGCTTAATTGAAATTTAATGGACCATGTGACCAATTAATGTAAAATCATGTAATTAATTTACCATGGAAAATATTCCTGATGCTGTCCAGACCATGAGTGCCACATTGACACTTCCTGTGTGCTTGAGGACCCCTGTAGGGCTGACAAAAATACCAGAACCGATAATCGATCCAACAATCACTGTAACTCCGTTTATAAGTGACATTTTTGCCTCCAGTTTGATTTCATCACCCCCATCAGCGTTTTCACTCGTTGCCACAGGGTCATACGGGCTCTTTTCTCCATCCTTTATGCTGCCGTTCCTCGACATGATGCCTTTAACCCAAATGCAATTCAAAATTCCGGAATTAAAATAAATTTCTTGAGAAGTTCTATCCTATCCTAAAAAGAAGAGCTTTCTTCGAAATTAATACAGAATGTTAATAATTATGCCATTGACTATGAATTTTCCTTCACTTTATCAGATGTCCCTTTTTTCAAAAATAACTGGTTTTTTTAGTTTTTTTGACAAATCGTTAATCGGATTGTGATAAAGTAGACCGTTATCATTATTTTATAATCGTGGCAATAATTTTGCAATAACTATGCAATAATTTTGCGATAGTTTTGCCGTGTTTTTTATGTTTTATGATATTTTGAAGAGTTTAGAAAAACGTAGGAAAATTATTACACAATCATGACATTTTGGGAGTCATTAAATAATTTATTATTTAATGTGAAAACGCAACATTTTCTCTCGTCAATTCGATCACCGACTTATGCGAAAACTCAGAGGAGAAACTACAATTTTTTCGTTTATTTTCCATTTTTCTCTGTGTGAAAGAAAAAATTCTTCCATATCCCCATCACTCATTCAATAATTAATGAATAATAATAAATAATGATATAATGATATAAGCTATAATCGTTAATGATTAGTCAAAGGCTATTACTAATTACACAGTGATATAATTTTATTCTAATTTGTTTGATGATTGATTTATTTATTGTTGATTGTTATTCCTCGTGAAAAATCGGGGGGAAATGATTTCTGACTATTGAAATGTGAATACCGTTTTTATTTTATTAATTGCAATGTTAAAAATCGAGTGCTAATTTCCTGCGTTCCGAGAGAAAAATGATTTCTTTAAAGTGATCTTGTTATTGCCGAACAAATGTATTTCGAAGAAGCATTCAAACTGGAATTTTATGTGGGGATTAACGGTATTTAATTGTTCCAAGTGTCTTCACCTTATGTTTACCCAGAAACAATTTTTTGACCTGTAAACTATAACGATCTTTGATGAAATGATGTTTTTTTTTGCCCACCAGGAAATGAACCATTTACTTTCCTTCTATCCCACCCATCGGCATTTCTATTTTCCTGTGAACATCCTATTCTCCATTCCCGGTATTCTAGAAGATCACCCGGAACAAATTACGATTTCACACGTACCGATTCTTCTGACCAATTCTTCAGACTTATTTCCACTTTTTCTTGAGGAAAAAAGTGGAATACAGAACTGGAATACGCGGTGGAAATGTCACGGAGCATCTTACGAAACTGGGAAAAAACAACGGAGGAAAAACTTATTGGAAAATAATGAACTAACATTTCGAAATGTTATAACTGTGTAAGAAGAATGTGAAATTCCTTCCTCGGTAGGAATTTTCCTTCATCAAAAGATTGTTTGTTATTTCATTCTATTTGGTTTTAATCCCGGATGCAATGTTGAGTCGCAGGAAATAAAGGAACAATAGTTATGGTTTTCCAATACTTCATCTCCATTCATTTCCCCGGAGTGGCTGTCCCTAAAGTAAAAAAATGTCATTGAGAACGCCCACATGTTCAATTTTGAGAAATAGATAAATAATAACTATGAAAAAATTCAAAATACTTTAATTGTCATTCATTTTTTAATTTTTTTCATCATGTAAAAATTTATACATTTTTATCAGTCAGTAATTAGAATTCAGAATATCCAAGAATTAATTGTGATTTTGTAAGAATAATTATGAAACGAGTTATTTAATTTATTTCATTAATGAATTTGATTATTTAAATTAAGTGATTATTTTTAAATGCTTTTTGGTGATTGAAGATCTTCGCAGAAGCCGAAACAATAAAAACATTAAATTGTTGTATAATATTAAAATTGCAAAAAGTTGAAATGGAAATTATTATAAACAGAGTGACGTCAGCGTTCACCTTATAAACTTTACGGATAGAAAAAGCAGAAACTAACGATTTGAAAACTAATAAAATTGATGGGATTGGATATTAAAATTTGAATGATGACCATAACTATGAGATCATTTGAATTGTGGGTAAATGCAATAAATCATAAAATGGCTGAAAGATTCTCTCGATCATTATTCACAGAATCGTCATTCAATTTCATTTTCTTTCAGAGCATTAAAATGATTTTTCTTCATTCTCAAAGATTTCTACACGCGTTCTACTGAAAAAAATCGTTTCTGCTTATGAAATTTAAATAAACAATTTCTTTTAAAAAATCTAGGACCAGTGTAGTAACATTTTCAGATATTTATTTATTTATATCATTTTTTCTACATAGATCTAATGAATCTAATTGATGTAAAAAATTTATTTCGGTAAGACCAAAATTTTTTACACTGCACTCCCGGGAAAAATTCTCGCATCTAGAAAATTTCGGCGGTCACAATCGTTTCAGTTAAAATAGTCACAATCCCTTTATACCTGACCCACGTTGCTCTACCTGAATTTGAGGAGAGGCCCTCACGTGAAAGCTTCCAAAAAATTTTCAAAAAAAGATACTCATGGCAGAATTCCTAAAATTACGGGTTTTATTCTATTTAAAATTTTTTTCCTCCATGCTGACACTTTCCAACCTTTTTCCCCAGATAGAATAAAAACATAATCTACAGTTTTGCAATTCGTTTCAAATGTTTATTATAAAAATTGGAGGAAAATGTTCGAAACGCGATGAAAATGAATTTTGTCGGGAAAGATGGAGAACATCATTCAGAGTATTTTTGAACAGATTACATGAATGCGAAAGAGAAATTGTTATCTCGATCGAAACTATTTATCGATTTATTTTGATCGGAAAAGACGCACCTCCGCGTCTAGGAGGTCAAATTACTTTTGAGATAACGAGAAAAAAACCGCGGGTATTATCATAGGTCATGGGGCTTCAGGGCTGTTGAGTCTTTCGCACTTGCATAATTCTCGCTTGCATTTCATTGTTACGAGATTAAAATTGGAATCCCCAGGGTTCGATCCATCGAAATTCGACTCCGGTTGAGAGGGCGTATGGTTTCCGAGGTGAAAATAAAAAACCAGAGGGTTGGTTCACCACATTCAGAGAAAAAACTACTTTCTACAAAGATGCTATTTCTCATTCAAGAAAATATTTTCTTGTCAATTTAAAAAATCGCGAAATCTCGGAATAAATCGATCATAGGGTTTTCGCACTGAGAAAAATTTTTTAAACGAAATTAAATCGAAAAATGAAAAAACTTTTTAATTTTCTGTTCATTAATTCATTAATAAATATTTTTCTCAGGACCTTGTTTACGTATCTCGGATAAAGAATATTATATTTACAAGATCAATGTTCTGTACACGGAAAATGATAATGAAAGTCTCCATCGTACAATCGAAACAAGTGCTTCACTCTTGGAGATGATGAACAATCAGATAACGAAAAAATAGATTCTCCCAATCAATTAATTGTTGAAGCTACCGCTAATGAATAACATTAAATAATTATATTTCCCGACAATAATTCCATCCGCTCTAAATAATTATTTATGCATTATTAATATATATTTATAAATAATTAACTGAATAAATTGAAACAAAAATTATTTTTTTAAGGCTTTCCCAGTATTTAAATTTATTAATATTGTCAATTATTATCGAATCTAACTAAAGATTGTAAAGATGAAAACATGGGAAGATTTATGGTGAGAATGAAAAAGTTTAAGATTTAAAGGGGAATTTATTGCTGTTGATAGACTTGTGTCCCTGTGATGGTATCCATATTAATTTTTATTTCCTGATTTTAACAATCTGGGGTTTTATCATTCTGATAATATCGCAAGGACTGGGTTTCCAGGTGCGATTGAGGGGTTGTTGCGTCATCCCTTATCGACCCACCACCGCAGTCCAATGCCTTCAATTTTCCATCCCCCTTTCACGTTCAGCGAAATCCAGTGCTTTACTTTAAACATCACTGCTCCCTTGTTATTGTAAACATGTGTACTGTTTTATAAATTAATTAACGTACGATTTGTGTACAATATCGTGATGTTTAAACAACCCTTATAAGACAACTTGTTGTTGTCAAGATAAATTTCAATAGTTTCAATAATTTCAATAATTTCAATAATTTCAATAATTTCAATAATTTTTCTCTTAAATTTCCTTCGAACGAATTAAATGTAATTAATTGATTCATTATTTCAGGATTATTTTATTTATTATTCTATTCTTTTTATTCATTTGAATTTTGAATTTAAGAAAAATGATTGGAATTATTAAAAGTTAAATCTTCTTCTAGAGTATTTAAAAAATTAAGAAATATCTTGCAATCTGCAAGAGATGATAAATCAACTTTCATAACGGATTATCAGAAATATTTTTATATTCGGAATAAATTGGGAAATATTCAGAGAAGGGAAGACTCAGGGTTTATAAATGGATATGCGATTTAAAGAGAAAACTCGTCATTTGAAAATTTCAATTTTCCAATCATTTTATTGATTTTCCATGAAATGCGGATTTTTTACTAGCTCTACAATTTTTTACGATATGTCATAACAGTGTAACAAAAAATTTTAGTTAATTAAAATGATTGAAAATTTCCTAGACATTTTATTAATGATTGGATTCATGATTTTATTATTATTGTTATTGTAGCTGTTAATCGAATTGGTAAAATTATAAGAAGTGATAATTTATTGATATTCTTGTAAGATTTCAAGATGAAAAATTATTTCTAGGAACTTTTGGTCCCTTTTAGCCTCAATTCACAATTTTTCGAGTTATCCGACAAATTTTTGATCGGATTAACGCGAAAAAAAAAACATTTTGGATTTTTATAATTATTTAATGACCCCCAAGAAATTACGATTGCGCAATAACTTTCCAGTTTTTTTCTAAACTTTTCGGAAATTCATAGAGCGTAAGTCCTGAAATAATGATAAAATGTATATGTATATTTTTTGGGGTCAACCCGATAAACAATTTGTAATAATAATGTAATAAACCAAAAAAACCGGTAATTTTGTATGCAGGTTGAATATCTGTAAGCCATCGAGAATACAGAAGCAGATAAAATTTTCAACAAGTCAAGAAACTATCGAACGATTTTCCCTCCCTCTCCCAAAGGGTTAACGATGCATGCGAACCCACCCCCACGACAATCGAGCGCCCCTATTTTTCCGCCGAAAATTTGCACAATCACTTGATCGCAAAACCCTCAACACCGTTTGGGTGTTGAATTTTCGGGTCACCCTCTCTGTGATCATGCAATAATCACTGACTCTGCGAAAATAAAAAAATCAACCCCTGGAGGTGCGCACGAGGAATGGACGCGCGTGTGACGCCAACGGGAAAATCAATAGCACCACGTGGGTCGAAACCGTAATTTCCCGAAAATGTTCAACAATCAGAAGACAAACTCTAAATAATAATCATCGATTTTCTAAATTTAATCCAACAAGAATGAAGGACGGGACAAAATTAAACTACTCCACTTAAAATAAAATTCAAATTTCTACCCACACGAAACGATTGAAAACCCCAATCATCCCCTAAAAATCTAAAAAAAAAATTAAAAATCAGTCCACCAATCTCAAATAAATGTAATCATGCCAACGATAATCTAGAGTGTCCGTTTTACCCCACATTAAAAAATGCCGAGTGCTATCTAACCAAATGTTGTCCGTAAAAATAAAATAAAAAACCGAAGAAAAAAGATGAATGAAAAAAAGGGGTTAATATTAAAAAATTCGTAATGGCATTATTGCCCCTGGGAATTTAATTATCCACTCACAAAAATGCATAGTTCGCGTAAATCCGTGGAAAATATGAAAAACTATTTCATTTCGATTTTTTATAAATAAAATAATGTGGAATTCTCACATTATTCATATTTTTGCAATATTGTCAAAGAAGAGTACCATAAAGAGAAAACTGGAAAAAAATCATCTAGGCTTAAGATATAGTGCCGCTTGTGAAAGAGTCGTCTCTTCCCGAAAACTAAAAAAACTCAATAAAAAAATGAAAAAGAATAAATAAATAAGAATTTTGAATTACCTGTTGCGTTTTCCTTTTAATTAAGCGATAAGCGAGTATCAGCGAGTAATCCACAGACGAAACTTGTTGTTAATTTCACTGATAACTTGGAGTATTAATGTGTCATATTAAATATTGAGAGGGAACCTTTCGCCTCGCGTGAGCCGAGGAAAACTGCCCGGTTTGGGGGCTACACAGGGCTCTACTACGAGTTGGGGCGTTCGATAGGGAAGCAGAAGAGGTGGGGCAGCGGAGACGAGAGCGAGGGAGAGAGAATAAAAAATAAAATAAAAAAAAAAAACAGAGGAACAAACGGTGCCAGGGGGTAATGATGGGCAGCCTCCAGGAGATGCCATTCCTCACCGATTTACCTGGCATTCCTGAGAAATTAGTGGTGCACTCGCTATTTCCTCTCCACCTGTCCATATTTTTGAGATTAAAATGAACTAGAAGGAAGAACAATTTTTTTGAAACTAACAAATGAGATTTATGAATAATCGCTGAAAAATGGGATTGAGAGCTACATATTTAATTGAATACACTTGTTGGTAATTAATTATAAAAAGAATTAATTTTTGGCGAGAACAACTCAATTTTTCTCGCGGTATGCTTTTCGGTTTTTATTTTGTTGGAATTTATCGGATTCGCCTTGAATTCTTTTGACAACTGGCTGAACAGACACGGTTCCAATTAATGACCTTCGGATTCATGAATTATTTATTTGATCCGGGTCATTATCATTCTTATTATTTTATTTGAGACATTCTTATGATTCTACTCGCTGCTAAGTAGGAAAAACTGTAATTATAGGTCATTATGGGTAATTAATGCAATAAATTCACAAAAAATTTTGGGGTTCTTAGGAAGATTTTAATAAAAATTTGTAGATATTGACTTTTTTGGAGGTTTAAGTAATTATTTCGTTATTTAAGTAATTATTGAGAAATTCGTGTGATTCGCTGCATCTCTTTCTGATCTCGAAAAACATTTAAAAAACGCTCAAACAAATAGAAAAATTCAGAGTATAATCTAAGGTATAATGATCTGCCCATTTTTTGCCAAAACGCACAGTTTTTGGGTTTCCCGCTAATTGATGCAGAATCATCCCGCGAAAATCTACGGTTTTTGCATTTCATCATTATTTCATGACGATAATCTGGGGTTCACGTGAATTTTCACCCTCAAATTGTTATAAAATATAACAAATCATAAAAAATCATAAAACTTCAATCCTTTCGATTCTTTCGAATTATTTTGGCTGAAGGCCCTTGAGCGATAGTCTTTCATAAAAAACGCATATTTTGTATTTTTCTTGCAACAAATTCCGTTAAAAAATAAATTATAGCCAAATCTTATATAAAATGAATTATTAAAAAATTCCAGGAAAACTTTATCATTATTTTGAAATAATGTAATTTTACAATGTCAATGCGGGACTTTCGTCTGGATAAAATTATTTTCAATAATTAATTTTTAATAATCTTCACCTCCATCTTGAATTATCAACCGCTTGACTGAGGCTACTTTTTCGGCTGGAGATAGGACATAATCTTCTCTTTTGATCCCGAGTTGTAAATAAATTAAACCTAATTCTTTATAATCTCCTCCAATATACTTTTCACCTTTTTGTTCTCATGGAAATCAAAGCGTGAAATTGAATGAATCATCATATTACGACTTCGCCGAAGGTCCCAATTAAAAATAAAAACTTATGACCGGTTCTGTCCAACAATAGTTCCAAATCCAGAATTATTTTTCTGTGCAATTCACTCATGGAGAACACATCTAACGAAATATATTCCATAAATAAAATCTATAACAATATATTCAATATACCCATGTATGCTTTTTTATCTATAACAAAAGTACACAACAAATGCATTGAGCTCACTTACTAAAATTTAATTATAAAAAAAAATCAAAGTAGAAAACCGTTTAAATATAAATATAACTATTTATTTAATTGCATACATAACACCCGACCAATATATTTATGAATATATATGCATGGGGATTATTAAGAAAAAATAGCAATTTTTATGGATAATAATGATAAAAGTGTAACACAGAAAGGTAAAATAGTAAAATTGATATATTTGGAATTTCGTGTCATAAATAACAAAAAAAACAGATAGTGAAATATTTAGTTAGAGTATTACAAGAAGAAATAGCAATTTTTATGAATAATAATGATAAAAGTGTAACACAGAAAGGTAAAATAGTAAAATTGATATATTTGGAATTTCGTGTGATAAATAACAAAAAAAACAGATAGTGAAATATTTAGTTAGAGTATTCTGTGGGAGACGAAAGGTAAAATGTTGAGAAGAGATGTTTTCCAGTGAAACCATTCAAGAATTGGTGATTGAATCGGGTTTGGGTTCTATTGTTCGTCGAACAAAAAGTAAAGAAGGGGACTGAGACAGAGGCTGGTCACGAACCCAGTGGCAACCAGGGGTTGCTCTCGGTGTAAAATATCCAGGTGGCCATTTTCCCCCTGCACTATTACAAGACCCTCGGAAATTCGCCTGCGACCGCGAGACCCGCAGCACGCGTTCCCATACCGTGAGACAGCAGAGAAAATCATCATCGTCATCACAAGCAAAAACAGGATGACGAAATTTCAACGAGAATTTCATGATTACCCTGGGTGTCAATTGCCGTCACCCTGTCAATGCCTCAAATTACCATTGATGCGGATTCATCAGAACTCGGTGACGTGGATGAAATAATCACGAAATGCTTGGATGCCTGGTCTCGATGATGTCTTGCCGCCAAAAAATAATGGAGGGATTCAACAGTTGGTGATGTCATGGCTCCACGTCGCAGTGATACATGTGCTCATACAAATTTTTTATTATTTTTATTATTTCTATTTTTCTAATCCTTATAATTTTTTTTTTAGCACATTTAGCGAATGAAAGGAATTTTTATTCAGTACAGGGAATTCTATAGGAAAATTCAGCAAATATTGTTGAGCTCTATTTTTATTATTTTTATTATTTCTATTTTTTGAATTCTTATAATTTTTTTTTAGTGCATTTAGCGAATGAAAGGAATTTTTCGTCAGTACAGGGAATTCTATAGGAAAATTCAGCAAATATTGTTGAGCTTTATTTTTATTTATTTTATTATTTATTTTATATATTTTCTCAAATTCCTTCTTGAATTCCTATCGTAATCCCAGGAATTAATTTTGTCATTCATTAATTTTGTATTCAAATTATTATTCCTCACACCTCGCGGCGCTAAAATTGTAAAGGCGTATGTTGACGTCACGATAAAACCCTTTTCTCATTGAAATAGCGGGTGACATTATTACCGCAGGATTGTCCCCAGCAAACATTGGTGGTATTTATTCCAGGTCCTCCGACGAATCTTGAGGGAAAATGAAGAGCTGAGTCCTCGGTTCCTCCCACATTTTCCCATTTTCCTCATGGAGTTCATCGGAAGAGGTCAAAGGTCAGCGTGGGATGTAACAATCGATAGGACTCGGCAACATTTCACTTCCACATCTCCATCGTAATCCCGTCAAGACTGTCCAATGAGAAGACAAAAAAAAAACCGGATAATTGTTTATCTGCAGCCTGTCAACGGCGTTAATCATCGGCCTATAAAATCAGATTGATCAGTAATTGTAGTGCTCGATGGCATGAGAGCGACTTAAAGGTTGCAACATTATTTCAATCACGCAGCTAAAGTAAATAATCCCCACTGTAACTGCACACAATAATTTACCGCAAGCGTTATGCATTTTTTCCACTCGTTTTTTTACTATTTACGACAGTCACCACAGAAAGATTGCCTCGACAAGTCCTCAAACGTGTAATTACACTCGGTCGCCGGTCAATTACTCAGGCAAATAGTCCTTTGCATATATCCGAGAAAAAGGGGAAAATTTCATGTTTGTTTTGTGATTCGTCTCTTTTATTTTGGATCATAAACGATCCTGAAGAAACACTGCAGGGATAAATGTTTATTGTAAAATTATTGTAAACAATGTACTGTTAATCGTGTATCGGATCGGTTCTGAAGACATTTTTACCGATTTTACGGTAAAAATGATGAATTTTTGTTCAAAATTTATGAAAATTATTTCAAATCCCACATAAACAATTTTTTAAACATAATAATAATAAAAATGTAACGACTATTATATGAATTATGATAGGATAATTGAAATAATTCAATGATGTTATTAAATATTTATCTCCCAGACAAATTAAATTACGGAAAAATATAAGTTGTAATTAAACTAAATTAAATTAGAAGGTTTTAAGGCGGAATCACTGGAGATTTATCCACTTAAATATTTTTTTATTAATTTTCTTTTAGAAAAGGAGTTAGAGGTTTTCTATAAGAAGTAGAATGGACACTTTCGAATCTCAATAGCATATCGAATTCTCATATGTAACACCGCAAGGGGTTCAATTATCGCGAATGTCCGCGATTTTTATCAAAAATTTGATAAGTTCGGTTATGTACGGGGAACCTTGAGGGAAATATCCAATTAATTTGATGAAATCCATTCGATTTAGCAGAAATAAACGTTTAATTCCTCAGCGAAGTGATAAACCAGGATGAGTGCATTTTCTTCGAGGCCAGGTGTCAGCCAATATCTCAGAATTGAAGGGCCATAACGAATTTTTAGCATAAACATTTTTTGTAGAAAATAATGAAAGCTATAAAAAAGGTATTTATGAAAATATCGTTATCTTCTTCCAATTTCGAGGAATCGACTGAAAACCGGCTTAAAAAAAAAGTACACTTATCCTACTTTGCCACTTTGCAATAGAATTTACGGTCTCTCTGATTTTTTTATTAATTAATACAATTTAATATAATTTAAATTGAAATAAATTGAATAATTTCCTTTTTGAAATTTTCGAAATTGCACGGAAAATACAATTTTCAAGAATAGTTCGAAAAATTCATCCAAAATTTGTTAACAATATAAATCTTCTTTCATTTCACAATCTCTCCTCGACTTAATAAATTTCTTTATCTTTATTAGACTCCGAGGTATCTTGCAAGAGCATCATGATCTCCAAATAAAATTGTCTTGATTTGTTACTCTACCGATTTATGTTTTTGTTTATAAATATCTCGCAGTGTCTCTCCCCCGAACACGACAGATACGCGAAACGCCTTTTTGGAGAGTATAATGAAATTTAGAGATCATAAGGAAGATCTGGTCCTCCGAAATTCCAAGAGAGAGGCACTCTAATTAATATTCCGTAATTTCGATCTATACTTGATAATCATCAAGTGACTGATATATTGCTAGACAATAAATCAAGGCAAATCATGTCTGAGATCCATTTAACTGATAATTCTGATAATGCAAAATGACTTTCACGTCATCAGCGAGTGACCTAGAACCGATGTTTTGTTGAGCAAGAACTGCAACTATTCTTTCCCCAACTGTCATAAAATCCCAATAAATCTTAAAATTGATAAAAAAATTATTGCCGATATATTTTTATTTTCCATGTGGATCAATTCTCGAGAAGACCTCCGTATTTAATTTTAATCATTACATAATAACTCATAGAAAATTTTGAGACCTTAAATAATAATAAAACTTGAAACCGATAAATTTTTTCCGTCAATCTTATCAATAGTCTCTCAAAAATTTGTGAACAATTTGAAAAAGAAGATATCGGCAATAATTCTTTAATAGGTGACAGAAAAGGACACGATTCGCTCGTCGTGTTTGATAAAGAGAAATCAAGAGTGGCGGGTAAGTACGACAAAACCCTCGTAATGAGGAAAACGCAATTACCCTCAACAATAGGTCAATTCCGTTCGTTCACGGGAGTAGATCGAAGTCGCTGGAAGACTCCCGCGGATATATCGCGGAATATCGTGCCATCGTACGACCCCATCCTGGTCCTCCTCACGACATTCTGTAGTATCGATACATTCACCTGCAATTGGAGGAACACCCATGTATATAAATCAATTATATTGATAACAAATCAATCAAAAAATAGAGGGAATTTCGGGAAAATAAAATGAACGGACTGAGCTACAATTTTGTTTGATGACAAGTTAAACTACTGGCTGGATAGATTAATTTCTGTTTATGCTTGTTATTTTATGTTTTTTATTATTTATATTCACATCCAGAGTTATTGCCAATATCTTTTCATTTTTCAAGTTTTCTACGGATTTCTAGGAAACGGTTGATAGAATTAACGTGACGCAATGTACCATTTTTATGATTGTTTTTTTTTTAAATTAGAGTTCCATATCTCAAGGTGATTCATCATCGTTTCATGAGAGTAATCAATTAAATTGTTAATTTATATGAATTTTGGAAAATGAAAATGTGAATATCCAGCCCAAAATTATTTTCACGTCAATCTGATCCACGATTTCCCAGATATTTCCAAAAAATATGAAAAATTAGAAGATATCCACAATAACTACTTGAAAGTCATCGCCATCATCATCATCATTACCGTTCATATTAATTTCATTTATAATTAGAAGGAAAATTTAAAAATCCCGCTAATTTGTCCGAACATGGCGGCACCAATCAGACATCACTGCTGTCCGCGCTCATTCCTATCTTGAGTATATAAATAATATTGATAACAAGTCGCAACAAATTGAAAAAAAGTTCATGTTTACAAATTCATTGAAGGCCCTGAATGTGCCAGTGATATGTAGTGAATTGTTAATTCTGCAAGTAGACATTAAAAATTGCAAATTGGAAACAACTGGGGGAATTAATTAAAAATAAAAATCCCGGTTGAGATGGATCGACGTAAATTGAAGCCTCATCGAGGACTGCATCAGAACCTTCTGGGGCCGTCGACGTCGACATCATCAGCTGCAGATGCAGGTGAGTCCGAAGACATGTTCAGTTCGTCCCACCGGAGTTGCACATCCTCGCAGAGGCAATCAAGCCTGCAACTCCTCAGGAAGAGGACGCAGACTCCAACTCTCACGGAGGATGAGGATACCAAGAGTCAGGGGAAACGTGCGAGGGTTCAGACAACGAGAGGTTCCCCGGTGAAGGGCCCCAGGCAGGAAGGGAACACGGAGAGACCCTCCCAGAGGGAATCCTCCTCGAGGTTGGGAAATATCGGGTCTCAGACGCGAGAGAAACGAAGGGAAGGGCACCTAGGGGCTCCAGAAATTTCTCAGGCGTGGGAAAAACAGAAGGAAAGGCCCATGGAGATTTCCCAAGTGTCACAAAGACAGAAGGAGAGGGCCCTGGAAGTTCCCCAGGCGTCACAGGTACGAGAAAAACAGACGGAAAAACATCTCGGAGTATCGCAGAAATCTCCCAGACGTTCTACACCTGTCAAATCCTTGAGACTCCCCCAGGTCTCCCCTGAGAAGCTGTCGCCCTCCAAGAACCGCGATCCTAGGTTCTTCAAGCGTCCTGCGGGAATCTGGTCGTCTCCTCCAGAGAGCGACAAGGAGAATCAGAACTCAAAATCGAAATCCAGAGCTTCCAGAGTGATTCTGTCAGACTCCGACGATGAGGAGCCTCAGAAGCCAAAAGAAAAAACTCTTTTTGAGAGGTTCCTCGATCAATCAGGGATCAGACCCTCCCTGGACAACGACGAACAGTACACAATATCGACGAACCCTGCTGGAGTAGTCAAGAAGATCCAGGAGGTGCTCTCTGGAAGTTTCACGAAGGCCGGGGTCCTGGAGGACTGGAAAAAGAGCCTGGAGGAGATCTCCAATATGAAAAAGTATCTGAACCCAACGGTGATAGAGCAGGAGGGCCTAGTCTCAGTGAACAATGTCTCCCTCGTGAGAATTCTCCTCCAAGTACCCCTGATCCAAACCGAAGTCCTCAGCAGTCTTCTACGTCGTCTAAACGAAGAAGTTCTCGTTGCTGACTCCCTAGAGGACGTCCCTTGGGCATGTGCCCTCCTCTCCCAATTGAGATTCCTGGAGATCGTGGCGGATGCTGACACCATGACCTCCAGCCTCGAGGAACTGCTCGAGTCCTCTCCAGACTGGTTTAAGAGGGAGCTCATCGCTTATCTACCTGATATAGTTACCGATTCCCATCACCAGAGTATCGCTGATATTCTCTGCAAGCTCATGGAGACTGATAGTCGTCTCAACCAGGTGATCTTGGGGTGCATCACTGGGTTGACACTGGGTAAGGAGTACCTCGAAGAGCTTAGAGACAAAGTACTTCTGATTATGCCGGAGAATACGGAGATATCGGAGGTTCCCGCGATGGTGAAGTTCTGTTTGTACGAGTGCCCCAGCGTCGAGGTCTACCAGAAAGTCCTAAAGGTCATCCGAGATCTGGAACTCCAGCCAGACGACAACACGAATAATGAGGAGTGTTTCACGAGCCAGATGATAATCGTCAGCACTCTGAAAATGACTTTTGTGATGACTAAGGCAGCTTCCAAGGCTGCTCTCAGTATTCTCTCAGAGGCTGGGTCCAATGACAAGCCCCAGGTCCTGGATTTGGTGATGATGCTGCTACTTTGCAGGGACACATTCAAGAAAAAATCTGCGGAGAACGTTTTCAAGAAGCACGTGAAGAGTGGGTACTACAGGGCGAGCTTACTATCCTCGTTTTATCGAGACTACGAGCAGGTGGCCAAGGACTTCCAGCCCACAGCCCTGAGTCTCGCCAGTTGTCTCTTGAAGTCTGAGGACCAGACACTCGTGAATTTTGCTGTCGAGTGGTTCAGGCACCAGTTCCTCGCTCACAGTAAAATCTTCCTGATGCAGACGGAGATAATTAATAAATTAATTCTCCTGATGGGAAACAACGATCACACAGCCAGACACGCACTGTCAGTCCTTTGTAAAATGACAGAGAGTCCTGAGGACAAGGAACAGCTCCAGAGACACTGTAACGAGCTCACTGTACTCATGGAGAAGATCGATAAGTTCGACCTGGAGGAGGTAGCGACGATGAGCGATCTTCTTCATGCCCTCTGTACCTCGAGCAGTTCGTCGGAGGCTCTAAAGGACGATCTCTTTATTCTACTCCAGAAGCAGTTGTCCAATACTGACGCTGTTGTCAAGTGCAAAGGAGTTGTGGGTGCTGTGATGGCGATAAAGCACTTGGTGAAAAACGACGAGACCATCGGGCAGGCGAGGGAAATCCTGAGAAAGCTAGAGATAAGCACGAAAGACTGCCCCAGGGGACAGGCACTCTACTACGATAAAATGGGGCAAGTGATCGCCAATGACACCAGTATAAACCAAGAATTCGTGAAGGAGCTGACTAAGTCCCTTGAGAATGAACTCGTTACCCATTACATGACTGACCGTGACAACTATCGAGGGGATTTGGTCCCCTGTTTTGCCCTCAATCACTATGAGGAGGGAGAGACCGAGGATGAGATGTTTATCCATTTCGGAGAGAGCAGGTATGGGGCAATAGTTCCTGCTCTCTTCAGAATCGTGAGGATTGGATATTTGCGCATCAGTGAAAACCACGATCTCGAGGATGTAAGTGCAGTCCTGGGTACTGGGATCATGATGCCCAGGGACTTGGAGATGCCAAACACCAGGACTCTAGATCTCATGTTCTCCTGTGTTAATTGGTACAGGGAGCTCATCAGTGCCTACATCACTGAAAATGGAGAATTGATGAAGCCACAGGTGGTCCAGAGGCTCGACGATTTGATGCACCTCCAGGGGGAACTCAGTAATACGTTATCACTGGCTGAGACCAGATACCAGCCTCCTCCCTGTTATTTTCACAGGTCTCCACCTCCGGCGTTCAATCGCGTAGAAAAAAAACTGGGTAAGAAGCCTGGAAAAAAGGTGGATAAGAATACAACAGCCACTGGGGGAATCCCTGAGTGGGAGGGCTGGGAGAATGGATCCCTCATGACCATCAAGAATCCCATGTACTTTAGAAGACTTGACGCTACAATCGTTCACTTTTTGGATACCGAGATCAGCAAAAAATTGTCCTCTGGACATGTCTGCTTCATCGTTAAGGAACTCTCCTCCATGCTGGATGACGACAGCGTCACTAATCAGGGGTTCATCAGGGAACTCGTGGAGCTCCTCCCCAAGATCATGTGTAAATTGAATCAACTGGTGGAGGAACTTACGGAGAAGGACGATGTCAAGCACAAACAGGCTGTCTGGCTTATTCTCTCGCTGCTGGCCAAGTTATTCAACTGGAAGGGATTTGAGTCTGCGAGTCACTGGGGATTACTGAGGGCAGGACTCAGGATCCTCGCTAGTCAGACTGACGAGGCCAACAGATCACTTAAGTATTCCAGGGAGCTCGTCGCGGAGGCGTATCCGTACTTCGAAGGACTTGCTGTGATCGCTTCGCAGATCCCGATAGCCCACGCCCTCGTCAACATGTGCAAGACCCTGATGAAGCACTCGGAGACCTTTACTAAAGAGCAAAAGGACAGACAGGCGAAAATGGCTTATACTTATCTGTGTCTTGAGTGGACTGGGGACAAGCATTTAGGGAGTCTGTACAAAGCTGCTGTCACGGGGCTGTTGAAAAATTGGATGGATCATGAGCCCGATCCCCTCACAACTGTCTCTGAAGTTCTGGAGTGGCTGCCGCAAGAGGTTGAGGGGATGGAGACCACAACTGCTAAACTCACTAAACTTCCAACGATTAACAGAAGTAATTTCCATTATCTGTACCAAAAGCTGTTCGATGGACTCCTGAAGGGGGCGAAGATCGCCCTGACAGCTGCCGATGGTAATACACCAAAGCTCCAGGTCTGGAGGACTGTGGGGAAGAATGTACAGTTACTTGTGAAGGTCTGCAAGGCCCTTCCCACCAGAGGAACTCTTCTTAGTTATCTCAGGCTCATGCCACACCTTCTGAAGATGTTCCTTGTTGTTGGAATGCCCACTCTTGAACACGATCTCAGACACAAGCCTGAGGAAGTCACTGGCATTCTCAAGATGATGCAAGTGGGAACCAGATACCTCAATGTTGTCTGTTGTCACAGCACCCAGAGGAAGGACATGGCTCTCACCAAGCTCGTCCCTGCTGCGAAAATCATTCTCGAGCAACTCGTTTATAGTGTCAAGGGAATGCTCGTCATGAACAATAGCAGCACTGCTTTCTGGATGGGAAATCTTGTTAATAAAAATTTAGATGGACAGGAAATTTTTTCACAGGTTTGAACTTTTCTTCAAAATTTCATTAATCAATTTAATTCATTGATTTATTATAGATCAACAGTAATGTTAATTGATAATTGAATCAATCATTCAATTATTTTTTACTCGTTTTTAGGTACATTTTTTTGTAAATACTAAAAAATAGTCAGGAAAGATTATTTTATCGTTATCTTGGCGATATCTTAATGTTTTCAAAGGAAATGTTAAAAAAATAATAGTTTATTGCAAAATGATTATTGGAGAATTAAGTGTTAATTTTCTGTGTTGCAGAATTCAACGACTTCTGAAGATCCCACGATCCCTGAAATCAGTACTGATAACAACGCATCGAGTGGAGACGAGTCAGTCTCTGATATTCTCGGGGAAGACGATGATACCAACGATACTAAAGATGGGTCTGTCGATAGCTAGAGTTTTCTTTATTTTCTATAAACAACATTCGTTTTGAGTACAAATTCAGAGTACGAGGAGCAAAATGGAGACTAGATTTTCTTTCATTGTTTCGAGCTCATCGAGTTATTAATGAAGTGGTGTAATTTTTCCCCTTCGCTGAGCCCAATCGATCAATCTATTCCTTCGTTATGAATAAATTACGAATTGTTCTCCATTTTGCCCCATTTTTCCTGTATTCAAAAAATATATTCGGACGTGGGAGGGAAGATCCGAAATTTTTTAGAATGAATCCCATCTAAACTTATATCACAGTAATTTGTGGTTGTGAAATTGTTTTGATGGAAATCTCGAGTTTCAACTGTGAATTGGAAATTATTCGAGGGATGTGACAAAATGCTGACGACTCCATGTCTCATCCTCGTTCATAGTCTCTTCCAGGAATGTAACTCTATCCGAGGCTTCCACGAGAATTATAGTGTGTGTTCTCGTGCCATAAGTCCAATCATCTGCGTGCACAAATATCGAGCTCAGAGCTTTGCTCTCCTCCTGATGGAGCTCCTCCATCACGTCGTCAGGGAGATGCCTGAATTTAGATAAAACGAATTGAACAAGTTTCTTGATTATTTTATCTCAAAAACTGAGTGAAATATTTCATGAAAATAAGGATATTCTGCAGGAAATGTTAATGGGCTTTTAGTAGCCGATTAAATTTATTATGAAAAGGTCTTTTGATATTTCCTCGTAAAACCAATAGTTTTATTGTACAGTTGTTCTACTCACTGTTCATTTGATTTGAGAAATTGAATGAGCTTTTCTATGAGGACATTCTCGTTAACTATTTTTGGATCTGTGACGATCTGCCTGAACTGCTCTTTCCCATTTATCACTTTTTTGTAAGGAGTCTCAACTGATGTATTCCCAAAACCCAAAATTGTATCAGTTACAGATAACTGTGGGCCTTGACAACTTCGGGAACTGCTGATAAAACTCACGTCTGCTGTTCTAAAAAAAAAATGAGAAGTCATTGTCATTGTGATCCCTCGAACAAGTCTCATTCATGCCCTATAAATCGTTATTTTAAAAATTCAAAAAAATTGACTCTTCAAGCGTTATTAAAACAGAAACAATTAAAATAATTAATATCATAAAATGAATAACTTACATTACCATAAAATTGTTACAAGTTATCGAAGCGTAAATGAAAAGTGAATTGTTTTCAAATTTTTTCCCAAAAAATCTGTGCGCATGGAAAATTAATGTTATTTTACCGATCACCACATATTAGTGTCCCTGGAAATTTTCAAGTAACGATTTATCTCTTTTGAATAAGACCTGTTCCAAGAAATACATTTGTCAGAGTAGTGAAATGTCCATGTGACCCACTTCAAATCAATGAGAACCAGAGTGTAAGGATTGTATGTGTCATTGCTATTTTCCTCATGCAGATTTCTCAAGTAATTCGCTGTGGTTTCTCTCGAGACGACGTAATTTGTCACCAGGAAGCCGCGACCCTTCTTCTGGGTGGTGGGTGTATCTGCAGGAGGTTTGGGTGCCTCCGAGAGATTTAAGAGTACCCCAGCACGACCCTTCGTCGAAATTGCCAGCCAAGTGCCCCCTTCCTTCGTTGGCTCCTGGTCCGTCCCTCCATATAAATGTGATTAATTAAAATTAATCCCAACCCCTCTCAAACACAATCACCACCGGTTTAACCTTAAAACTCTCCGGAGGATTGAAAACAATTATTTACAACAATAAAACCCAAATTTGTTATTCAAAATAGCTGGAAGTTAGCGAAAATTCCAAGTTTATCAATTATTTTTCTTTTCATATGTTTCATATTTGCAAATATATTGTTATTATAAATAAATATTTCCTCAATGTACGGGGAAAATGTTTTTATAATATCCACTAATTAATTTTTTAATTTGCTCAATTACCTCCTAAACAGTCTGGATGATTCTCCCAGTAATAAGCAGCTCTTGTAGGCCTTCGGTAATTTTCGTCTCTATTTGTTGCAACAATTAAACGATAAGCAGAACCAGTTGCGTTGGGATTTCGATAAATGAAGAGAATGCACATTGTTGCTGATTAGGAAAAAGGTTACTCAAGGTTTTTATAAGTATTAATTTATTGAACACTGACGTTTATCACTGAGCCACTTTATTCGGAGTACTCGAGGCTTTGAATGTTTTGCGGAGGCTTCCGCAAATGCTTTCCCACCTACACGATTTATATACGTGCGCACGGGAGTTATGGAAACACCTGATAAGAACTTGATGAGAATTATCCGTGTACAAATACATACGCTGGCATTGTTTAAATCGGGAGCTTGAGGGGTAGACAATCGCTGCGATCGTATATTTATCAAGTTGAATGTTTCGCGCGTCACTGATTACCGGTTTTATTCTTTATCTCGTTGGGATGATTATTTGTGAAAAAAAAAAACAGAACGACTCGATTAGGACGGGGAATTCTTGATTATTTATTGTTCAAATGGAAGCGGTGGAAAGGAGACAGTAGCCAAGTAGTAAAACCAGATAAGTCGAGTTTAACTGTTTTGGAAATGTCGATTGATCTCAAGACTATTGAGTTTAGAAGGAAACGTGAAAAAATTTTTTTTGTCAGGAATTCACGGGGCTATAAAAAAGTCCTTCAAAGGTTTCTGCTTAAATCAATAGATTTCGAGATAAATCAATAATTAAGAAAGGTTATAAATTCGATGTTAATATTATAAATTTTAACTATTTGTTGATAGCGTGTAACCAATTGGCGTCATGAAGGTGAATAATTAATTAACAATCCTGGCCACTTGCTTATAATATATTAAATAAACTCCAATCACAAGTGTTGATACAAATTTAGTACGATTGTTCGGCTGATCTCAATCCTTGAACAGAATGATAATATCGCATCGTAGCAACAATTTTTAATTACTCGGAGACCTTTATTCTGACTACAATCGTGATCAATCGTGAATTCATTGCGCTAATTATTTTTTACGATTGAATTGTTTATGCAATATTCGTGGAAAGGGGTTTGGGTGGGTCAGGGTCTTGGAATTCACCCACTGTCTCCATGTAGTGAGCCTCAAGTTTGTAGGGTCTCAACTCCCAGGCGATTCGTGACTCCATGGTGCAGGGGTAGACACCGATGTCCTCGAGAGTTGGCAGATCCTGGACGAGAATATCAGAGGTGTGTTCCTGAAAATTAAAGAGCCTTCCATAATTCAATTCGTAAGTTTTCATACATTTTACAATGATTTCATTAATTACTTTATTATTTGCATGAACATGGTTAATTCTGAAGAATTATGAACTTAATTTTTAGCAGAAAATTAATGAAATAATTTAGTATTGGAAAATTAATAATATTTCCTATAAATGTATTACTTTAAATAAATGTTCATAAATATTGATGATTAAGAAAAGTTGACATATATTTTTATTATATTCTTGGATATCCTCAATGCTTAGAACTTTATTCATCATTTCTTCACGTAATTTCCATTTTTTTTCTTAAAAGAAATGTGTGATCGATTTTGGTACCTTCTCGAGACCTTCCCAGTGAAGATGCCCCAGTGGACGCCCCGGGCTGATCGCCTCGCAAATACTAACTTTCAGTTTAAAGAACGGACAGTTCTTGATATCCAGTCTCCTGTATCCATAATCGTCAGCATTCTTCCTGATCCAGTGATTCATCCAATCGACGAGGTCTCCAAGCTTGTACCTTTGAGGACTACACAACAGATTAATTTGAAATGTTTATAGAGCAAAAGAAGAAATGAAGAGAATTACCCAGCAAACTGATAGATTTTCCCAGCAGTTGATGGATCTCTCACTAGGGTAGTGATTCCCCCAGCCACATCCCCAACCCAAATCGGTTGCTTCTCGGTCTTTTCTCCTTTTTTCCATAACGCAGTGCCCCTAAAAGATGATTCAGATTCCGAAATATATTTAATATTTAATCAACGACTGTAATTCTTGTATTTAATATAAAATGCAATGCAATCTGTCAATTCAAGTCAGCATGTTAATGTTGAATTCTTTTATAAATCATTTCTCTCGATTCATTTTGGAGTGGAATTGGGGGGAATGTACGATTAAAAAATCCTTTACTTCAGATGTCTCCTCATGAACCGACAGTACACATTGATCCATCTGTCCTCCTGCCCATATATCGTGGCAGGTCTGACGATTGTCGCCTCTGGGAACTCCTCCCTGACAGCCTGCTCTCCTTCCCATTTGGACCTGAAGAACTGTGAGCCTTTCGGCAGGAGGATGGGCTATTACAATATAAAGTTCACTGGTCATTTTTTTTAACTCAGTGCAAAAAACACAAAAATCAATTAAAAATAAAAGGAAACAAAATTATCGAACATCGATATTTTTTAGAATGAATTCTAATAAACTCGATTTAGATTGAATTAAATTAGAATTCTAATGAATAATAAATAGTAAAATAATCTGGAGAAATTAATTAGTATTTCCAATCCATTCACCTCTGGATTTGGGCTGCAACTGAGAGCTGAAAGGTGAATAAATCTCTCAACACCGGCTTCTTTCGATAATCTGGCGAGTCGTCTCGCCCCGTCCACGTGAACATCGTCGAACTTGAAATTTTTCGTCTCCCAGTCCTGTCCAATCAAGTTGATCACGACATTCGAGTACTTGATGCACTTTCTGATGGAATCTTCGTCAGTGAGTTCAAACGGGTGGAATAGGACTTGCCCCAGGTCTCCTACCAGCTTGAGACGCATCGAGTTATAATGCTCACCCCGATAGGGCAGAATCAACTGGAAAAATCTTTAAATTAAACGAATGCTCCTACTAAACTCTTTCTCTTAAGATTGTATTATTATATTATTAAAATGATTAAAAATTTCGGAATCTTCATTCTCCCCGACCCGAAGATGACGTGGGAAAATCTATTTTCGATTTTCAATTTCGAAAAAACCAATCAGATGGAGAATCAATTGTTTATGAATGATTCATGGATTAGACAAGGTGTTATTACATTATTAATATGTGATAAAATAAATTGTCTTACTTGAGTGCCAATTTTTCCCAGACGATTGCACAGATAACGACCTACGAAGCCAGTATTACCAAATACTGTGCAAACTATTCCATTGAAAGAACTTCTGCCGCCTGTTCCTCTCTTCAACGACGTCGTCGTCGGATTCTTTATGATCCTGGGGACATCGGACGAGTACTGGCAGTGTTGGAGGGCGATAGGAGCCAAAGACAACACAGTTTTCTTCTCTGATTCATATAAAATATTCAACAACTAACTCAGTACTCAAACGGTAAAGTGAGATAAGTAGAATTACAATTTTTTCTAAAACCAATCGTTGCTTAAATTAATCGAGGCGAAGGTAGGCCTTTAAATTACTAATTACATTAACTTTCAATCGGAATATTTATTACTCCAGTGTTTATTTCGATCTTTTGATACTAGTTCCACTCTCTATCTCTCACCTCGACTCCAAACATTTAAATAAAAATTCGCAAATACAATGGCGATAAGAATTAATTATGTAATTCGTATAAATAATTATGAGTATTGTTTATTCCCCTAAATTATAACTATTTTGGACTATTTATTGTACTATTTATGAAGAAATTACAAGAAGAAGGAAACAGAATCTGAAACTGTAAGAGGGATAACGTTGGGAATAAATCTAGATTAGTCAATATTTAATAAAATTATGAGAACTGATTCGCATTACACACATCGCCACTCAATTCAGATCGTTTTATAAAAAATAATTTCTGGGGATCGGTAGAAGCTAAAATAAAGTGGTTTACTTGTTTTGTTTCAATTTTCTTGTCACTTACGTGCGATCTGCAAAGCGTTGAAGGAAGAAATAGCAGCCATCCCTGCAGCACTCATTAGAATATTGATCAATGTCAATTATTCGCCTCACAACATCCAAAGAAACCCTCCTGAGGGCTCCTTGAACTCAAATTTGGGCTGTTTTCTCTCTGGAGCACCGAATCCTTCAGGTGATGATCATATGTTGTGATATTACATAAAACGAGGTTATGGATGTTAAGGGGATTCACATGCAGTTAAAGGGACCAGCTGTCGGTTGCTGTGAATGGTGGGAGATTTAAATCAGATTTTTAGATCCTTTTTTAATCAGTTATTAACAGTTTAAAAAGGCAAGCTGTTTTTTTTATCCACTTTTTTTTGTTTGAGAAATGTGAGAATTGTAATCAATTTAATTTATAATAATCGCCTGTTTCTACGGTGGGGGGCTGGATTCAGCTTTCGGAAATTGTCTACTGCATTTATTCGTTTTCGATTTTTTCTCGAGTTTGAGACTTCCCGGAGAAATCTGTACACTAGTTCGGATACGCGGACAACGTGGACTTTACGAATTTCGATTTTCCGATTGTGACTTTTATTCTTTACAAGGTCGTCGCACATTTTGAGATGACTTGTCACGATTTTCAAAATTTTCAAAGCTTTTTTAGGATCGAATGTTTGGATTCAATTTTTTCCTACGATCAATTGTTTGTTGTTTTTTCATATATCTGTAAATTGTGGTTTTTTCGATTTGTAAAATTTATTAGTAGTATATATTCAATGTAGTGAATAGTTTTATCCATTTGAAATTTTTTTTAAGAGAGAATTATTTATTAGGTTAAGAATTTTCGCAATTAACGTATCTCGTCAAATTGAGACTGCCCGCGGTGGTCTGTACGCATCGACGGTGTGCGTGCGTATGCACGGAGTATCGCCTGGCGACCCCCCCTCGAGCGGTCTTCTGTGCGCATGCAGGGTGTTTTGTGCGCATGGGAAGTGTTCTGTGCGC